GGGGGAATTACGGGCGCGAGGAGGAGGGGGAGGTCGGATGCGGGCCGGAGAAGGCCAGCAGCGGGATGGAGGAGGAGGTCGAGCTTGGGAAGGTGGAGGTCATGGGGGGCGGCAAAGGTAGCGGCCTTCTGAGGCGCTCGCGCACCTATTTCCGCCGATCTTGGGCACCCAAAAAGGGGCGCCGGAAAATTGGTGGAGGGGAAGAAAGAGCGGGCCCGCATGGTATGGGCCTCATTTTGGCCTGTATTTGAAGGCCGCAAAGCCGGCCGAAAAAGTCGGCCATTTGTAATGCGGGGAGCAAGCCAAAAAGCGCGGCCCCTTAACAAAAAAGAACCAAAAAACGCAAAGTCCGCCAAAGGCAACAGGCTAATCCGCATGCTATGTGTCCGATTTCGGGTGCCCGATGGGCCGGCCCTGGTGGGGGCCGGCCCAGGCGGGGCCATAGCATGCGGGGGCGGCTTTCCTTCTCAAACCCAAAAGGCTGGCAGCTTTGGGCGGCGATTTCTATCGGTCGCGGAGCCGTAGTGTATAACATTATGCGCGGCGTTATCGCAGGCATGCAAAAAGCGGCTTCTAAAGACGAAAAAACGCCGTGACCTCACTGCCTTGCCTCGCTGAGGTCGCTGTTATTGGTATGGACTTCGCATGGAAGCGAAATAGGTTTAGCGGGCCATCGTATGGGAAAATCGCATCTATGGCATTCGCATGCCAAGAAATGGCTTGCAAGTGCGGGCATCATGGCGGCGTGAATACTATTTCATAACTCGCGTACCAGGTGGGAACTCCGGAAGCACGACCTCCACCTCTACCACCTCCAGTAGAAGAACCCGCAGCACCAGCACCGCCAGCACTTCGTTCAGGTTTTTGGGTTCAGTACACGAACGGCGTGTGCTTTGGTTTCGCAGGGAAACCGTCAGACCACTTTCGGAAGGGCATCCCTGATTTCTGGAAATTTGGGCTGGAGCTCTGGCGGTACCGGAAGCACGGCGGCGTTGTCGTTCCAGTGTACAGGTGGGGAGGCCATAACTACACGGGCACCGGGGAGAAGTGCTTGTTGAAAAAGCTCGGTACGCATTGCAAGCAAACCGTAGCGTTACAAAAGCCGCATCTTCTAGTGAATAGAAGATGGCGAGAAATATGAAAAAGTGCATTGGCGTTATTTGCTACTAGTTCGGCCATGTGAGGAAATTTGCGGAGTAAGTAGACACACTCCTGCAGGGAAGTTTTTATTTCAGGCACTCCTGTAGTTGTGTTTTGCTTTTGTAAGCTTACGGCACTCTTGCACTCGATAGTACACCATCGGGGAGTTGAAGTATATGTTCGAGACGGAGGCTAAGCAATACTGAGGATCACGGCGACGAACGTATTCGGAGGGTGCGGTCTTGCTTAAGTGGAAGAGGTAAAGGAGCGGAGCGCAAATATTTTTAATAGTTCAAGGAGAAACAACTTTTTGCATTCTCGGGCCCAGCATCAGATCTCTGGTCAGATATTCGGCCTTGTTTTTTTTTGTCGAACAGCCACAATAAGCGTCAGTAGTGTATTTTTTTGAGGACGCACTGTATTTGTGATCGAGTGAGCTTTGATCCATCTTATGAAAGCGTCGACGGTTTGTGCTGAAGCGAAGTTATCTTTTATCGCGCGAAAAATAAAAGCTGCTTGACTGTGATGACTTTGCAGGATTCATTTTTGGCATTGACGGGCCTACTCTGCATGAGAGGGACATATTAGATCTGCCATGATGTGGAGCGGGTGTTCACCTAGGGGTAGTGGCAGAGGCTAAACCTGCTCTGGCGGCCAGGTATTGGCAGTGCCTCTGCCAATATCTGTTCTAATGCCAGATTTGGCCTCTGAGGCTAAATCTGTTCTAATGCCGACCCGCCAGGAGTTAGATGGTGGCTACCACTACATCGGCGATGACGATGTCACGTGGCTCCGTCCTTAGAGAAAAACTGGCCCGGGACGAGCGGGGCACTTTACACGATACACCAAGCGCCGCCCGCGGGCTGCAGGCTGGCAGACGCAGAGGCAGGGCCTCCACCAATTCACGCCCGCACGCGGTAAAGCAAAGGAAGGGGGGCGGCCAAGGGCCTCACGCGCATGGCCGTTGGGCGCGCCGCATACCTTGAGTTGCAGGCGCGCGGAGGCAGCAGCAGTGCGGCCTGTTCCCGGGGGGTGCTGCGTTTTTCGGAGTAGCAAAAGTGACGCCTTCTATGATTCCGGATGAAAGGGTGACGTCGTTCTTCTCGTGAGGGACTTGCCGCCCCTCTCCGGGTCCGGAAAGGTCGAGGGCTGTTACGCGACGTCACCATGTTGGTAATTCTGCTATGGTGGTGTCGCGCGGCTCGTCCTTGGAGAAAACACAGGGCAAAGCCCATTGCTTGGTTGCATTTGTAGCAAGAAAAGCGCTTATTTCTGTTTTATTGCACCTTTCTGCTCCGCGGCCCAAGTTCACACATAGCAGCAGTTTTTTCGTGTGATATTCTTCCCCCCGTCTTCGATTGCTATCTTCGATGACCATGTCGATCCGGACGACCAAGCAATGAATTCCCGCGCTGCAGCTACGGTCTGTTTTGCTACAACATATCGGCAGGGGGGCGGTGCATTTCGGTGGCGCCATGAATTATTTTGACTCTAGTATTATCCAAACACAACGATCTTCAAAATATAGTAGAAACTACTAACTACAGGAGCACACAGCGAGGCTTTTATGTTGTATTGGTGTGCTATATATTTATAAGTAAAATCGATCCCGTCCGGCCTTCGCATCTTCAGATTGCAGGCTCTGAGTCGTTGGAGCGAGATAAAAAGCACCAGCTACGAAGAACTGCATCACATCCAATTTTGTCCACTGGTCCGGGTCAGGATTCCGAGTTGTTGTTCATATTCTGTGGCGCATGAAGCCGCCGCAGGCCTTCGCCACTTCGGCCCGAGCTACGCCGGGGGTGCGGGTATTAAAAAGGGCCGGCCCCCTTACGCGTGTAAACCTTGGGCCGTGACGCTCCGGCGGCGTGAAAATTTTTTTAAAAAAAAGCGCCGCCGACGTAGCCAGTAGGCGGGCAAGCGCCAGGGCAAGCGCTGGGGCCATGTAGCCGCCGCAGCCTTCAAACACCAAGGAAGCCAGACGGAATAAATCTTCTTCGTTGCTTCGGCCCGAGCTACGCCGGGGGCGCGGTCATTAAAAAGGGACGGCCCCCTCACGCGTGTAGCCCTTGGGCCGTGGCACTGATCTCGGCGACGCGAAAATCCAAAAAAAAAAAAGAAAGGCGCCGCCGGCTTAGCCAGTAGGCTGGCAAGCGGAAGCGCGCGCGCTGCGGGGAATGCCGCCGCCGTAGCCCGCAGACACCAAGGAAACCAGACGAAATTTATCTTCTTCGCCACTTCGGCCCGAGCTACGCCGGGGGTGCGGATACTAAAACGAAAGCACCCGCCCCCGTATGCGTGTAACCCTTGGGCCGGGACACTCCGCCGGCGCCAAAATCTAAAAAAAAAAAGCGCCACCGCCGTAGTTGTAGGGGATACGTACCGCGCCGCCGCCGCCGCAGTACTATTTTTGAGGTAGTGCAGACGCATCACAAACCGAGTAGCTCAGCATTCTGACTCCAGCATCCCAAACTTCTTCCAGATAGCATTTTTAGAAAATGGCTCTCATGGGGCTGCGCATGAGAAACATTTTCCAATCTTGCAATCGCCCAAGTAGATACTAGGGGGAAAAGGGAAGGAGAAACTAGTAGTGTAAATTTGCCAGTAGATAAGGAACTCCACAACTATGTACTAGTGCTCACATTTTTATTTTTTCGTGATAGATGCGAGCAACTGCAACAGCAACCAATACCAAAATCAATATCAAAGACAGGACCGAACAGAGGACATGTTCGAACCAATATGCATGCAACAAGATGTCATCTCTTTCCTAGAGCTTTTGTCATCTGCCATACATTATATCACTCATGTGCACTTATTTCATTTATGATCACGATGGATGCTAAGTAACAACTGCTGCTCAGACGAAAAACAAGAGCGGAGCCATTTCATGCGACGAAGTTAACTTTCAGTCTTGCTTGTCCATAGTGGTGCTAGCAGCGTTTCGTGCACTGTTGTTCCACTATGGAGGCAGATCCGGTCGGTGGAGAATTTTTTCCGCAGCTATTTATTAGTAGAAGAAATGAAAGGTAAAAAAAAGAAAAAGAAACCACGCAACAATTTTGTCAGTTGATGCAGCGGCGCATTGCGGTGCATCGTTCGCATCCTATTCTTGTCCTAGCTTAATGTGACTTCACGCATTACTTAACTAACATTATTCGTTTATTTTGAGTGGCCCAGTAGATCCGAGTGGGACTGCGATCATTTGGGACCTTTAAACAACCTCAACAAACAGGATAAGCGTCACGATTTATGTCTTGCAAGAGAGAAGCGTATACTTCGCAGGACTGTCATCCAGGAAAGAAGGCGCCGGTAGAGCTTACTTACTCATTTGTTGCATCAACTTGGTTTCAGAAACACAACACATTTGCTCTGCATTTTGACGGAGAAAGCTTGCAATGCAGGAATCCAAGGGAAAACGCGACGGATGAACTGCCGCAGCCAGTACGCACAGTCTATCGCACTTGTATATCCGAGCCGCTGCGGCAGAAGAAGTTCATTCTTCACTGTGCAGACCAATTTTGTCAAATCCTGGGAAAAAAACGAAAAAAAAAGAGTACAGCGACTGCTTCAGCAAAACTTCCTGGAGTGGCTGGCGGAATGTGCGAGGCGCACAAAACGTCAATTCCTGTTTGCTGGTTCCTGTTTGTTGGCACGCATCATTCACTGTATGGATGTATTCACGAAGAAATGACAGGACGAGGGACACCGAGTGTATTTGAGTGATAAAAGCAAAAGAGCATTTATTGCTTCACAACTAACTGCATAAGCCTCTGGCTCTGAGGGCTGTGTTGCAAAACAAATTTTTCTGCGCGTTTGCTGCGCATTCGTTTCTTCTACAAGTGCTTTCCTAGCAGCACGCCGAGCAAAGTATCGATTTCGCTTGCCCGCTAATTTCTGAGCTAGAGGTTGTAGCCTAGTCACTTTAAAGGTCGTCCAAAATGTCATCTACCTCTTCGTCCACTCCGTCCAGCTCGAAACCCGGTAATAAAGCGGAGTCCACGTCCGCCGGCCTGGCTCGCATGCAGCAGCGGCAGATGCTTCGGCAAAGAAAGGCCGTTGGGCTGCCGCCGCTGGAAGCGCAGAACGTGCACAGTCGGGTGCAGCACCTGTTTAAGGAGAAGGAGCCACCGCAACTGTCGCTGGGGGAGCGCGGGTGTTATCCTCAGCGGGAAATAAGTCCACACTGACTTTATTTATTTCGGAGGCACGCAGTACAATTTCAATGTGCATTCTCTCCGTGGTGTGTTCGCACATTAGCAGTGACAGCAGCACAATCAAGCCATCTGCTTGTCCCATTTTTTTACAGCACAACCATTGCCAAAACACGACTGCAACTGCCTTTCATGGGGATGCGCATAACAAATTTTGCTGTAGACGCAAAGATGCATGACAGCCCTGGAGTCGTGGGGACGTTTTTCTTCAGGATAGGCGTCTGGGTATCATCATCCTTTTGGCGGTCGTGCCTATGGTGTGGACGCCACCCTTTATGGTCGACCTCGCCCGCATGCTCGACCAAGCGGTGGCGAGATAGTCGTGTATCTAGAACGGGCGTGCGCTCCACGGCTCGGCGTCGCGATGAATCCAAATGTGTAGATTTTGCAATTGCGTCAGGTCGTGGCTTCAACATGATAAGCCACAAAAAACAATGAATAAAATGAAAGCGGCAGAGAACAAAAAGTTGAACAACTATCTACGGAAGAGACTGCGCGTCATGATCATCTCAGCGCAGATTCAGTGCGGAAGAAGCACAACCACTCGGGGTGTCTGTTCCACCTCGCTACAGCAATTTAGTACGCATCTGCTGCGCCCGCATGAATCAATGCTTTGAAATGACGCTTATCTCCTGCACTGCTTGGTGAGAAGAGCGACATCAATCTGTCTCTTCTTCCCCCGTAACAATGAAGCGACTACTTTCTCTACCCGGTATCCATTTCTTTCCCTTTGTCCACACCGTTGTTTCTCGCATAAGAATATTACCATGGCACCATCATCATCATCATTCCCATGTTGTCGACTGTCCGTGGGTGTACTAGTACATCTCTTGGTTGCATCAACAAACTTGCTTGCTGCAAATGCTCTGGACACGGTCGAAGATTCGAGCTGGACCCTATCGCACGCCGCTTACTCCACCCCGTGGGAACTAGGTGCCCGAAGTCGTCGCGGCCTCGCAGCTTTTGAGAAGTTAGTTTTATTGCGGCCCAGCATTGATGCAGTGGACTCTCCTGCCGGAACAGCTCCAGCAACCACAGAGGATGCAACCGATAAGAACAGCGCAGAAGCCTCCGCAGCTGGCACCACGCGCAGAGAGACCAGCACCTCCGATAAAAATTTGCAGCACAACCAGAGGCCGGAGGGGGCCGGCATCTGCCCCCGCGGGGACGCGCTGCATCCGTTTTTCCTTGCGTCGAAGGACTACTACAGGAACGCGACACTGACCACCGTGTCCGGCAAGACAGTCGATACCGCCGCGGAAATCTACCCTTTTTTTGCCTTGGTACTGGGTCTAGAGGACGTTGTAAATGTCCGGAAATGTGGGGTGAAAGCCGCGTCCTTCCTCGCTTTGGTGGCCCGGTCGCTGAAACAATTTGGCGGTTTCGACGCCGCGGAAGGAGTGTTGCGCGTGGCCGAGAGGATTGCGAAGGCAGCCTACGGGAAAAACGGCGCGTTCCATTTCTCCTATGACTGGCTTGCGATGCACGTCGGCACGGCTTCTAATCCTGTCGGTGGTGAGAGTGATGGAGTTCCACTTGAGACGAGCAACGGTGAAAGTAGTAGTCTTTCAACACCGGATCTCAACACACAACCACGACCGAATGAATCATTGCCTCCACGGAAACTGCAAATCGAGTCCGAGCTGGTGCACTTGCTCGGACTTGGGCTGGAGGTGTCTGCCGCGGGAACGGAGTACTACGACCCCCCGAAGCCGCCGGATGGAAGCCTGTACAACTGTTACTACGAACGGGCGGAGACTTTCCGTTACGGGCAAGTGCCCAGGTTCAAAGCGATTTCGTTGTACGGCGACAGTGGTGGGCCACCACTTCCTCCAAGTGGTAGCGAAGAAAAAACGCCACGAATTGGTGAAGCGCACGAGGCAGTAGGGAGCGGGGATAGTAGTACAACTGCAGCAAACGACCCCGACCAGCAAGCATTCTCTGACCAGGCCGTGCTCATCTCCGCGCTCGGCAAGATGGATCCCGCCTTTGCGGACGCGCGGCTGCGTCTCGTACTGGAACAGTCGACGGTCGGAAATAATCTTCGAAAAGCGTTCATTAGGTTCGGAAATGATCTTCTTCTGGACAGCACGGTTTCGAACGCCGATGTCGACGACGAGCGGGGCAGAACTCCTGGCTGTCTATTCTCGCCTGCGAAGTTCGAGAAGTCGCAGCACCGCTGGGGGCGTGCAACCGCGGAGTTGCTGCATCTAGTGGAGAATACTAACGCTTTCAACGCGGGCGCGCTGCAGGGGCAGGAAGTGGAACCGGGAACAAATAACAAAAACCGGGCGATTCCATCCCTCCGCTCCACGTGGCAGCGCGTCGAGGCTGTCCTCGGATTTGTCCACGACCTGCGACTTCGGGACAATGAGTCCCACGACTTTGAGGACTTTGCGCTTCGCGGCTGGGGGGCGGTTTGGTTCTCCGTGCTGGAGAAGCTGCAGAAAGATTTTCAGGAGTATCAAGGTCTACAACTTCGTAGCCCCGACGAGGGGGAACAACAATTGCAGTCGGGGAAGAGAAAAGTTGAGTCCTGCGGTGTGCAACTAGAGCGGCTTCTTTTCGATGATGCTAGTAGAACAGGAAGCGAGGAAAGAATTCGCACGAACGACGACCCTCCAGAACAACTGTTCGACCAAGAAATGTACAGCTCGTGGCCCGCGACCGGGCGACACCCGGTAGACGCTCTGTACCGGGCCGTGGCGTACTGCGCACAGGAAGGGAACGACTGCCTCGTCCCGCTGGAGGTGTCGGCCACGGTGCTCGCGGGCGGACTGGGCGGATTCTGTCCGGAAGGCTGGACCGCGGCGTTCCTGAGCTTCGTGGAGCACGTGGTAACCGTGGTGCAGGAAGCGGAGGTCCGGAATTTATACCTCGACGTGCTGGAACTGCTGTCAAGAAACAATGATGTAGGTGCGAAAAATAATAATAATCTTCATTATGATGTCAATCTTTTACCCCTCCTCCAAAAACTCGGACAAGCTTTGGCGGGGAGGGAGACCACCTCTAAGCCTGAGGATCATGCAGTTGACCTCTACAAATTGCTCCGCGACGGGCTGGAAGAGGTGTCGCGGCAGCTTCAGGTAGTAGCGGAATTCCACCACGAATCGAAGATGTCGGTTCCCTTTGATGCCAAAGAAGGCCCCGACTTTACGCGCGGCCCCAGAACAAGTGCAGAAGCGGCGGCAAGTAGAAACAACCTCCGCGGCCACAGCTTCCCAATTTCCCGAAATCTCACCGCGGACTGGCGGCAGGACGCGTTGCGACTGCGCGTGAACAAATTGCAGAAACGGTCGAGGAATGCGATGTTTTCTGATGCCGGCGACCATGTAGACAGCAACGGGGAGGTTGACAAGAACGAGAGCAATACACGAGACGGCCTTGATCAGCATCTACTTCTGCCTGTCCCCGCATTGGAAAAGCGACTCTCACGACTGCGGCCGAAAACGACTTCCCCCGTGTACCGAACCTGGGCGCGGTTCGACTTGCCGCGGTTGCTGCAAATTTTGCTGGAGCAATTTTCCGCGTTTTCCGCCCGGCAACTGTTCGCGTCCCCGTGGCCCATCCTGACCTACGCGGGCAGGCTGTTCCGCCTGTTGGCGGAGACGGTGCCGACGTAATAGGTGAATGTCCAGGTAATTGTCTGCCGACGAGGTCGACAGAGACGGTGGGCACGTTGCGTCTTTGCCATGCTTCTAGAGGAAGATAATTCTTGTCTTCGCCGTGACGACGAGATAGGAACACGACGAGCTCCTGTGTCGCGCGAGAAAACTGATTCCACTGCGTTGAAATTTGGGGCCCACTCTACTACTGTAGCGATAGTGAGTGGAAAAAACACGATCTTCAACATAGTACGTGAGGACTGTGGTGCTGTGACAGTTGGTACCATAGATGAATTTGTAATCCTCAACTACTCATCGATAAAAGTAGCAGCGCATCAACGGCAAGCAATTCCGGGTATTGTACTCAATTACGTCCAAATTCATTTTACACCTAGAGGAGCAGTCTACATATCAACGACGTCGATGGTAAGAGGATTCTTTACAGTTTTGGTTTTATCGATTTATGCTGGCCGAGTAGGTGTTTCTCCTGAGAGCGGTGCCTCCCTGCTCGTTTCCTCCGGGTGGTCTGCGACATCATGTTCCACTTGATAGCAATATGTATAGCTAAAAACAGGTGTGAAGGATCCTCCTCCTCCTTTATCGATTTAAATTCAACGTGATAATATCTTCTTCACATTGCTGCTGGACAGCACGCTAAAAAAACCATGGGAAAACAAGCGAGCGCCGCGCCGGGCAAAGCTGCAATGAAAAAAAGCGCAGCAAAGCCGGTAGGGAAGGAGCGATTGAAAAGCAAAAAATCCTCGTCGTCCTCGAGCTCCGCACCAGCTCCGACGAAAACTGGTACAAATGCCAGTAAAAACGCAGCTCGTACTACGTCTTCCGCGTCTAGTGCAAAAAAAGATCCAGCACAGAAAAATACTACTATCCCCGGCGCCGTGGGCAATCTGATCGAGGCAAAAATGCGGGAAATGGTCACCAAGCGCGGCGCCGAAAAAACGTGCTGACCCTCGGAGATTCCGCGAGCGCTGTTTGCAAGTTCGGACTGGCGCGGCCTGATGGCGCAGACCCGCGACATCGCGGTCCGGCTGGCGAAGCAGGGCGTGCTTATGGATTGCAAATATGTCTGGGTCTGGAAACTTGTGATGCAAGTCCGTGAACAATAAAGTGCTCTGTAATGCGCCGCCAAGCATGACAAGTTTTTTCGTAATTCTGTGCTGCGTATTTCGCACGAAAAACTGCGCTTTTGCATGACAGGCAAGAGGACCTCTTGGTGGCGACGCAATACAGAGTGCAGAGTCATGCTAGACTAGCATGACAACTCTCGCAATCTTCCAGACCCAGACATTTTTGCACTTGATAGTGCTGACGATTGAACAAAAGGGAAAGCAGATCACGGTGGGAAACGCGGAGGAGATCAAGGGACCGGTGCGATTGCGGTCGAAGGTGTAAAACTTTCTTTCATTAAAGTACTTGCGCAAGACAAGTTTAGAATTCGAAATCCAACTCATCTCGCAGCCGATCGGTTGTTCATACGGAGGTCTAGTCAGAGTCAGCTTTTAGTGTGATGCCTCGACATAATTTTGACGACAACTACCTCAACCATCGAAAGGTGCAGAGTCGAGATATGTCAACGAGGTTGATTTTTTTTGCAGCGGAAATCGATGCAGGTGCAACTGATGGATTTTTGTTTGGATGAGTCTTTTCAGCTCGTGAACAGCGCGAATATGCTGGTCGGTTGCCCCGTGAAGAAATCGTAGTCATTTTGGATGGAAAACCACACGAGAAAACTCTCCTCATGCTTTGTTCGAGATGAACATAATATAATATTTCATCGAAAAGGAGCACAGACTCGAGGTGAGAGTTCTGTCCTGTTAATTTTTGATGACCTCGGATGTTGAGAGAATTTAGCTCAGCGCGCGTTCTCGGATAAGAAGGCAGACGAGCCCACCGCACTTTCGGGAGAGAAGAGTGATAATTCGCAGAGATTTATTGATGGTTCTGCACCTATGAAAAAAACCAGCGGCCCCAATTTTTGTTTTCACGGTAGCAAGAAAAGCTTTGCTTTTGAGTTGATGTTTATGGACAAACAGTAGACATGTAGAAAGATATCCAATGGGTCGTCGTGTCGCGGGATGAAATGAACACGACTTTTGAAATGTGTAGTATAGGATAACTAAGGTGGATTGACGTCTTCGTGAAGAACCTTCGTCGGGGGAGCTCTAGCGTAGTCGTTTGAAGATACAACTGTTGGTCGTAGTCGCGCAGAGTGAAGACAAACCATGACCTGTAATTTCGTTTCAAAAAACCTTCTAGGCCTTTTGAGAAGCTGCAGGTACGACAGCAGTAAGGAAGTCCATAGCAAGTAGGTATACTACGCTAATTGTGGTCTTTACGCCTGTGTCCGTTCCTTGTTTAAAAATGCATCCCCACTTGTATTAAAAACCTGTATCACAACATCAACATCTTACTAAAACTGCAAAAATGCCTCTCGCCGGCTCCACGACGCCGCTCGCGTCGGTGTTCGCGAAGACGGTACGTTTCGCGGTGCGCGTCGGCGAAAAAGTTGCCGACTACCTGGAGCAGCAAGACGATCGCGACCAAGGAAGGGCCGCGGTGGAGGTGACATCAACTACAGAGACATCTTCGCGAAGTGGTAGTGGAATTTCTGGAGTAGAAGTTCCTCGTTCTGCAGCAGTAACGTGTGACCACAGCACGACGACCAGTACAACAACCGAGGAAATAAACGAGTGTAGCCGGACCACGAGCATTTCGACAGCTACCACAACGGCTACATCGCCGACGTCCGAGACCTCTCTCTCGACCTCTACTACTTTTGGAGACCTTGACGTCTGCTTCTCCCAGCAAGAATGCGCGATCTGTCTCCGTTCTTTGGAAAAGGGCGCGCTGCTACGGACGCAGTGCGGACATTGGTACCACGCAGCCTGCGGGATGCAAGCCTGGCAGCGCCGGCCGCTTTGTCCGCTCTGTCGGGAACCGATAGATTGCGTTGCCGACAGTGTTGACACGTGCACGCCGGTCACGTTTGAGGATCTTTGCAGCGCAGGCAACTACTGCACCGGGGACCGGACTTCACAGAACAGTGTGGCGGCGAGACCGTATCTATGTTTTGCTTGGCTTTTTTTGCATGAAGTAAGTAGTCTTTGCATAATGATCAATTTTGGTTCCGAATCAATTAGATCAAGGGTACTTGTTCTTAAAGCCATAGCGAAGAACGTCCGATAAAAAAAACACAGATCCTTCCCGACAAATCCCGCGGATTACTTTGCCGGTTCGGATTCCGACGCATTGCGGCGTGTTTCGCAGGCCATCACACGCCTAAGCCTCGTGGACAATGCGCTTGCAGTGCGGCCTCGCGACGCTGGGGGGGCATCGTATTCGTTTGATTCATTTTTTTTTTGGTGCTAGTATGATGTATGTTAGGAGGTAGCCAGTTTCATCCACCATGTTTTCGGTTTCCTCGATACAAGGCTGGCTTTGAATGATTATGATCCCAAATAGTTTATTTTGAACAATAAAGCTGCCATTCTGAAATCAGTCGTTCTCCCGGCGACGACGCCACGTCCGGCACCCCGACCGGCGAGGAACGGCAGCGGCAGCAAGACGAATCCGTCCGTGGCATCCTCAACACCGTGCCCATAGATCCGCACGTGCTGGCCCGGATGCGGCGCGAGAACCGCAGACTCGGAACGCAGCCGGCTTTTTCCAGCATGCTGCGCGGCGGGGTCGAAAATAACGCTCACGGTCATTCGCGCGCACCGTCCACGGGCTGCATTTACGCCGATCTGTTCCTCGCGGACTTGGGAATCTGGTCTAATTTGAACTACAGCAGCGCGAACAATGCAAATGCTTCGTCCTCCTCTAGTAGCAGCACGGCGGCAGCCCTGTCGACGAGCCCGTCGGTCACGGACCTGAACACGATGGTGGAACAAGGATCTTCAAACCCGAATTCACCCACTACGACTTTTCGACGGGGGGAACAAAGACCGGAAGTGACGGACACAGCAGCCACAGCACCTTCAACATTATTCTCCACCACGACTTCTGGTAGCGCCACCTCTACCTCCACCAGCAGAGATGATTCCTCGCCCACAAGTAGGTTGCAGCAGAACCTGAACCGCGCAGCGAATCTTCCGACAGCTAACACTACGACAAATTCCACCTCCACCAGTGCCACCACCGCGGAGGAGCTTTTGGAAAACGGGACGTTGAACCTACCACCTCTCACCGAGTACCAGCACTCGCTGCTCCGCGGCGTGTGCCTCGTGCAGCTGATCGACGAGCTGTTTCAGTACGCGTCGGTCGGGCACTACGAGGCGGTGTCCGCGATTTTGAGCAGTGGGTTTGTGGACGTGAAGTCCGCGAAGGACGTCTGTGGCAACACGATCCTGCACTTCGCGCGGAACCTGGACATTGTGAAGCTGTGTGTCGAAACCTACCACGCCGACGTAAACGCGGTAAACGACGCGGTGTGGAGTCCGCTGCACTGGGCCGCGGAATGCGAAAACCCCGCCTTGTGTTGGACGCTGCTCCAGTACGGCGCAGACCCGACGGTGTATACGAATTGCTCCAGGACCGCCAGGGATCTCGCCACCTCCGACGCCGTGCGGTCCGTCTTCGACTCCTTCTCCTCGCGGTCGGCGTGAAGGTCAGAACTGTGGATGGATTTAGAATAAGGTGTATGCGTCTCTGTGAATTTCTCCTGTCCCCACTCTAGTAAGTACTACACGCCCACCTACTTATACGACAGTGAATACCAAGATTACAACCACCTGCAGCACCACCCTTCTACGAGTATCAGCCCCTTTTATTTAGCACCATCGAAAAAAAGCCGCTTAGGATGTTTGACCTTTTGCAATTTTGAAAAGTCTCGGATAAGATAGATACACCCTTGTTTAATATTCTGTTTCGAACTGTAAAAATGTCGCAAGTGTACAGACCCGCAATGTGATGTGGAATCTATGCTGGCAACTTAAAATATAAAAAGTCTACCCCAGTAGTTGACGGCTCTGTGAATCTTGATCTTTGATCGTAAGCCTGAATGACTGGCGGTGAAAACGAGCAAGAAAGATTCCCAAGAAACATTTTCCTAGGAAGTGTTTCCAGTTTTGAATTTTGGTTTGTTTCTGATTTAGTACCGAGCAATGATGCTAAAAGTTGAAAACAACAGCTTTATTGCCAATAACAATTAAGGACGGCACGAAAATGAGCAGAACTGGCACTGTAATGCGTAAGCTGATAGCGGAGCTACGGATATCTGAACTAGGTGGTTTAAAGAACTTTCTTCAGCTTATGACTTTCCTGAAGTTTCGAGTTATTCAGCACACACTGGTGTGAGTATGATTCTCTACGTATTGACTTCACTCAAAAACATACGTAGCAAATCGGTTCTTGCACAACTGTTGGTTTTTGCAGCGTCTGGGCGCAACATCCAACAGAAAAGGGAAATCCGCCACTGCTGCTTCTTTCTGAAGAGGTATCCGTTGGACTGGAAAGTATTGAGTGCGCTAGTGGACAAATTCAGCATCGCCGGCCTTCGGAAACAAGGGAAGGACTGAACTAGCGCCACCCGAGCTTTTTTTTCGATGATCTCTTTACTCGTTTTCTTGGACACCAATATGATAATCCCACGCCCGTATGAGTTTTCAAATGACGCTGTCAATGTCAGTTTTGACCGAAAAAAATAAATTCCTGATAGAGATGAAAAAGGCCTGAAGCAACCACAAAAATCGTGGAGCTACAGCGTGCTTCCGATACAGTAAGTAGACCACGGGTGCACCTGCTGAAGCCACTGCGTGCTCCCGCGTTCCCGCCTGTCTTTAACTTGCCGAGAGAGTAGCGAGGTCGTTCGTGTATCGCTCGTGCGAATGAATTTTTGAGAGTCTTGAGTGAACAAGTTCAAGTAGAGATGTTTGCTCATGGTTGTGTTCTTTTGTGGCGCATTTTACTGCATTTTAGTACAACGCTAAAGACTGCAGCATTACCATTACTCGCAAATTATTGGAAGCATCTCGACCGCGTCTCCACACTCCAAAACCATGCCTCCCTGCTTCCAGCAGAGCGACTTCGCCCGCATGACGGGAGCTGAGCTGGCCGCGGTCCTGGCCGGCCACGGCAAGTCGGTGGCGAACCCGCGGGCGAGCAAGCAGACACTGATCGAAAAGTTAGTCAAGATTGAGGAGGTCACGGAGCGCGGCCTGATGCACGACGCCATGACGCGAACCGGGTTGATGAACTTGCTGGAGGGGATGGGGAACCACTCCTCTTCGAATCAAGTGTTTTCCCGGGGCATGCTATGCAATACAAATTTCCCGTACATGTATGAAATGCATGACAAATTTTGCTAGCTTAGAGTGTCCAAATTTTCATGCTGACTACGATTGAAGGCAAGTTTTGTCATGCAGAAACAGCATTCATACGTGTGCGGGAGATTTGGATTTCCTGTGGATACATGCTGGCGACGCGGGTCATCTCCACACTGAACAAGCGGGCCCGGCTATCCAAGAAAAAAAACGTTGTTAGTGTGAATTTGTAATGCGCAAGAACATGCAAGATAATTACGTCTGTCATGCTTGGCATGGATTGTAGGGTCCAGTAAAGGGCGTTTTCACATCCTCTCTGCGCATGACAGGTTTTTGCTGTCATGCCAGACAGATTTGTAATGCTGTTCCTCCAAAAAAGTTACACCTACAATGTTTTTTTCTTGGATACCGCCAGGAAGAAAAGAAAAAACTGGAAAAGCAAAAGGCAATCGAAAAAGCGAAAGTAAAGGAGCAAAAAGAAGCGGCAAAGGCGGAGGCGGCAGCGGCCAAAGTCGCGAAAGCGAAGGAGAAAGCGGAGAGGAAATTGGCGGGAAGTAGTAGCAAAGCGGTTCTTGTTGTTCCGGTGAATACGAAGATGACTGCGCAGCAGGCCGGCGCTCTTCCAAAAATTGCAGGGCCTGCCGCGAAGATAGTAAATCCGGACGATCCAATGCAGCAGCTGCGAAACCAACCCGCAGCGCCATCGCAGATGAATGCAGGATCTAGTTTATCTAAAGCTGATTCTAAGCCGAGCCGCGCTGTCCAACAACCTACTGTCGCTAGTAGAAGTGCAACTACTTCTGTGTCTGTTCTCGCTCCTGCTGTTGCTGCCTCGGCGAAAGACAGCGAAAGAACCGACCCGGCGTTGCGGTACCCGGGGTTGCCGAAGGACTGCAAGGATAAATTCCAAATCAACGTGTATTTTCGCGAAAAGTGGAGCAAGTATCCCTACGTGAAAGACGACTCGGTGAAATTCGTAACCGAAGCCGACACGCAGCTGGTCCGACACATCCCAGAACTCCAGTACCAGACCGCGTTCCTCCCCTTGGAACACGAAATCAAAAAGGTGCGCAAGCAGTTGCAAGGGGGCACGCAGGAGGTGCTGATTCTTATTTGCGATCTTTTTTTTCGTTCGTCGGGCTTAGTTATTACGTTGCTCTATCTAAGCGAGATTTTGATGATTGTGCAGCATCGAAAAAAAAAAAATCCATCAGGTGCATACCGAGATTATGAAGCGGCTCCACGATGTTGAAAATTTACCGGAAGCGGAGAAGAAGAAGTCCTGCGAGGGCTCCTTGGTCACTTCATGGGAAGATTTCTTCTACGGCGGCACCTCCATTTTTCATCTCACGGCGAATTCCTTCAAGGTGGTGTGGCACAACCACGGCGGCATTCTGTACTGTTGGTACCACCACAAAGCGCACCAACAGTTCTGGTCGCAGTTCAGCATGAAGGAGCGGAAGCAGGAGTCGGACCTGGTCTGGCAACGGTGGATGGAGTTGTTCGAGAAGGAATTGTTCGTCCCCATGGCGCAGAGACTGACCACGCATGTGCAAAAGTATTTGCAGAAGAAGCAGAAACTCGTGGCAACGGTGGACGCGCGGAAAAAACAGATCGAGCAGCAAAAAATGCTGTTGGAAGAGAAGCGGATCATGCAGGAAAAAATGGAGCAGAAAAAGCGGGAAGAGGAGAAACTTCTTGCCGCACGGATGTTGAAAAAGCAGGAAGAAGAATTGCTGTCAAAGAAAAAACAAGCCGAGCAATTACAATTAGAGGCGGAGCGCGAGAAGAACGCCACTACGGTCGAAGAACAACGGGGTGCGGAAACTACGGGGCGGATGCAAGCTACAACTGGCGAAGGAGCCACCGCGAACGGCGGTGCTGCCGCGGAACTGAAGAGCGCCGCGGGAAAGAACAAGATGAAACCGACTGAAGAAGAAGTGATCAATCTCGTGTCCTCTGATTCCAGTAAGTCGTCCTCCGTCGCCGTCGTCGTGGAAGTTGTCGATAAGAAAGTAGTGGAACAGCAAGCAGTTATCAACGAGAGCGCGACAGAGGTGCTCGATGATGCAAAGGCCGTCGTGGTATCAGGAACTGTCCCGGCGGTGTCGGACGGGGAATTGGTGAAAGGAAAAAGACCTGCCTCCGTAGGAGCCGTGCAGGAAGCAGAGTTTGTAGCCTCTGGGGAGCAGGACAGTTCGCTAAAAAAACGGAAGATTGAGGAACTGGAACAGTTGTAAGCAGCTGGTATGAATTGCAGAATGAGAGACGGTTAATGTTAAAGCTGTTAGCAACTTCAGATTTATTTTTCGCTCGAAAGTTTCTAGTACATTACAGAGCTAGGTTTGTAAACTCCGCTGTGATCTAAATTTGTATCCTTCGTATGAAGCAAAAAAAAAGGAGAAACCGACACTGCCACAGAAAGAAACTCACCGCAGATGATGTCGTGCTTCTTTTGCGCAAGAAGTTAGTACTTCCTTGAAAATATTGACTATGCAAAAGAGACGGATCCTGAGTACATGTGTTTTTTCTCCCAAGCAACAGAGGTAGAAACTGTCCGCTAAGACATGACATGATTGTTCCTGAACGAGCAAATAGCGCAAAGACCCACCACTCTCTCACACAGAAAAGGATCCAATTAGTACATGATGGCTACATACCGCTTCTATGAGAAACGCGAATCAATCTCGATTTCAATTACGCAAGCACTGTGCACAGCGTGGCGGTGATCAGCGATCCATTTTTATCAAGAATCCAATCACTTCCCACAACTGCGAGCAACATTTTTGATACAATCTCCACCACATGCAACTACACACCAGGGCACCTAGAAGTGAGTGAGGTTTTTTCATTCGCTTTTTCGCGCTTTTGTTTTGTTTCCCTTTTACTTCACATCAAACACCATCAATTTTCGCGACATATTTAGCATTCCTAAGTATAGAAAATTTTTGTGAAGTGGAAAGAAGCACATTAGTGCTAACATAGCCTAGAGAAAGATCTGCTGCAGCGTTTCTCGTTGAGCAGCGCGGCAATTGCTCGCAGATCTCCATATCTTTCCTGCGTTTCAACAACAAACGGCATCGAGACTTTTCAAAATTTTGAAAAACACCTTATTTTTGCCGTGCGCAAGTTGCACCGCGGCACTAATAGCAAACCCCTTTCCATATTACCCTGGCGACAACGCCGTCCGGTCTAATTAGCTGTGAACGTAGAATTTTCTACTAGCATAGGAGTAGGAAATTCATCTAGATTCCATTTTGGAACTAAAATAAACCCTTCCTACTGTCGTCTTTTCACTGTATTATCCAAAGACAAAGACCGTAAGAACTTTTTCCACGAACAACGAAGATGGGAGGCTTCCGATTCTTGTCGCTGATTAAGCCCGTCATGGTGCTGCTGCCGGAGGTGGCGCAGCCGGACCGACGGATCCCGTTTAAGGAAAAGCTGCTGTGGACCTCGATTTCCCTCTTCGTTTTCCTGGTGTGCTCACAAATACCGCTGTACGGAATCATGTCCTCCAAGCTGAGCGATCCCCTCTACTGGATGCGAGTACTATACTTACGACTGTTTGATGTTGCAACAGTGTGTTTGGAGCTATTTCTCGCGTCGTGCTTTGGTTAGTACCTACGGTGTCTCACGCAAGAGCTGCAACAGCACGTCCACGTGCACGGCGCCGCGCGCGGAGGTGTTGCAGCAGTACCATAATATGTACGCGCGAGAAGCAACGAAAAGGGGATGGACAAAATGTCCTCGTCGCACCGATGTACTGTGGTTTCAAAACGTGAAAATAAACCCAACTGTAATATAGGTACTTATGGCTTCAAACCGTGGGTCTTTGATGGAGCTGGGTATTTCGCCGATCGTGACTTCCTCTATGGTGATGCAGTTGCTCGCGGGTTCAAAAATTATTGACGTGGACCAGACCCTCCGCGAGGACCGAAATTTGTTCAACGGCGCACAGAAATTGTTCGCTCTGCTGATCACCTTCGGAGAAGCAACAGCGTACTGATTTACTACTGTTTTTTTGCCTGCTTCAAAACCAACAAATGTTATGTACGTGCTGCTTTATTATTATTTTCCGGTATGTACAACGGGGCTGCGTCTGCGTTCCACGTGAAAAATGAATTCCAAATAATCAGATACGTGCTTTCTGGGATGTACGGGGATGTCCGCGAGCTTGGTGGTGGCAACTCCATTCTGATCATCATCCAGCTTTTCTTCGCCGGCGTCGTGGTGCTTCTGCTGGACGAGCTTTTGCAAAAGGGCTACGGTCTGGGCAGCGGAATTTCGCTCTTTATTGCAACCAACATTTGCGAGGCGATTGTGTGGAAAACCTTCTCCCCGACAACCATCAACACCGGAAAGGGAACCGAGTTCGAAGGTAGGGGTTATGTGGATAAATTGGGTTTTCTTTGGCTTGCAGAAATAAAACAAAGAGTGGCGTGCTACGTCTATCTTCGATCATGCAAGAACGGGGGTTCCTTCCGGGCATCGTGCTGTTGATTGAAAATGTCTTCAGGTAGGAAACGATTGTTCTCTACAACTATTACTATCAGGTGCTATCGTTGCGCTGTTCCACCTGGTTTTTTCGAGGTCCGACAAATTCCAGGCAGTCAGGGAAGCCTTCTACCGACAGTCTGCACCAAATCTGACCAACGTGTTTGCAACCGTTCTGGTCTTCCTGATTGTCATTTACTTCCAAGGTAAGCACACGGAAAATCTTCTTTCTTGAAAAAGAAATCGAATGCGGATGTCGAAAAATGTGTCATGCAGACCTCCGATGGTATTTTCTCTTTGTGTAGCACCAAATAAGCGCATGACAAATAAATGCACTAGCCCGTACAACGACCACTACAGGCTTCCGCGTCGATCTCGCGGTGAAGTACCAGAAGGTGCGCGGACAGCAGGGCAGCTACCCGATTAAGTTGTTCTACACGTCCAACATTCCAATCATCCTGCAAACCGCTTTGGTCTCCAACCTGTACTTCTTCTCCCAGCTGCTGTACCGCCGATGGAAGAGCAACATGCTGGTATAGTGAAGTGTGCATGACATATCGGATACTTTGTTGACGGTTTTGAATCACAAATATGCAGCATTAGACCACACGGAGATGAAACGGAACAGTCAAAATTATGCTCTGCATGGTAGTGTTCCGCATGAGAAACCTGTTTTGCTTTACTGTTTGTGCATGACAAAACAACAGGTCAACCTCCTCGGACAGTGGCAGGACCTGGACTACGGCGGTCAGTCTATCCCGGTCGGAGGCCTCGCTTACTACATCTCCCCGCCTAACAGCTTCTCCGACATCTGGGTACTACAAACTTTTTTTCTGTGCATGATCACCAGCCGGTCCGTGCATGGCAGATGTACTATGAGCTTTCCAGTGTAGAAGTTCATTGCATGACAAACACGCAAGCACCGCATTTCTGTTTAGCATGACAAACGCGCCGCAAGACCATTTGGCTACTTCCTATACATCCTACAAATTCATCACCGCCGGTCAATTACATAAAAAAACAGGTCGATCCCATCCACGCTCTGTTCTACATCTCCTTCGTGCTGTGCAGTTGCGCTCTGTTCTCTAAGACCTGGATCGAGATCTCCGGCAGCATATGCATTGCAAATATGTCTGGGTCCGGAACAAGCTTGTGATGCTAAAGTATGGATGAGGCTTGTGCTTTCAAGTACAGCCGAGCATGACAAAATTACTTGACACCGTCTGTTGCTATGTAGCACGCATCACAAACTGCGTCTTTGCAAAAGTAAACGCTTTTGCTGGCTAGGCAACACAGATTTGTCACAGGAATGCTAGACATGCAACACAAGTTCTTGCACTGTTCCAGACACAGACGTGTTTGCATTCGATACAGCAGCCCCCGTGACGTCGCCAAACAGCTCCGCGACCAGCAGCTCTTGTTTAAGGGGTACAGGGAAACCAGTCTTATCAGCGTGCTGAACCAGGTAAGGATTTTTTTTCCTGTGGTTGGCGCATCGGAATTTTCTATCTGGGGTAACATCAGATGCAAAAACTTTCCTTTTTCATCTTGTTATGCCTGTTGCGCTGTAAATTTACATGTTCAACATCACTCCCCACACCGAAAATTCTAAACAGTACATCCCGACCGCGGCTGCCTTCGGTGGTATGTGCATTGGTATGCTGACCGTGGTGGCGGACTTCTTGGGCGCGATTGGCTCCGGGACCGGTATCCTGCTCGCGGTCACCATTGTGTACAACTACTTTGAGCTCGTCTACAAGGAAAAGGAACAGGGCAACTTGCTGTTCTAATCGGAAGATGATGTAGTTGGTCAAGACCAGTGCGGAAATGCGGTAGATGAAGAAGCTGCATCAGAGACAAGACAGTACAGGAGCTACTTCTAGACGCGGAATTTTTTTTTCAAGCGCAAACGCGTCAAAACAGTAAGTAGATGACACGAGGACAGCTGCACACTACAATCACATTCTATAGGCTAATATTGACACTAATGTAGTAGACACGAGAAAATGTTGAAAGTTAAGATTGACACAGGCCGGCTGGCGCGCGGATGATTTTTAGCGGTTGGCTATAGGTTTTCTGCTCTGTAGGCTAGCCTAACAGGGTTAAGCAAGATACTATCATCATCATCAGACGTTAAAAATTGCTCAATGTAGTAGGACCAAATCGCTTTTGGTTTTGTATCAGACCAGTTTTTTAATGCTATGTATCACAACTACTCTATCGGAGTAGTAGATGTACTAGATCGACGAGAGCAACTATATGCTAGCTGTGTATTTAACGAGTTTTTAATACCTGATGTTTATGTTATGTCTCACCTCCTAGACACAGGTTGAGGCCACGACCCTAGGTCCTAAACGTGACAACTGTATCACCTCTCCAGATTCAATGAGCTTATTTAAACGACGACATACGGATATGGATAAAATGCAGTTACAGGAACGTGCTTGTACTCTTCATAGCGACCACTTTTCTAGAACAACTCTTGAATGCACTTTAGCATATACAGCGACTCAGATCTTCTTGAAACCGGCGTAGCTGCCTGGTGGATAAAGTACCAAGAATGTGTCGTGGTTTAAAACTTGGTATAAAAGAACTCGTGGCAAAGAACGAGGAATTTCATCCCTTTTTTACGTTTTTAGCATCCAAAATCGAAATCTGAATCGAACACTTTCATCGCAGGTTAATAAGGTTGAGAGATACATAACCTACAATCGATTTTCGCTTTTCACGTCACGAAAGATGCTTTTTTGCAAGCTGTAACGTTTCACGCTTATAAAAACATCACTCCTTTTGATGGTCTCAACTTCCCGTGCTCTTTCCTGAAGAATTTCGCACTCCCTCCCAAGAAAATTTTATCGCGCGTCTTCGCTACGATGGTTGAAAGAAGCAGCTAAGGTCGCGCTTGTGATGGGTTTTTCTTTCCGTGTGGGGAGGCCATTTTCAAACAAAGAAACTGAGCGTGCCATGCAGCGCCTAAATTATCGAAAGAAAATTTACGGATCAAGAAAGAGGCGCCATCTGCGAGAGAGCGGTGTCTTGCCGTCGTGGTTTTTTTGCATTGGTTATCAAACTTCGCTTTTCGAAAATTGACGTACAAACAGAGAACAAATCGCGAGAGTGCTTGATTGCGAGTAGTTCAGGAGCGACGCTTGTTACTTCCAAAAGGCTTCGTTTTTGTTCGTTTTTGAAAAAAAAACACACACAGCAAACTACCATAAACCACTAGATTTTGTTGGCAGGTCCCCCTGTTGCGAACTTTTTCAGCTTTTTGACTCCGCTTTACGTGGCATTAGCAAACACACATTGAAGACAATCGGCAATATCATGTCTTCGCGCGCCGTGCATTTCTGGATGGTGGCCGCCGCAGTCTCCTTGAAGCTGCGCAAAGACGCCCCCGGAGCTGTCCGTGGAGGTGAAGTTGCACACGGACCAGGCGACAGTAGCGGTATGACCCCGGTGAGGTCGCCGGATGTGACCTATGCTCCGTCTGCGGTTGGCGCTGGTACCTACTCTGAGGCCGGATCCGTCGCTGCAAGCTCTGCGGATCGGGCCGCCAGCATGATCAGTTCGCTGATGGCCAACTCGGGGGCAGCCGGGTCTTCTACGCCGGAAGCGTCCGTTGCAGGGTCGGCTGGCGACGCTGCGAACGACGACCGGATCAAGGACATTGAACGGGACCTGATTGCTGGCGCAGATATCACAGACAAAAATGCCTGCCGGAACAACAGGTTGTCATGTAAAAAATCAACAAAAGATTCCAAATCATGCATTCGCTCCACCGACCACACTTTACTCTGCAGCACCGAACGTATTGCATGAAAGATTGTGAACTGTGGTGGCACTTTTGCCTGTGATATTGCAGGCCTTCGACAAATCCGCTAGCGTCGGAGAAACACCGGAGCAGCGGGAGTTGCACAATGCGGTGAAAGCGGCTCTGGTCAGCTCGCCGACGAAGCTCGGGTCCTATCCGGTTGCAGGTGCGAGTGCGGGCGCAGCTTCCTTTCTTGGCGTAGTGCACGGCAAGTTGTCCCTAACCAAAATGGCTAGCATCGCAACCAGCGTGGCCAAAGCTGCAGAAGCCCACGTCGTGTCGGGAAGAGCCAATGCGCAGTGCGACCAGTGTATCATCGGAAGAAAAAAATGTTGTCTTGAAACGGGAAGGAATGTATGCTGCGTTGCTGGGTTCGCGACCCAGAAGTGCATTCTTTTTCTTCGCGAAACGAAACAAATGGTGAAAAATAAAGGGCTGTTAGTACTTACCATAACGAAGTTTCCATAGGTGCATGGCAAAACCAAAATATCCATAGATGCATGGCAAAAAATGCTGTTTCAAAATACAACAAATTTTTTTCAACCCGATACCGTCCTGCCAGCCGAACTTCAGCACGTGTCCGCAAGGGTGGGAATCTCGCCGGGACGGCTCCTGCACGCACCCTTCCAGCTACACGGGCTATTGCAACAAGCCGCTGCGCCCGGCAGACTTCGCTGCCGCGGCGCTTGAGGAGTTTGAGGTCTACTGCAGCGCGTGCTTTCCCTGCTCAGCTTGAAGAATCCCTTGTGCCAGTTGTATTCCTTTAAGTTATTGTGCTGCCACTGGCTATTTTTTTTTTGACTTGCTAATATCGGTTTTTGCCGGCTTGCTGAGCTACGATCCTCTCTTGTAAAAAAAACTGTGGTCCGTTACTTTCTTCCAGTCTAACCCGTTTCGAAATGTTCTACTGCTGATGGCGTTCGGTCTACTTCCCGGATGGTGACGCTTTCAGGATAATGGTCTATGTTTCAATAGAAGGATTGCAAATGAACGTTATTTTACCGCTAGTACACATTGCTTCTACGAAACAATAAAGGAGCTTTCTTTTAAGTATTTGATGTATTTATCCCGTGCTCTTCCTGAAGAGTTTCGCACTCCCTCCCAAAAAAATTGTATCGCGCGTCTTCGCTGGGAGGTGCCGTCACACTCCCGCAGCTGAGACAGTTGCTTAGAAACTCGAGCGTCTGTGTACTACAAAGTGTTCATCCCTGAAGACAGCGTTCGTTGGCACTTTCTTAAATACCCAAAAAGTCGGGTCGTGGCGTCAGGCGTAGTGGATTAGTTACATGCGGGAGGGGGTACAGCTACTGGGTGCAACAGCCACGACAGACGCGGGCGCGTAGGAAGTGTCACACTTGAATAAACTCATTATCGGTAAAAAGACGTTTGCTATATTTCCCACTGACAAGTCGTCGCGCTCACTTTATCAAAATTGTTTCGCTACACACGTCACGTCGTGAAAAATGTGTCTTCATTAGCCCTGTCGTTTCATCAAAATCGGTCCTATCGTGATGGCATTTCGTGGAAAAAAGTCGTGCGCGGCTGCGGGTGCGCTCTCTCTGCAAGTTGCCTTTCTACGATCCTGACGTGGTGGTTTTCTTATTTCCTTCACTCATTTCCTTTTCCGATGTGGAGTTACTTAGCACTTTTTTTTTCGGATCACAAAAAAGCGAAAATCGATACAACGGCGGATGAATTTGGAGTAACAGTAAACAGTAAAACAAAAACCCTACTTCCCGCTCTCATCGTGGCAAGAACTATCTATACTATTTTTGTACCAAGCGGCTGATAGAGCGAAAAAATGGATCCCCACCACTTCCAATTTGGGAAGTGGGTGAAGCGAACGAACTCTGAGCCCGCGAAGAGACCGTCGAAGCCGGTGCCAAACAGAAAGAAAGACCCGGCCGGGGAAGGGTACGGGAGCTTGTACGGAGCGGACTTTACACCACACCCAGGTGCGGGGATCTGGGCTAACCCACGAAGATGGGAGGGGATAAGGAACATGTAATTCACTATGAGAGAAATTCAAAATTCTGTTACCGTTTTTCCTAGCACTCAAGCGTTTGTGCAAGCCTCGGAATAAGTTTTTAGTACTGTAATGAGATAAGACATCAAAGTCAACGACAAACGTAAAACAAACAGGTTCTCAGAGAAGCCGCGACTGCCCCACCAAAAGTTCGCAAAGACGCCTTCAAAGAACGCCATGCTATTCGCGGAGCCGAGTTCCACATGGACTACGGACTACAGACAGAATATCGGTCACTTCACGTTTGCAGAAGGTAAGTAGTGAAAACCAGGCAAACGATTTGTACTTGTGGGGGTCGTCTTGACTCAGCTGATGTGCAGCTCTTGTTGCTCCTGCATCTTCTAAAGTCAAAAAATCACCTTTACTACAGGTATAGCCCAGAAAAGACAAAAGTGCCAGCTTGGGCAGGGGCGTGGTAGCCAAGCTTTTGAGGAAGACGGAGTTGGCATGAACTCGACAAGCAAATTCTGGACAAGCGACTACAGAGCAGGACCGGGAAGCAAGAAAACGCCAGAGCAGATGGTACTTACTCGCTTGTCGATTTTAATGGAATCGTATGTCTCGCAGACTCTCCGTAAGGAAATTGTTGCTCAGTAAGTCGCTCGTGACAACAAGTATAGTTCGCACACATTGCATTCAACGAGTGATCAACATGATGAAAAAATCACAAAGGCGCGCGCCAAACGGGAACCACCAGAAGCGTTCAAGTCAAAAATGCCGCCCTACTACGAGAGAATCCATCCACACTGGGGCGACCTGAAGGACAATCCCTACGCAACCGGCTACAAAGGATGTAAAAAAACATTGTGGTTGAATTTGAAAATCGGTCGAATTCGAAGGGGGCCTCGCTGCATTTTTAGGTTGTGAATGCATGGCACAAGAAAGAAAGAAGAATGAGAATCATATTCGAACAAATGAAACCATCAAACAGGGCTCGCATCCGACTACCAGGAGGGTAGCGGCTACCGTGACGAACCGAAGATCTACCGCGCCACGCGACACAGCAAGGATGAGTACCGCTACATCCGAGGGTGCTTCCACTACCCGATCAAGCCTCTGGTGGGCTACTAGACCCGGGTAGTTGAACGTGTTACAGTGGAGTCCAGTGACTTCGACGTACATTTACAGTTACAGGTTACAGTATGAATTTACACAGGTTTCAGAATTTGACATCACAGTTTTCCCACGGCGCTTGTTGCCAGTGAAAACTTTTACAAAAGTTGTCAAAGTTTAGAAGCAGAAGTGCCATTTACTATGTTAGCTTTGAAGATGTCATGATACACATCTACGTGGTCTTTGCCGGTGCCCCCTTGTAGATTTGATTCCGGGTCATAAAGCGCAGTTTCCTTGTACCTTACCTCTGGACGATGTTTCAACATCGAACTCTTTGTACAAAAACCACTTGATGAAGACGAACACGGTAGGAATAATTCGATGGAACAAGTCACATGGATTTTGATTCGAATCCCAAAAATCAAGGAGCGCGGGCTCGTTCGTTGTGAGTGTCAAGGGGAAGATAGAAAGACGACACTCTCTTTTTGGTGTTTCTTCGGGTTCTCTGGATTTTCGCTTTGCGTTTCGTCCAAAGTACCCCGGAGCAACACTGTCGCGAGGTGAAGCGCAGGAGCTGCTTTTTTCCATCTTGTTGGAAATAAGAAAGCGGTCGTGCCAACGACAGTGTGCGGTCTCGTTTTGCCGCGGAGTCACTGGCCTACTCCAGGAATTACGTTTAGATACGTGCAATAGACAACTCGTGCAATCGATAGAGAAAGAGAAAAGTAATTCTTGCAGTTGTTTGAGCGAAACTGAGTTGACGTGGAGGTCGTGGCTGTTGTTTTCGTGAAGGGGAGACCGAGTGGGAGTACTCTTTCAGTACAAGGCTTCACTTTGATGTTGAGGTTTACTCTTGTAAGAGTTGTTAGAAAAACAAAAGGGATCGAGAGAGGGATAGTTTTCAGTCGTATGCCACAAGTCCTGACGAATTAAAACTGTTGCTATTCTTCACCAACCTTCTGCAATACTCAAACGGAGCCCGATTCTGAAAGCCTAAAAGTAAAGTCTGATCACCAATTCTTCCAATAAGCGAAGAAGATGGAAATCTCTCGCTTGTCCGGCAGAGAACCCGGAAAAAGCGGTCGCGGGCCCGGAGCGGGACAGTCGACGGCACGACAAAGCACAGGTCGTGCAAACCTTCTGACGCGCTTCCTGCAGGACATCAACGGCTTTGGGAGCAAGACTACGACGGGCAAAAACAAGAAGAGGAGCACCTCCGTGGTGCTCGCCACCATCTTCATCGCCTTCCTCTTCGTCTTGGCTTTGTTCCACCTGACCTCGTCGTTCTCCGCACAGGTTGATGCGCGGCGGTACATGCTCCGATCGGAGAAGCGCCTTGCGGCAGAGCGAGCAGCTGCTGCGGCAAGTGCCGGCCAGGAAGTTGCTGCGCAAGGTGGCGACCCGACGACAACGATTGGCGCTTCTGCGCAAACTACCGGCGCTGTTACAACCTCAACTTCGTGGTTGTCATGGTTGCATCCCTTGTCGTGGTTTCCTGGAGATGGAAGAGAATCGATGACTGCGTCTTCTTCGGTGCCACCGTCGCAGGAATCAGAAACAGCCGCTGGCGAAAGCGCTACCGCAGGAGTACAAGATAAAGTGGCTGAACACATACCAGTCGGCCTTCCACCAGCAGCAGCTGCAGCACTGTCGTTCGTCGAGGTTAGCAGGACTACCTCTGCTTTGCAGAGCGCGTCCTCTTTGACACCCGCAGGAACGACACCCGCAGTGCCTGCTGGTACTAGTTTTTCTGTGGATGTATATGTGTATCTTAGGTAGGTTGCCGTCGCGGCGGCGGCCGAATAGCAACAGATACTAGATTATGCGCTTCGCTTGTATTGCTATTGTTTGTTTTTGCTCCAGTTCCCTCATCTATGTCTATCGGAACATCAACATGTCCAAAATGAAGTGACACCAAGGTCGGTCCTCGTGTTGCAGCACAGTGTTGTTCTTGTGCTTCCTCCTGATTTTCATATTTTCTTTCATCTTTTCGAAAAATTCCATACAGGTGCAGGTGATACGGGACCGGTTGCGGATGAACCTACAGAGGTTCCGGTTCCGGTGTCGGACAAGAGTCTGGCTATAGAAGGGCGCAGCATGTTGGTAGACATCCTCCTTTCGAGCCCGTTGATTTGGCAATTTGGCCAGGGATCAGCGCATATGCATGCAAAAAAAAACAGACGGAACCAAAAAGTAAAAGCACTCTCATGTTATGGCACGCGTCAGGATGGCACTTCCACTTCAACTTCAACAGCTACAACAGAACTGCGACATGATCAACAACTAGGCATTGTGAGCGACATATGATTATGACTATGAGGCTCTTGTCGAGTTTCTGGTCAATAATCAACGTATGCAAGCTGCTTGTACTACACATGTACTTATACACAAGCCGAATATGCAATTGCGAGTTCCCGTTGTTTTTTTGTTTTTCTGCGGATATCTCGAGGTTCCAACATAAACATAAAACCTCTTCACTCTTTGTCACACGCGGTTTTCTTTGTCTTGGTTGTCCTGTTTGCCGGTGGAATGGTGTTCAGAGCACAAACGCGTCTACACGCCAAGTCAGTGGCCTAGCGCTACAATTTGGAAAGTAGAAGGATTCAGTCCTTTTTTCGGGCTTGGGCGCTTCTAGTTTGGGGGCTTTTCGCTCGCATGAACGGCACGGTTTTATTGGTTTTCCGCTTTCTTTTTTGCGAAGAAGTAGTTCGCTGGAACTTCATGCAGATCCAGTGGAACATAGGTTTAGCTTGAGGCTTATTGGTGTCTCGGTCTGCAAAGTCGAAGCGAGGACGAGGCAATCGCTTCTCCTTCGGAGAAGTAAAAGTAGGAAGCCAGAAGGCAAATTTGGCTTCTTGGATGGATACTCTCCCTCCCGCCTTGTTGATTTCTCCGGCCAGGAACTCAAATTCAAAACGAGCGGCTCGCTTCGAGCCTCTGAATGCTGAGTGAGAAAGAAAAATTGGGCACCTAAGAAGTCCGACTCCTCGGACGAATGTGGACTGCTGCAAGAACAGAGATAAGTACTTATGGCTGCTCGGTCTGTGAAGTCGAAACCAACGAAACAACGACGGCTCCGTTCGAGAAGCCAAGAAGCAAACTTGACTTCTCGGATGGAGAACATGTGGCGACGAATAGACTGGATTTCTCGGTCAAAAAAATCGAAGCGAAGCTTGCGCGTTTCCGTCCAAGGAGCCAAAGAACTTTGACTTCTTCGCCGGAGAAGTGGCACAACATAGATTTTTTGGTTTTTCGTTTGAGAACTCTACTCGCGCCGTCGAGCTCTCTGGTGAGCGGGATGCTTTGCTTCGGCTCCTCAGACGGACGAGTCAAACAAACAGAAATAAAGAAAAGCGACTGCGCTCAATAGGAGTTGGGCGGGCCAGGAGATTGGTAGAAAATCAAAATTACATAACAGAGTACGCCCCAGCGTGCATTACGCCGGGCTTGCCTCTCGCTTCACACTTGTTCGAAGGAAAAACAAAAACGAAAACTCCAAATAAAAGTTAATACAGAAGCGCCGGATAAAAGTAAAAACGGAGGCAAAAAAGAAGAGAAAAACACGAAACAAAGCGAACACCAAGTTGAGAAATTCTTGAATTAGAGGTCAGTCGAAGGCCATCAAGTTCAGGGTCCAATTGAAGGCTAGCGAGTCCCAGAAAAAGAAATTCGGCCCAATAAAATTGAAAAAAGGAAATACGCAGAAGAAAAAGGAAGCGCCATATGAAAGCACCAGACAGATGGACCCGAATTTCACATAGTCATTTACCGTCCGAATTTAATCAAGTCAAATGCAAAATAGATAGAATTAGAACTCCAACTCCTTCATCATGTACAGGTCAGAATTTTCTGAAGGCTTGGAACCAACGGGAGGACATTGATAAAGCCAAAGTTCTCGCGTACCTGGGGTCCGTAGAACAGGAGACGCTCGACTGTTGCCCGCAGGAGGCGTATACTCTCAGTGCCCCGCCGCTGCAAACAGAAAAACATGTCTTCGCCATCCTGAAAACAAACCTGGAGCAGTGGGGACAGTGGGGACCACGGGGACCAGTAAAGTGGAATGATAAGAACGAGTTGCAGGATCAGATTTGCCCTGTGATATGGTCGTTTTTCTACGGAGGCAACGCACGTGATGAAGACAAAGCAAAAACACTTCTCAAGCGTCGTCTGCCACAGCCACCTGGGACAGCGGCCTCAACTGCGGATGATGGTTCATCTGCTCTTGCTGTTACCTCGGCTGCGCCTGCGCCGTCCTCCCATGGCCATGTTACCGGAGGAAGCAGCACTGACATGATCACCGCCGCCGGGCAAGACGAGCATAACCTGCTGCACAGCGAGCAGCTGAAGGTGTTGAAAATGGCGATGGACGACAAACCCGACTCCGTGCTGGATTCGTCCTCGCACAGCACGGGTGCTGAGGCCGCTGGTGCAAGCGGTGGAACCAGTTCCAGTCCTGCAAGCACCATCTCCATCGCGGACAGTAAGAATCCTACTGATCATGAAGATACTTACGTGCGTTTTTCGTTCTTAATATTTTATTTATCGTTTTAATTTTATTGCTGTACCTATCGCCGCCCGGTGATTGAGTTTCTGTCTCTTTTGCTTGATCGAAGCGTCGATATGAAAAAGAAAATCTTCGCACTCGCAGCCGCAGCTCGCATTGCAATTACGGATGCCACGACCACGGGCTCGGCACTAGAATCGGATCAGCAAGCTGGCTTGACGAACGGCAACAAAAAGAATCACGCCCCGATCGTGTCCCAGAAGCAGACGACTACGGAGCAGGAGCCGGACTCGTGGGATGTCAGCGGGAGGCACGACAGCCCAGCCTCGGTACAGGATGATGCACCCGTCGTCCAGAGCGCGGCGGATGTTGTCGCAGCGAAGTCCTCAACCGCTTCGCCGCTGTCCGCGACTTCTGCTTCGTCCAGCATGGCGGACTTGAGCTCTGCGGACGGAGCTGCAGTGCAGATGGGGGCGGGTGTTGCGGGTATAATTAATTTTCACGTTTTCACACGGAAGTCGAAGTTTCAATTTGAGGTGTGCAATCTTGCAGAAAAAACAAAAATCTTGCGAACTAACATATATATATAAATATAAAATGACGTGTTTTGGTACTGCCATCAACATCATGCGGTCATGCATCAACCCAAGCCATCACGTTGGCTTCTCGTCAAAGCATCCCGAAACCATTCTACAGGTACAACCACGTCGACGCGCGTGCTTCACTTGTCCGAGCAGCCACCAGCGGACAGCACGACTCCGACAAACGCAAGTCCAACCGCCGACATCATGGACAGTAAAACGCGTGTGCCTGCTAGTTCGGGCCTGCTGGAAGTGGCTAGCGCGAATGACAGGGGAGGACACTACGGGGCTGTGAATGCGATGCCCTCCACGACTGCGTCGCCGCTCTCCACGGATGCTTCGTCCAGCATGGTGGAATTGAGCTCTGCAGACGCAGCTGCATCGCAGATGGGGGGAGTTGCTGGTACTCTAAATTTATTCTTGTCTTCACGACACGGCATTGTGTGCCGGCGCTCCCATCATGTATAGGCAAAGCCATCACATGGACTGTTCGTGATAACATCCTGTAATCATTCTACAGGTACAACCACGACGCAAGTCCGTGATTTGGCCGAGACGACTCCGACAACCGCGATCCCGACCACCGGTATCGTGGACGGTGACGCGAGCGGGACAGCTCGCACAGCCCTGCTGGAAGTGACAGGCGCGAATGACGGGGGAGGCCATGGAGCTGCGCATGCGATGCAACATGACCAAGAAGGCAGTTCGCATTCGCCGGCTGAAACTGGAGCTGGTGCTGCTGGTCTTGCTGTTGCGTCCACTGCGCTATCCTCCCATGTTGCCGGAGGAACCACTGCTGACATGATTGCCTTCGCCGGGCAGGACGAGCATCACCCGTTGTTCAGCGAGCAGTTGAAAATCGCGACGAACAACAAACCCGACGCCAAGCTGGATTCGTCTTCGCACGACACCGGTGCCACGCCCCATGGTACAAACGGTGGAACTAGTCTCGGGCAATAGGGTCCGGCAACAAGAGCAGCTGGCCCTTCTATGAGGCAAGTGTTTTCTTTCTCGATCTCGTCAGATTGATTTGGAGTAGTAAGTACCAGGGACGTCGGAATGCCAGCTTCCGCCACTTGATCAAGCGAAAAATCTATTCCAAGAACAGCAGCAGAGGAACAAATAATTTAGAGTTTATTTTAATATTCTTGTGAATGAAACACCAAAAGACCCACTGCTCCTTTTTAGTCGTGTGCCAGGTTGCGAACAGATGTAAGCCTGCTCCTGTCTATCGAGGAACTGCGTAAGAGGCAACGCCAATCACCACCTAATTCCCATCCCATCCCACCCAAAACTAAAAGTCAAAATAGATTTGTACAGGAACGACCTCCAGCATTCACTTTGTACTAGTTTCACCTCGTTTATTCGCTACAACTTACATTAATATGATTATCATTTTGTATTTATTGCACTTGTTTCTGTTTCGCTTTCGGTCGTGATGTCGATCCACATCTGCTGTCACAGATTATATTAATAATCCCAACTACCCTGCGCTGGATTCGTCTTCGCACGACAACGAGGCGAGGCCCGAGGTTGCAATTGGCAAAACCAGGTTCGCCGAGTAGCCGTCGGCTACAAGAACGGGTGTGATAGTGTGAAAATTCTTTTTCTCTTCAGAAGATTCAAGATGTGGTTGAGTATCAAGCACGAACAGCCTCACAATTAAAGAAGAAAAGGGAAAGGCATCACGTATCCAATGAATGAATCATCGCAAGCCCCAAAGTAAAGAGGAGTATGTATTGAAAGAAGAGCTTCAACGTGTGTGTACCTTCTCCGAAGCAATAAAAATACATTATGTACCAACGAATGGAATAAACCCGTGGAATCCTAATCTGTAATAAAATCAAAAGAATTATTGAAACAATCTGTACAAGCGGATAAATACGAAATGGTGAAGCGCTTCCATTTCATGATGGAGCACTGGAAGTGTTCGTGAAGTTTGTGTTTGTTCCGAAAAAAAACGCGGGGAATGGAAATCGAAGAGCGTGCGCTCGTTTGTGTGAACGTCAGACGGAAGAAGGAGCACGCTTGCGAAGGCTAGGAGGGAATGATTGGTAAAGGAGCGAGCAGTGAGTTGTCGAATTGCCAATTAGCAACTTCAGAAAAACAAGTATTGCTTGGTCCAGAATATGAATAATCCCACCTACAGAGTTAGATGAGCCATTTCATTCTTCGTTTGACACGAGCTCGAGTCAGCCACCGTACGTAGATAGCAGGGCAGGACCATTACTCACTTTCTTGATGAAAACATGAGACTTTTCCAATCTCTCTCCGAGGGTTTTTTCAGCGACGCCAATGCTGGTCACCACGACCGAGTTCCGCAGCATGACGAACCACCATGGAGCGGAGCGCGGTGGGGGCCGAAGATGGATGACGTGAATTGCGACGTGTCATCAATTCGTTCCAGAGTTTTCAATGCAAGCACGGTGCGGAGAAAACCCGTTCTGTCAACTTCGTTCCTCGCGTCGTGGCCGATTGGAATCGACCCAGATATGAAAAAGCCGTGTCCGAAAGATTGGCAACTTTCCGCGGCCGGCTGCATTGCGCCGCCGGAGTACAAAGGGTTTTGCTCGCCTTTGGTGGATTTCAGTGTGATGGACCAAGATTCAAAAGCGCGGTTTGCCGCTATGTGTGACATCTACTGGTCCAAGTTGTAGTGTATATGCGTTGACAAATAGAAATATTACTGTATGATTATGATATTGTTTCAGATTGTTTTGCAAAGCCGTTGATTCATATGGAGTGTTGCCTGTAGTTTTTGTTGTGACACCAGATGTCGTGCAGCTGGGCTGCTGCTTCGCTCTGCAGCCGGGATTTCTGTTCACTGCTACCAGCCGGTGATCGGTTGCTGGGGCACAATTTTGAAGTTCAAGAAGCATAACTTAGGATCTCCTGTGTTTCTCAAGGCCACAGAGTGATTTTCGGGTTGAAATGGCTTTGGTTTTATTTAAGGATCTCTCTGGACGAGAAGATTGAGCGTGTATCCGATAGATTTATTTTTTCCAAGAAACTTATTTACCTGTACGTGCAATTTTGAATTTTCAGAAGACAAGATGTACCTGGTTTCGTTTTTCTGCGCTATCCTCCTGATCGGGATCTGTGTCCCGAAATGGTCCTCCGAGACGGAGTCGAAATACAGCGGGGACCGCGACATTCGCTTATCAAATGCAAAAATGTCTGGGTCTGGAAGAATGCAACTTGTAATGCGTATTTCAGAACACGGAAAAGTCTGTCATGCATACGTAGCAGAAGCTCCCACTTTTTGTCGGCAAAATAGGGGACTTGTCATGCGGATTCGGCATTGCAGAAGGTTCTCGAAACCTGTGCTGCTAGAGCTTCCATGCCAGACCTTCTGTGTCATGCAAAAACAGCATGACTCTTCCAGACCCAGACATTTTTACATTTGATATCGCTACATGATCTGTCATTCGACCTGCCTTTTTGCCGGCGAGGTGTTCGAGAAGGAAGCGATGCGAAACCAGACCGCCAGCACGTTGCAACGAAACCACCACTTTCGGGAGCTTTTCAGCACCGTGCGCAGTTACGCGTTGGCCCCGCCGTTGAAGAAGAAACAGAACTACTCGGTTTCCACCCACCCGCCGCAAGCGCCGACCTTCGTGCGGTCCCAAGTGGAACACGCGCGGCACCGGGGAACCCACGATTTGCGGGGCACGGCGGCGCGGTTCGGCAACCAATTATACTTCCAGCTGCGGGAAAATTGGAACACGAAAAGCACGGAGAACGCTGTTACAATCGACGCCGAACGGCTGAAAACGGGGCAACTGCGGGATAACAAGGCGGAGATGCTGATGGTAACGGGGATGCGGGCGGCGGCGGATTTCGTGCAGAAAAATACTTTGGACGAAATTCGGAAGAGCAGCTTATTCATGTTCGAAGCTCTGGGGATCAGCAAAAGCACGTGGAAGGATTATAACGAAGACGCTGGTCCCTGGTCCGTTCGGCGGGAACTAGGGAAGAAACTTTTGTATCTTTTCGATTTCTTCCTCAACTTGTTTGGCGACTTCGAGCATTTGCTACCCTTCACGCTGCAGGAGGAGTGCGCGTACCGGTGCAGCCAGGACAATGTGGACACGCGGAAAAAGGGGAATGAGGTTCTGGTCCAGTACTACGGCAAGTGGGGCTTCAAGCGTCTGTACGGGGCGCAGGAATTTTTTGCGGCATTGTTCTCGTTGTTGAACTTTTTCCTTCACCCGGTGTATTTCTGGTCGAGTTTACGGAAGATAAAGGAAATCATACGGGTTACAAGCAGGATAAACAGTGGAGATAGCGAAACTATTAACACTTTTGCACACAACAAGAACACCTCTCGCGCTTTCCAAAAGGCGAGAACTTCCCTGCTTGGCCACCACACACTCGTCGCGGGCTTCGGGTTCTTTAGCTCGCTTTCCTGGGCCGCGAGCTGTTTATTTCACGCACGGGATCGGGATTTCACGATGATGCTGGACTACGTGTTTGTGCAGTGGATGGGCGGGTGGGCGCTGCTATCCGGTTTAATGTACCGAAGCGTGGACGAGCAATGGGGTTTGACGTTCAAAGCCTTCCTGAAAACGACCACGTTCTACTTTTGTCTCATCTTCGCAGGCATCCTCGCCCACCAGACGCAGGTAATCTTCCAGTCGAGCAGACCCGATACCGGAAAGCACATGGTGTTTTGCGTGGGGTTGGCGTCGTCGGGGACCTTAGCGTACTTGAGCGCTTTACTGCGGAAAAACTGTCGGAGCGCGGTGTCGAAAGTCGTGCAGGGTGACTTGATGACCTGTTGTCGAGGACGTCGCGGGAATAACGAGGAGGAGAACTACAGCGTTGAAGCGGAATCTTCTTTGTCGGGGAGGGATGAAAGAAAGTCAGCTCCGGGTGGCGAGGAGCCTAGTCCGAAAAAAGAAGACAAGATTGTCACCTCCTCGACACCAGCTCCAGCGTCGACCTCAGAGGGCAAGAAACTGCAAGAGTCGACGGCAAGCACGGCGACAACGCCCTCCCTTCTCGCCCAGCTCCAGGCCTATTGGGTTTCCTCTCCGGAATTCTTTCTCGCGATTGCGGGGGCGTACCCGCTGTTCCTCTGTTTGGAGCTTGCCGACTTCCCGCCGTACGAAGATTTACTGGACGCGCACGCGCTGTGGCACTTGGGCAGTGTACCCATTCAATTTGGCTGGTACAAATGGTTTTCGAAAGCGGAAGAACTGGTGTTCCTGCCGGAATTTCTGAAGCAAAGCGGTGCTGCTCAGCAAGCAAAACTGCGAAAAGACTGCCCAGAAGATAATGGAGTAGACCGTGCGAAGCAGGAGTAGTTGCACTCAAAATCATGATGTCACGACATGGAGTATGTAGTGGCACGCTTGCGGAAATGAAATCTGTGACCGACAACAGTTCTGTCCTTTTGAAAGCATCAGTACTCTGGTTCTGGTCGTGTTTTTTTTTGAATGCCTCGACACGAGTTTCAAAGCTCTTTTGCGAAGAGGACAGAGAGCATACAAATCGGGCATATGTAGTTAAGCTGTGCGAGTGTAGTAGTTCTAGTTCAGAAGCTAGAGCGGAAGTGATGCTTTCTTTCAGAAGCCGCTAGAGGAAGTTGCCAGGTCTTACAGCAACCTGAGCCCCTATTTGCGTCGCAAGAAAAGCTAAATGCATATTTCGTGCCAATAGTTTCACCACATCTAGATCTATGATTGAAGCTTTCAAAAGTTGCTTTCAGCATCGATCCGCATCCACCCATTTTCTTGTGAAAAATCCTTCATCGAACTTTATTTCAACAATTTTTTCATCTTCAAAATGGCCAGCTCCGACGACCGTTCAGCGTGGAAGTGGGTGGCCTTGGTCGGCGCCGCCTTTGTCGCCGGCATTGCGGTCAGCAAGTCGGAAAAATTGGAGGAGCTTGGAAAAAAATTGCTCCGAAAGGTGAAGAGGAAATTATACGGCTCAATAAACAAGAAGCCGCTCGGAAGAAACGACTCCGACCAGTACGTGCCCACAGAAATCCGGCGAACGTTAGAGTCCAGCGACCAGTTGCGCCGCGCCAGCCACAGTTTCTCCAGCGGGATGAATGCTGGGGATCATAACAGCACCTCCGGCGTGGAGCTGGTCCAGGACTGCAAGCCGCCTTTTCCCTACGAACTGGTTTTACTCCTGGAGTCGACCTGCTTGTGCTACTTGTCAACGCAACTTCCCGAGGAAAAGAATGAATTGAAGTACCCGCATTTGAGCCTGATGAATTTTACCTACTACAACCCGGAGGAAGTGATCATCATGACGACAAGGAGGGACACGCAAAAACTGGAAAACCTCCGGTTGAACCCCTCTGTCGCAATCTTAGTGCACGACTTCCCCGCTGCGAGGGAGATCGTCACGAACCGCACCAGAACGCAGAGCCGACAAAGGTCCGGGTCCGATGGCAGTGCCGCGGAGGAAAAGGAGCAGTTTGCGCTGGCCAGTGGGCAGTCCTACGCCCGGACCAGCAGTATAACGCTGTACGGCCGCATGCGCATCCTGGATAGGAAACGGGACCCGGAATTGGCAGAAGAGCAGGTGACTGATTTATGTTGGGTTTGATTCATTTCTCCTTCGCGATACTAAGGTTATCAGATCTGCATTCCTTTCTACTGTATCATGTGGTGTGTGAAAACTAAAAAAAAAAACAGGAGCGCTACCGCGTGATTCACCGGGAGCGGAATGAGAAGTATAAAAACTTTATCGACGGCGAAAACATTGCGGTCCTGCTATTTGACGTGGAATTCGCCCGGATTTGCAACATCCACGACCAAGTCCACTCTTGGCGCAGGGACGCACCGAGCTCTGACGGTGGTGGGTCGCCGAGTAGCAGCTACAACCCAGCGGCATGAGGAGGGCGGAAACGGAACCGGTCCAGGGCGTTCATTGTCGTGTGGACCACGCAGTCGTTTGATTGTTTTTGGGGTCGCAGCCTGTCCAATCAGTCGTCTGTCTCCATGTAGGAGATCGTGCCGCGTACTGCAACTGCTCACTACAGCTGAAGATACCGTTTGGTAGCTCTGTAGTTGTGCTGTTTTGCTGTCATTTGAAAAGGAATCAGATACTGATTTCCGCGAGGTACTTAGACTGCGCGAGTTGACTTGGATTTTGCTCTTACAAGTTTGTTGTCGACTGTTTCCGTCGACAGTCGCAGTCGCGCCATCGAATCTGAAATAGTACATGGTTCGTCTTTGTTCCTCGATGCCGCCCCACGCACCGTCGCGGAACAATACCTGGGGTAAAATCTCGATATAAGAGACGACATGATTTTTATGTTCTCGATCGTCTGTTTGAGCTGATTTTTTCGGTCGAAGAGGAGCCGTGCCTCAAACGAGCCAAGTGTACTATGTTTTGCGATTGATGTAGTCAAAGACTAGTTCTGGGGCCACAGCATGCGATCTACTTCATCTTTGTGAGGCCAACGCTCTTCGATCTGATACCGATTTCGAGTCGTAGTACGGGCAGAAGTTCGTAACAAGTTATTCCTGTACAATTTGTTTTTGTTCGTGTTGCGGTCTACTACCGGAAGTTAAGTTGTTTCGTCAAAACTACATCACTGAGCGAGAGGCGTCGAGAAAAAAAATCACCATGGCAGCTTCCTCCTCCGGCGGGGGGTCTGGGTGGGAAGACCTGTTGTCTTCCGGAATGAAGTGGGCGACGAATGCGGTGACTTCAGGTTCAGCGCCAGACCTGAGTTTCGTCATGCTCAAATCCGTGGCCGAGGCGCAGGCGGAGACGTTGGTCCGGAAGTTATCCGAGAAGCTTTCCGAGACCAGTGTCCTGACCGTGACAAGTCTGGATACGCCCGCCCACGCACGGGGGCTGCAACTCGCACAGTTGTTTGCGCAGATGACGGGGCAGTGCAGCCAGTCGCGGACGGGGCAAGTGTCTTTTCCACAGTACTTACTGGAGGAGTTGATGCTTTATGTTTCGATGTTAGAAGGCATGTGGCAGCTGAAGTTGCTGCGGCGTGTGGAAAAATTTTTCTCTGCCTGTTTGGTTTACTAAATTGATGAGAACCCAAAGATTCACAAAAAATACAGGCTCTCCTCCCTTAGCGGTTGCGACGAGCTGTGGACTGCCTACTGCGGGCACTTCTGGATGCGGCTGGACCTTTTCTGCATTTCACTGCTCCTTGCTCCGTACGTCGCCCGCCAGGTCAGTGCGGAACTGCCTTCGTTTTCTGGAATGATTCTTCCCACCGTTCTGCTCCCAGCCGGTCTGCTGAAGTTTCTTCCTACACTGAGGTGTCCACCTTCGCTGAAAATACCGAGGTGTTGCGTGGAACAGCTGAGACTACCCGCTCGCGTCTTGAACGCTCGAGCAGTCCGGGTAGTGCTGGAGAACGAAAGGGTGCAAAAATGCCTGAATTGGCTAGTACAAGAACCAGCAGCGCAGGACGATACTAGGGCACTTGCGACGAACGAGAGCGCCACGGCGGGACTGGGACCGCAGCAGCACGCGCCAGAGACGATGGACAAGCGTCAAAACCAGGCGGTAGATCTGGAGGTTTACACTGTCGGTGCGGCGTCGACACGGGCAGACTTTTCGAGTAGTTCGGAACAGGAGCAGAACTTCGGTTCTGCCGAAGCGCAACTGCGAAGGATGCTGGACCCAGCAGGTGGTGGGGCAGGTAGTGATAGAATCAAGTTATTCATTTCTGCGTTATTTTGGCATCTTTGAGATTTCCGCATTCTGGGCGGAATGAATGTCTTTTGCAATCATCTGTCTACCAGATAGTAAAATGTCGTGCATGTTTATGTTTTGTGCAACAGGCCCGTCATCAGCAGCCGGTCGCCGTTCCAGCTACTATGGTGGAAACAACACCACAACGATGTTTGAGCAAGATCCGATGTCGCGACGCGTGTCCGTCCCGGAGACCGATTTTCACTACCAAAACGGCGGTTCCAGCTCTTCCTCTGCGCCGTACTATAATCCTGGAGCTACTGGTGCACAAAATCTTGTTCCATCAGAGCAACTACCGGGTTCTTTCCCGTCGAGCAGTCGTAGCTGGGTGCACCTAGTACTTCCGAGCTCCTGGACTTCGAAAAATGTGGTGCAAGCAAGTCTACTCGCGACTTCCTCTGCCATCTACCTGCTGCCGGGGCCCACCTTCTTCCTCGCGCACCTCTTCGGCGCGTGGCTCCACGGGGGCCGGGAAGGCTGGAAGGCGGAAACCAAGACCATTGGCCTGCCGCAACTGCAGGAAACCTTCGACCGACTCCTGGAACCGCCAAAAACGAAGAACCCGGATAGTATAATGTTGATCATGATTGAACATGTGCCGAGGGAATGATTTTGATTTGACATTCGGTGTGTAACACAGGTTTTCCATAGGTACATAACCAGCCGTCTCGATTTAAACTTTTTTTGAAACACTCCATATATAATCAGGTCTCTTTTTCCCCTTCGCGATCGGACTGGGCGCCGTGCTAGGCGGTCTCGCGCTGGTCGGCACTTTCGGAGGTAGTGGTGGAAATAAACCGGATCCTCCGGAGCAGCAAGGAGATAATATTTCCCCGTATGGCCGACCACTGAATCCATTAGCATCTTCTTCGCAACAAGGTCCTCCACTTCCGGGGGGAATGCCGCCCATGCAGCACCAGCAACAGCCCCTAATGCTCGGCGGGGGTGGCGTTGGCGGCGTTATGCGGTGAGAGCTTGGTCTGTGGAAAGACCATGAGTAGAGCCATGAAGAACAAAACACGAACGCCTCTGGTGCTATAGTAAGAAAGTAAACGACACCAACATGGATGCTTCGTGCGCATGTAATGAACAGTTGACTGAACAATACCTACTACATTTTGGTGAACTTCTTCTTGCTCTCCTGAACTTCGCGGTTGCGAGAATACCAATGCATCAACAAGAATACAGAATAAGAAAGAATCACTAGTTGCTCTGCTGCCTGAGCAGCTGCACTGTTTCAAGAGAGCAGCGCAGTTCAACTGCAATCCGCCACAAAGATGGATCATTCGCTGGTGATATCTGGTTGTGCCTCCATGCTTGAGGACTCTATCAGCGTGCGTGCGTTTCCGAAAGATTCAGATCCATAGTTCTTGCGTGAATAAAAGAATGTCAAGCTTCGAACTCCTCCGTGGAAAAAATTCTTCTTCATTCAATTCACAGGAACAGTATTCTGGCCGCATTTTGCGGGCCCGGATGGACCAAGCACTCTTGTTTCAGCGGTTCTTAGCCTAAGTCGATCGAATCTACCGACGCAACTTGATGCGACGTCGGGATGCTGCTTTCATTCCCTCGTCGGCGCTATCTATTTGGTTTTTGTCCGACTTTGGCGATTGCCTGATGCAATTGCAAACAATACACCATTCCACACTAAAAACAATTTCAATTCCCACCCTGAATACGAAACCCGATTTCGATTTTTAAAGCAGTTCTTTTCCGCCTTAACAAAATGAAATCATTGGCACCGCCAACGATGTCGGTGATTTTTCCCTGGTCCTCCGACCGGGTCACACTTGATGTCCTCCGGTTGTTCATCGCCCTCCACACCGCTCTCTACTTCTTCCCCACTCTCGTCAAAGCGAGGACCTTCCCGGATCGGTCGCAAAGCACGAGCGGGCGGGAGTTTCTCCTTCCCCCGGGGGCCGGGGTCCCGTTCGTCGAGAGCCAGAACCCCTTGGCGCGGACCGCGTTACCCTGGAACGAGGGGACGTACATGTCCCGGTACGTATGCAGCGACTTTTTGTCACCTGGCCGTGCCGTGGAAACTGAAAGTGTCGCTGAGCAGGCGCAGGCCTGCGGGCTCCTGCTGGCCAGAAACTTTACGGTGAAGGTTCATGAGAACAATGTAGATCGTGCTCCCGCCTCTGCTCCTGCAAGCAACGATGTTCAACATCTGGATGAAGTAAAAAAAGCTGTTCTAGGAAGGTCAAGTACCGGCTGGACTCGATCCCTTTCGGACGACAGCACCGCGCCTTCAGAAGTAGAACAGCACGTGGGTCGCGACGTCTTCGCAAGCGATAACTCTGGCGGTGCTCCTGGTGGAGCATCCTCGTCTTCGCAGAACAACCCTAAAGCAGAATTGTTTTCATCTTCACTGCAAGAAGTCGTGCAAAAACAAGCAACAGCCTCCGAGAACAAATATCACCTCGATGATCTCGACTTCTACGCCGCCGCAAGCCAGCATGATGCTGCAACTATGAGAAACACCTCTGACGACTTTGACTGCTGTTGGGCGAATGAAGTACTGGATCGCGCTCGAGCTACTCTTGGAGATGGGTATAGAAATCACGATCCTTTATTTCAGAGTGATGTTTGCAGGAACGTCACGCGAGAGGGGGACCTACATCTGTCGCGGGGATTTGACACGGACCCCAACGTCGATGTAGTTCAGAGCCTGTTATGCTCCCAGTGGAAGCAGGTGCAGCGGTACTGCGTGGACCATTATGGGGAAGATTTGGACCTGGACAGCATCAAATGCAAAAATGTCTGGGTCTGGAACAAAGCAACTTGTCATGCTAATAGTCTGAATCATGTAAAAATTTGTGTTGCATGATTACCAAAAGCTGTCCACTTTTGACCTAATCGAGAGGCAGCTTCTCATGCAGGATTGGCATGAGAGAACTCTCACAGAATCTATCATGCTATGTCCTACATACCAGACCTCATGGGTCATGGAAAACCTGCATGACAAGTCTGGCACTCTTCCAGACCCAGACACTTTGACATTTGATAGGGTCCGATGGCAGTGCCGCGGAGGAAAAGGAGCAGTATCAAAAGGAAAAATCCCCCCTCCCCATATCAGAAGGAAGTTTCTGATGCTGGATTTGCGTAGACAAATCAGCTTTGTATTGCAGAGAGGCACTGCGGGCAGATCTCCGGGCTAGATAGGGGCGTATGTGTCTAGTTGTTCAGCATGGCAAACGGCTGCCCTTTAGGCCCAACAGCATGACAGATCGCCTCTATAATGGGGCGGAAGCTCGTCCGGTGGGGAGCTACCTCCCCACCTCCCCCCAGCACTGGGGAGGTACCTCCCCACCCTAGGAAGGCACCTCCCCACACATGGGGAGGCACCTCCCCAGGGTGGGGAGGTGGGGAGGTGATACGTGGGGAGGTGATTCACACCATAACCAAAAGTATCGTACTCGTAGTAATTGCAGTCATGCATGACAAGTCTGGTTCCTCAGCTTATTCAGCATTACAAATTCCATTTTTCCTTCTGGAAAAATTTGTAATGCTATTTTTACTAGTGGTGTTCAACGTCGTGTTCGAGCATACTATAACCACTGCGTGGACCATTATGGGGAAGATTCATCAAATGCAAATATGTGGTCTGGGCCGGGAAGATTGCAACTTGTGATGCTGCATTTAGATTCCAAAAAAATCTGTATTGCATGAGCAGCAAAGGGAGTGCAATTTTTGCTACGCGGAGAGGGCATTTGTCATGTGGAATAGGCATCAAGAAGCCCTCAAAAAATCTGTGACGCTAGGGCATGCGTCACAGACTTCATGGCTCATGCAAAACGTGCATCAGAATCTTCCAGACCCAGACATATTTGCAATGCATAAGATTTGAACCTGGACAACATCAACGCGAGCAGTGACGAGCACCCCGGGAAGCAAGAGGTCGCAGGGTCGGGTGTCGGTGCTGATGTGAAGAGGTTCTCCATTTTCACTCCGAGAACGAATTATTCTACTTCGGGAACAGCTGCTGCGGTTGTTCACGAAAAAGACGGAGCAGCGTCGCAAGAAGGGTGTACAGTAGAACCACCAGGAGAACCGAATTCTAGCAACTACTCGGATCATCATCATCATCATCATCGTCCTGCTGGTTTTCAGTACAGACCTTTTAGCACCACGAAAACCACGGAAGATCCAGACGGGCGAAATCGCCCACCTTTGCTGTCTTCAACAGATGAGCTCGACAAGACGTGTTCATCTAAAAGCTCGTGCAATCTTCGGGAAACTCCGGAACTCCAGCTTTCTTCCGCTAGCACGGCGTCCACGTTGAGCAGTAGCTCAAGAAACAACTACAACTCGCTATTCACGGGGGCCAATCATTACGTTGAGCCGCCGATACTAGTAGCACGAGGGAAGGCGCAAGCGCATGAAGACACAACTCTAGGAGGGTTGTCCCCATTAGCCCTGCCGCCGAGAGGAGGAAGCGCGACGCCCGCTGCGATTATTTCGGTGCCACATTTCCGTCTGGACGACGTAGACGACGAAGACGATGAGGATGATGTCAGCCAGGCAGATTCCTGCGACACCATCACCTTTATGCTCGACCGAGAAGAGGACGGAGAACCACTGTGCGATGAGGAGGCGCAGCGCGACGTGTCAAGAAGTGCTGATAACCTCAGAACTTCTCAGATGCGCATGCGTCACATGGATAGTAGCACACAGGATTATGATAGCGTGTTCCGTTCACGAGAGTGCTGCGCCGAGTTGTTTCATCCTACCAGCAGCAGAGGTGTTGTGCCACGAATTGTGTTTCCATCCGAACAGCAGCAAAGCGAACCTTCCACAGGTGCGACCGCGGCGGGTTCGAGCCACGATAGTTTCGTCCATGAACGGATCTCCAGTGTGCGGAGTCTTGTTCCGCAGGACAGACTACACGTTCAAGAGCGACGCGAAGACGTTGTTGGTTCACAGCATACACAACCACCCTTATCTGAGGACGCCATCATTTCGTCCTCAATGCGGCTGCGAAACGCGGGAACGAGCGAGGCAACAGATTTGCTGCCATCATCTCCTTCCCCAGGAGGTAGACAGCCTGAAATGCTCGACACAATAGGGGAGGACGACAGCTCGGACGCGCGCGACGAGCAATACTGGGGAGAGGTGAATGCTTTGATGCAACCAGAGTCGGAGTCTCACTTCTTCGCCCCGACGCGGCGAGCCCGCCTCGGGGCAGAGCAGCGGCTGGTGGCGAGACGGAGAGAGGAGGCGGCCATGCGCGCGGCAGACGTGGTGCGGAGTCCCAGAGCGAGAGCGCAAGCTGCAGGGGTGGGTCGCAGTCCGAGAAGAAGTCTTGTTGCTGTTGTACCAGCTGCGGCGGGGGCGGAACCGACATCAGCGTCAGCTATGGAGGGCGGTGTGGCAGACGCCGTTACCGATTCCGCCAATGCGGCGCCGCCTGGTCCACCAGCGGTTGCTCCTCTGGGACGACAAGAGCGAGCACCGTCCGTGGGTCAGACGGAACCGCAGGAGCAGAAAACTGCAAACACGACTGAACAACAAACAAGCGAGGAAGTTGTAGACTTGATGACAGGATTCACTCCCTCCCGCAGACCGCGAGTCACCTTTGTCTCGCCCACTTCCTCAGGGTCAAGCAGCGGGACGAGTGGCAGTGGAAGTAGCGGGAGCAGCAGTAGGTCTTCTGAGGTCTACGCCCAGATGGGCCGGGAGGACGAACAGCCAGCTGGAGCAGGTAGTTTTATTCGGGCAAACTGGTGTGATCCTATCCCGCAGCGCGGACCGACGTTGCAGGCATCGCCGCGACTGGCGTTTGAGATCGAGCAGAGCCCCGTTTTAGCTGCCTCTGATTCGTCGATTCTCAGCTCCCCACCCCTTTCCTACAGCTTCAGGTTCAAGAGCGGCTTTAGTCCGGGCGGCGGACCGCACAGGAGAAACTTTGCAACGTGCAATCGTGCCTGCTGCCGCAACGCGCGGTCAAACGAAAATGGTGGACAGAAAAACAGCGGGGTCGTCGAAGAGGATCCCTCGAGTCACCACCTGCCAAGAGTGCTCCACTGCTGTCTGAGGCGGAGCCGGTCCGCGGATTCGCCACTGTTGCGCGCAAGACGACGGAGCCAGTCCCCCGTGTCCTCCCCCCCCGCGGGACAGCGCAGGTGTGCCAGCTGCACCTGGCTGCCGGGGAGCCAGGCCGGCGTTGCGTCCGGTGCGGAGCAGGTCGGAGGGTGCCTACTCAGGTTTTTCCCGGGAACGGCAAAAGCCAAAATAGCCGATGATAAATCTACTTGTTCTTCGGGAATGAATTCTTGCACGGTCGGGGGTGAGCAGAAAAATATTAAGCAAGACCAGCAAGGAGCGAAACAAACAACCGAGCTGCACACCGTAGCAACGTCCAAACCGCCAGCTAATCTTCTCCGCAGCTGCTTGGCCCGGTTCCGGGGGGAACCCCGAACGGAAGCCACGAAACACGTCCACTGGGGTGACAACCAGCTGTGTGGGCTGCATCGGGAGCGCCACGAAACAGATATCTCCGAGCTCGCCCGGACGGCGGAAATTCAGGAGCGATTCCTCGGGCTGCAAGAAAGACAGGGAGACCGCAGCGGGGTGCACAACATGTTGGAACAACACCGGCCTGCCTCCTCTTCCTCACGGAGAAGCCAATCAGCAGGAGGTTCTGCGCGAGCTCGAAGGTTCTTGGCTCCCTGGCAGTAGCAGCTTCCGGGTTGTAGTGGGTTGTTCTGCGTAATAACAAAAGCAAGAGCTGCTGTGGCGGTCGAAGTTTCGACAAAGTAAGATCGTAAGTACTTCTGAACAACAACTTCTTCGATGCTTGCACAGCATCTGGAGCTCTTTGGTCTCCTCACGAATCAATTTCACCGATTAAAGCAATAAACTGGTATCTATTTTTGAACCGCATCATGTTCCTCTGCAGGCAAAAAATTCCCCATTTGCACCAGGGATGATGTGTAGAGATGATGGAACATAGGTGAGTTCCGCACTTTCGAATTTTTCTGGTGCAACGAACGCAAATCTTTCTCTTTTCTGCGGTGAGTGTAAAACCAAGCATGCCGCCCAATTTTCAAACTGCAGAAAAAATAAAACATTAAAGCAAGCGCACAACAGAAATACTACAATAATGCGAAAGTCCCTTACTTCGCTGGTTTCAGTACACTACCGACAATCATCATGATGAAAACCAATCACTTTATTTAGCTATGCCGGATCGCAGTTGCGATGATAAAAAAGGCAGCATTGCAATGGGCCCAGTTTACTTTGTCTAAAACTGAGTCTGTTGTAGAGCGCCGCGGCCACTGCATCAATCGAGAATACAGAACGCCTTCTGCTTTATTTCCAGCGAGTGGTATTATTTTCAAGAAAGGAGTAGAAAATCAAAATGAAAATTCGAATTCGTTCGTGGCGCCTCACGAATTCCGGCGAAGCAACGCAAGCGGCGAGGTTCTTGGAGTTACTCAAATTATACCCGCAAGAAAATGAACTTTTTTTTCACGCCCCAATTAGAATACAGAAAAACAGATAAGGTGGTGCCCATCGACTCACTCTAAGAACTGAAAATCCGTCTTGGAATACGCACGCCGTACAACTAAGCCCCGGATGAAAAAGAACACTCTCCTCAAATAAAAAACTTTTCCTGTCTTCGCACAGCGGCCATCTACTGCTGGCACTCGAATTCGCAGCACCCTCGTCTTCATCCCCGATGCGTACGCTTTTGAAATGAATTTTGTGCCCTGGTCTTCGTCTTTTTTCACTAGGAATAAATCTATCACGTCGACATGTATGGTGCCCGGAAGTCGGCCTCGGCGCAGCTGACAAAGTCTTTGGTTGTTGAGTGCGTCTCTTGTTGTTGTGTTTACGAGCAGCGAGTAGAGTTCAGTCTGCACCGGTTCGTTCAGTTTGTTGCAGCAGCTCATCGGTATTCTGTCGACTGATTTTTGCTCGGTTGCAGCCTTGAGATGAATGGCACACCACACCTCGGTGAGCAAAGTTTTTTTTCGGTGTGGAAACTGTGTGTTGGTTCAATCATCTGACATTCGCAACGAGCTCGGTTTTGTCCGTCAAATTCGTGGTTTGACCACCGTCGGTGCATTCGTTTTTTCGCTCGTAGCTAGGAATGTTATCAACGTTTTCGCAGCACCTTATCTAGTCGGTCCTAGTGACACTAGTCGTGGCGCACGAAATCGACGGCGTTTCAGGCGTTTTGGATGAAATTCAGTATGCAGCAGGTTATTTTTCCCCTTGAACATAATTGTTACACCCTCTTTATCTTGTGCTGCTTTATTGTGGTACACCGATCCATTTCACACATTCTGTCATACTACGTTTTGACATTTCTAAATCCACACGCGTTGTTATTTTACCGATCCTAATTGCAAATTTTGAGCAACATCATCATTATGGGTGCTTGTTGCGCCTCGAAATACCCGGTCGACCGGATCCAGGGTTGCACGGAAGTTTTGCGTTTGAAGGGCATTGAAGTTGATAAAAACAGCGATACCACCACCTGGCATCCGCTCCTCGCGAGCACGAACAATGCCCAGAAGGCGGTGATCCCGTTGAAAAACCTAGCGGAATTTCGTATCGCCGAGCTTTTTGTCGCGGTGTATTGGCGAAGTTTGGATTCCGAAGAGGAGAAGCGTGGGCAATTACGATTGAAAATCAGCGAAGAGAGGGAACTGAAAACAAGTGCAATAAAGCAAGGGCCCGCGGCAGCAAATGGTGGGCAGGGAGGACCGCAGAATAAAGCTGAGAAGCCAACACCATCTGAAGCTGATGGTACAACTGAAGACAGCGGCGCAGCAGCAGCAGCAGCTGGAACAAATGCTACTTCCGGCAGCAAAGACGCTGCATACGAGAAACCGCACGTGGAGAACGAGGACCCCACGGACGTTTCCTTCCATTTCGGGCAGGCCCCGTGCGGGGCGGCCGCCATGTACAAGTTTCGGCACTTGTTTCAAAACCAGGATCTGTTTCTACAGAAGTGCAACAACGAGGACGGGGGCGCAACCCGGGCGGTGAATATGTACAAGAGCCAGTTTTTACATTTGCAGACGCTGAATAAGATAAAAATCGAAGTTCTGTCGATCCAGATTCGGTACGAGAAGATCACGGCGGAGAAAGCGCACCACTGGTCCCCCATGCTCCTGATCGCGCCGGAAAGCAGTGATGAGGATGTGGAATACAAGGAGGTCGTGATGTGATTTTGAAGTTGGACATGAGAAGCATGTGAACGTTCCTAGAAGGTTTTTGTTTCGACGGAATATGTACTAAACTATGATTTTAACAGTAAGGCTGACAGTTATTCCGCAATGAATTGCGCCTGAAGGTTATCTTCGTGTATTTCATATCACAGCGGCGCGCGACGGTGAAAGCTTGTGTGACGCTTTGTGCAAGTGTCGTGCTGTCCGTTAGTTGAAGAGGCCGACGTACATCGCATCGGTGCAATCGGGACGCGTCGAATAGTCTTTTACAGCAAGAATCATCCTCATCGGTCGCTTATTGGTCGTCGTGGTTTTTGCGCACTCTGACTGTGAAATTTCGGGCTCTACTGCCTTCGATCATGTGACTTCGGTGTGGTTGGAGAAACTTCTCCGTGAAAGCTCTATGTCTGTTGATAGTCGTGTAGATGTTATTCTGTTTGTTGGAAGTCGGTTCAACTGTCGGCTGAAGTGGAATGATTCCTTCTCCACTTGTGATGACGGTATTGCTTGCTCTTTTTGCTGTCTTTTCCAGTATACTTCGAGTTACCCATATGTTGCACGTCTACCCATTTTTCCTCCCGTGCATTGTGAGAAGTTTTTATTGAAGAATTCTGTTCTTGACAATGCGTAGAATCTCTGGGGTGTTTGTTTATGAACTGTCGATCGTATCGTCGGGGTTGTCGTCGGGGAGAAAGAGATCTCGAAAATCGAACGAACAATTTTTTAACAAGGAAAGTTTACCGCAAAACTTAGACTCGATGAAAGAACACAGCACGAACGTTTCCGCCTGTTTGTTAACCGGGCCAGCGGCTTTGCCGCTGGCTCAAGTCATGAAGCCACCATTTAGCTTGTTTTTTGTTTCTTGCGTTCAAGCAATGCCTGCGATGCACGAGCCGCATCGTGTACTACTTTGAAACAGGTGCTCCTCCGTTGCCAACACAAATTACGATCACACAGAAAAGATCCCAATACAGAATCGTCAACTGTCGAATTCTGCATTATAGAAACCTGAGTACTTCTAGTTTCAGTTTGTCCACGTAATTCATTATCCCGAATTTTTCCCCTGCTGATACACCCATTGAAGTCATGTCTTCTGGAAATCCTACGAATTCAACGGTTCTTTCTAGCAATACCACTGTCCTCTCTCCGCAGCAGTCATTCTCCAACACCTGTCCAGTCGGCACCACTAAATTTTCCACCTACGCCTCCACCTGCACCGCCTGCGACCCAGAACAAACCACCAATGCCTTTCCCGCCGGCACCCTATGTCCTGGTGGCGACGGCAGTGCGCAGGAGCCCCGACTGTGTTCCGCGGGAAGCTTCTGTCCGGATGCCGCGACGGAAATTTCCGTGCCGGACAACCACTACTCCCGCGCGGGGTTCGTGTCGGCGGTGAAATGCTCCTGGTGGGCGGACTGCGACGCCGGGGCGGATACCATGGGTATCGCCACGGTGTACATGGTTTGTTTGCTGGTTTTTTACCTTGCCCTGCTCGCCTCCGTGCAGTACGCGGTGTGGAAAAGGAAGATTCTGCACCGGCTGCAGGGCGAGCACGCAAGCGAGGACAAAGATTGGGTGGCCGATAAAGTGGACCTGTTTCTGACCAAATTAGGCGCTCTGAATACCTTACAGCACCCAGGGCCATCTTCAGGAGCGGTGAACGGGAATAAGCCCCGCCCTGGAGCACAGAATAGAAGCGGGACAGCAGCGACCGAGGAACTACAAAAGGAAGAAAATGGCACGATCAGCAAGATGAACAAGTCCAAGAGAGGGTTTCAGGGGTTCACGGAGAAGTTCCCCCCCGTCACCGTTGAATTCCATCGCGTGTCTTTGTTTCTGAAATCCAACCATTCGAAAATTGTTGACGATGTGTCCGTGTCCCTCCCCGGCCGCTGCGTCGCGGCGGTGATGGGCCCGTCGGGATCTGGGAAAACCAGTTTATTGAACGCCATCACGGGAAGAGCGTCGGTGTATGCGGATATAACCGGCGAGATAAAAATCGCAAACCAGAAGGACGCCCTGAAGAAGTTCCCGAACGAAATCGGGTTTGTCCCCCAGGACGACGTCATGCTCGCGGATTTAACGGTGTACGAGAATTTGTATTTTCAAGCCCAGCTCCGCTTACCGCAAGAGATGAGTACGTTTCAGAAGAAGGCGATCGTGGAGGACGTTCTGTCCGTTTTAGAGATCCAGCACATCCGGAACAGCATCGTGGGCGATAACGCCGAGAGCAACAAGCGCGGCATTTCCGGCGGGCAGAAGAAGCGGGTGAACATCGGTCTGGAATTGGTGTCTTACCCCCGCGTGCTCTTTCTCGACGAGCCCACCAGCGGGCTGGACAGCACCGCCGCGCTCGAGGTGGCGCGGTGTTTAGCGAAACTGGGGGAGCTTGGCATCACCACGATCTGCGTGATTCACCAGCCGAGGTTCTCGGTGTTCGAGCTGTTCACGCACCTGGTTTTGCTCGCACCTGGGGGCAAGCTCGTGTACAGTGGGCCGACGACAGCTGCGCAAGCTGCGAAACTGGTGGCGAGCGGGGGAGGAGGTGTCGTTGGTGGAGCTTTAACCCTGAACACCAACCCTTCCCCCACTACCTCGCCGAGAGTTGTTGTTGGGAACAACAGTGGCAGCGCAAATCAACATTTTTCTCCAATATCTCAAACGGGCGGGGTCCGTGAGTACTTCGAGTCTCTGGGGTTTCACGTGCCGGCAGGCGAAAATGTTGCGGACTGGATCATGGATATTCTCTCTGGCAGCGTCGTTCGCGCGGGACCAAAGCTGAACGTGAAGAGATCTGGTGGCAAAAACGCAGTCATGAGGACAAGAGGTTACATGCAGTTCACGAGCAATAAAGAGTCCTCGAAACTAACAGGCTCCAGCACCGCCGCAACTCCAGCCACCACGCAGGAGTTGGTGGCGGAATGGGCAGCGAGAGACAGCAGAAAAAGCTCGGAGACCACGAGCGGAAACGCTGGTTCGAATCTCAATGGAGGAGCGTCTCCACGACCTCCCGGGGTGGATAAAAACGCCAGTCCAAGGACCAGTACAGCAAGTGTAGTACAGCTACCTTCACAAAACGCTGCAACTCCACGGACTGCTGGAGCTACTGCTGCTGGAGCGGGCGCTTTAACTGCACAAATGAATAACAAACTGGCACCCGCTCCGGCGAAAAACAAGAAGCTCTCTGCCCAGGAGAGAATGGAAAAGCGTCTGACCGAGTTCGACGAGCACTTGGTCAAGAAAATTCGCAAAGTACTACGGGACATTGAACTTGACTTCGGCGTGCCCGCCGACGAAATGCGCTCCCACCTCGCCGCAGAGTTGCTGGTGCTGGACGTCACGGCGTTTCAATTGCTTTGCAGCGGCCTGGACTTGAAGCTGGAGAAGGTGAAAAATGGAATATTGAAGAAGGGTGTCGGAAGCATTGTACAATCACGCAACAGAGCCGATCGTGAGCAGGAGGAGCTCCAGGCCGTTGAGCAAAGCCTGCACATTCACCGTGTGGAGGCGTTGATGTTGAATCTCGGCGGAAAGATCGCGGACAAAGACGATGTGGATTGGTTTGAGAACAAACTGAATCTGTACCACATCGACACGGGCGATGTTTTTCTCTCGGTCCAAATGCTCTTAAACCGCCACGGCGCGCTGGCGAAAATGCAAGCGGTGTCGCACTCTCCACGGGACGGAACAACAAACAGTGAGTTTTTGTCCCCTAGAAGTTCTGTTTCCGAGAACGCTGGTGCGGACAGTAATCCAACGCTGTCTTGCGCTGCATCAAGAGCAGGTCTCCAATCCCGCAACGCTCCGGGCTTCCTTGAGCAGACCGAAGTGCTGGCGAAGCGCAGTTTTGCGCAGTTTTCTCCCATGCAATTCTTCCTGAAGTCCGGCACGGCAACGGCGGTCGGGTTCCTGATTGGGGCGGTGAGTGGCACGGAGCTGAGCTACCGCTGGTTTCTGACCAAGCTTGTCGCCCTGCCCGCGACGGTGTACGCGATTTTGGCGGCGGCGTTGAGTTTAGAAGTTTTCACATCCGCGGAAAAACGGGTGTTCAGACGCGAGATGCGGTGCTACACCGGGTTTGTCAGCTGCGTGCCGTGTTTGGTCGGGGAGAATAAAGCTGGAAGGAACAATACATCCGGACAATCGAAGGGAAACAAGAATAAGTGGAACATATTGAACAACACCATGAACATACGCAACGCGCTGTCAAAAAACGTGCTCTTCGGAGGTGGAGGTGGGAACAGTAGTAAAAGCGGAAATACTACTTCTGACACATCTCAGACCAGCAAGGCTATTGCACCGGAGGGGGGAGCAGAAATACGACCGAGATCTACTTCTACATCCGCAGCGTCGACAACAGCAGCTCTCACTAGTCCGGCACAGAAAGAACGTGGTCGACCAGCAACTTCATCTGTTGAATTATCGCAAGCAAAACCTGCAGTGTCGTCCACCGCAAATAACAGGCTCACTGAGTACAAGACCACTCTTGCCACCTACGCTGGAATCCCCCTCGGCCCTTTCTCGTATTTCCTCGGGAAAACCCTGGTCGACCTTTTCCGCGTATTCACCTACCCGCTGGCCTTCATGATCCCTTTTTTGCTACTGACAAGACTGGAAATCCCCTGGCTCAGTGCGTACCTCTGCTTTTTCCTGATTCACTGGATGACGTCCGGGTTCGCGCAGTGGCTGTCCCTGTCCCTGGACGACGGACAGCTCGCGACGCTACTCGCGTTGGTGATTCCCGCGCTCTTATCCACCGTGTTTGGTGGGACCATGCAGGGCGCGTCGTTAGTCGACATGGAGAAGTCGGCAGAAAGAGGTAGTCCGGTGTTTCTGTGGATCAGCCACCTATCCGGCGCGCGGTGGTTTAACGAATTGTTCTACATTTACCAGTTTGAAGCCTTGCCAGAAAACATCAATGAGCTTCCCGCAGTCCAGATGTCGCACAGCGCCTACGGGTTTGACAAAGATTGGGAAGAGCGGAAGTGGGTCGTGATAGAGGTGATGGTAATTCAGGGTTTCGCCTGGCGGGCTCTCGCTTTGCTCGCTCTGTATTGTGTGCGGTACGAAATTTCAATCCTCCAACCGTTCAAGAGCTCGTGGCGGTGCATGTACAGGGTCGCGAAAAACCGAGTGAGGGAAAACTTTTACAAGGACGAACTGAAGATGGAGGATGTGTATGGAACGGTAAATCCCTTGCGTGGCGGGCTAGGAGTGGAAATCGACATCACGAAAATAGAAAAAATCAGGGAAGAGGCCAGGGCGCAGGGGAATAGAGAAAATGCGAAGTAATTACATAGCGGGAAAGGAGCAGCTGTCATCAAGTGCTGGAGGAAAGCTATATTGCGAAATTCCTGTTTGCTTCAGTTTCGCTTGTGTATAGACGGAATCGACTCCTTACTTTGCAATGTCATGTAGGATAATTGACTGACGGCGACCGGAATGAGCCGACCAAGACGTCGAAGCTTCACGTCAATCGTTTCTTACACTTGTGTGCGTCGTGAGCACATCATACGGTGAGGTGTTCAGCGTTGGACAAAATCCGGTAGGATACTAAAGATCTTTCTCAGTCAGAGAAGCTCCTGATGCGATAGCAGTAATTCTACGAAGATCATGATCTTCGAGGTTTTTTTTCCTAAGGTCCACACGAAGATCCGCAGTTGAGAGATACTTTAGTAGGCCCGGATATGAATTGTTCTTCCTGTTGTTCTCGAAATAAAAAGTCGAAACAAGATGCTCTACAAGAGGCGTTCTTCACCTTACTCTCTCCGTCCACCGTTCTGTTGCGTTGCGGTCTCGCTGCTGCACACGTGGTCCCGGGGGCGCCCGGGCGTCGTGCCGATACGGGCGGACTACGGTTCTGATGAGTTGAAGGAGTCCCTGTTTTTCGCGGAAGACAATGAAGGGTCCTTCAATCCCTACGACCTCCCGCGCACCGACCACGATAGGGAAGACGATGTGGGGGAGGAGGAGAGACCACATGATCCACCAGACGAGGTTCTACCAGAGGAAGCCGAACAGCCTGAGACGGAGCCACCGCCTAACAATACCTCAGCTGAAGAGGAGGAACTCACCGTGGTCCTGCCGGACGGCGAAACGAGCGGAATAGAGGGCGACGGACCACATGAGCAAGAACATCCCGCATCGTCAAACACTGTCGACGACTACCAGCCTGCGGGTGACGACTACTTGTCCCAACTGGTCGAGCCGATAAATTCCAGAAGAAACCAAGAGGACTTGTCCGAAGAGTCGGAAAACTGCGCCGAGAACGACGACGAGCAGGTCTTCCGGCAGTATTTATTGCATTTCTACGAGTCCAACTACTGGGGCGCGCAGCAGTCGATTTTGTTTCACAAAATCCGCGGGTCGCACGCGCTGCACTGTCCCTCCGCGGTGCTGGGGACCATGTTGTTGAAGATGGAATCCTCCGTGTTCCGCCACGACGCGGACGAGGTGATCCCGGACCAGAAGGGGCTGTACGCGACGTATCAAGTGCAAAAGTACTTACTTATCGTACTGGTACTAATCGCTGTCAGGCATGACAGATCTAGTTCTCTACGGGATTTCGCATCACAAATTCCATTTTTCCTTCTGAGAAAAATTGTGATGCAATTTTCACTAGTGCGAAGATGTTTTTGCGATGCATACGACGTACTTCCACGACAACCTGTCCCGGATCAACAGAAACTGGCCGCTGGCTATCATACAGAAAAAAGCAGGCAGGGCGTATTTGTGATGCATACAATGAATTGACCATAGCGTGCTGTTAAGGCTACGCAATACAGATTTTTCTGCGTGTTCGTGTATGTTTTTGCATTACAAATATAGCCACCTGCTGGCTTTTTTGTGCGGGATACTGGCGGAGGGCTACCAGCGGGTGCTGGATTTAGAAGAGGCGTTGGTCGAGAAAAAGGAGTACAGCATCGCGATGATCATGAACTTCTGCTCCGTCAAGGACCGGTTCGGCGAGGCGCACGGGCTGGATTGGCTCGCGGAAGGCAGCGACATGCTGGAGGAGGACCCGGATCTGCTAAGGATAGGTATCGACTTCTGTCGTTGTCCTGCATTTTCATTTTGCTAGCTCGTCTGTGCATGAGAGGTAGAGGCCGCTGTAAAAACTACTGTGATCAATATGGGTTGATGTCTGTAGATCAGGAGAAAACAACTTCTCAGTAGTAGTTTTCACCACTAAACACTCTCAGTTGACGTCCACATCTACATCGTCGACCTGCCCAAGTGCAATGGACAGCGCTCGCACTTCGCTCACATCGAGCGGGTCGTCAAGTCGCTCACCGTCGAGCGCTACCAGGGGGCGCCAGACCGCGAGGAGCAGAGCTCGTACTTTCGCTACATTGTCGACCACTACGACGATATGGCGGATTTCGTCATCTTCGTTCACCCAGACGCGCCGGAGCACCAGGGAAAGGAGATGCGCGCCTTGGTCGAGGCACTGCGGTTGCTGAAAACCAAGTCGGCACTGGTAAAATTTTTGGATAGATTTTAGTTGTTTTGCGAATGGAAATCTTCAGAGGTGCAGCAGTTTCCTCTCGGACATGATAGGGAATAAAACCATGCAGCTCAAATTATTTTTGTGTGAGCGCGCCAAGAACTCGTCTGCTGGTCATTGGTCGCACTATCTGGTTCTGATCACGACCGTTGGCAAATCGACTGCAACACCCTCCAAACGATGATCGCGACCACCTCCTGCAGGCGTATCGCACCATAGAGTACTACCCGCTGGCCATGCAGTACATTCGCAGCCCTCTTTATGGAATGCGAGGAGTTCATTTGAGTCTTTCTCCTTGCAGCTGATGTGTACAAAAATTTAAAGTTCATTGTCTTGTTGTAAGTATTGCCCCCGAGGAGCAGTTTTCTGGGAGCGAAACGGTGAAAACGCAAGCAGGGCATGGTAATAGATAACTTTTTAACCTGTTCTAGCATGAGGAAGGTTCAAGAAATTTCCATGCTCCATACTTTCCGCACCTCTCGGTCCCTATCCAAGAAAAAAATATTGTAGGTGTAAGTTTTTTGGAGGAACAGCATTACAAATTTGTCTGGCATGACAGCAAAAAGCTGTCATGCGCAGATAGTACGTGAAAACGCCCCCTGATGGACCCTGCGATGCATGCCAAGCATGACAGACGCAATCATCTTGCATGTTGAGCATCACAAATTTACACTAACAGCGTTCTTTTCTTGGATAGTCCCGGGCCATTCACTACTACGACGCGGGGGACCGCGAAGACGACTGGCCGGTATCAAGTGCAAAAATGTCTTTGTCTGGAAGGGTTGGAACTTGTGATGCAAACTCTGGAACACGCAAAAATTTGTGTTGCATGAGCGCCAAAAGCTGTCCATTTCTTGGCACGCAAGTAGGAAGTTTCTCATGCGGGACAGGCATCATGAGGCGTGCTCAAAATAACCTGTGATGCTTTTGCCTGCATCAGACGCCATTTGCGTGATCCGAAATATGCAAGACAAATCTCGCAATCTTCCAGACCCAGACATTTTGCATTTGATAGACGGTGTTCTGGAACAAATTGTTCCTCGACCGGCCCAATGGCGTTTGCCCCCTCGGGTGCCGCTGGAACGACGAGATGGACCACGATTTTACCTTTTACATCTATCAAATGCAAAAATGTCCCGGTCTGGAAGAGTGCAACTTGTGATGCTGAATTTGGATTCTACAAAAATCTAGGCTGCGTGAACAGCAAAAGAGGTCCAGTTTGTGCCACGGCGAGGTGGCATTTCTCATGCGGTGTAGGCATCAGGAAGCCCTCACAAAATCTGTGATGCTAGAGCATGCGTCACAGACTTCAGGAGTCATGCAAAGTGTGCACGACAAACCTGGGCCTGGCATCCTTCCAGCCCCAGACATTTTTGCATTTGATAACATCGCCAGCCAAGCGATCGTCCGTTCGGACCGGATCCGGATTCACCCACGAGAGTGGTACGGGAGCTTCTTCCAGCAAGATTTGATCTGGTTTTCGAACAATTCCGGGCTGCTGGAGGCGGCCTGGCCCGTGATCATGGGGGAGGAACTGACAGAAGTGTCGCGGGAAGCGGATGCGCGGTTGCCGCTGGCACTGAAGTTTGACATCTTGACGAAATACAGCTACGGCTGGAACGACGTGATCTAGAGGTTGAAGATGTGCTGGACGTACTGGCAATACAACCGCACGACGTCGAGACATGCTCAGCTGCTGAATCGATCACGATCTTCAGGCCTTTAGTGTAGTACTGACCTCCATGCGTCCTGGTGTCTTCGCTTCGACCCCGGGAGTAAGTAGTAAACAAACCCACGCGCCCACCGTGGAGGTGCCGGCGGAGTTCGACATACAGAGCCCGAGGACTACGAGCATCTTCAGACCGAGTTCCGAAAGAGGCGAAGTATGCGGAGAGCTGCGTGAAACTACACAGAAGTTGCGTGCTTTCATACCGCTGTAGAAGCAAGAAGTAGTGCACCTGACGAATCTTCGAATCGATCCTACACTACAGGCCTACAACTCCATCGAGTACTACCCGCTGGCCCTGCAGTACATCCGCGAACCGCTGTATTCGGGGAAAATTTTGCTGAATCGAGAGAAGCAAAGTCGACGTGTTGCATGGTAATTGTACTTCATTGTGCGCAGAATTGCTGACTAAATTGATCGTGTGCGAGACGAGGTCTAACATACGCTGCAGGACGACTATGCTATCCCTTGATTCTTTACTTTTCCCCTTTCGTGGTCTATACGTTCCGCACCCGGCGCAGTCTGGAGCACATCAAGGAGCACAATGACGAGCACGACTACTGGGGTGACTTTTGGAAGCGGCTCGTGAGCCGGCCCAACGGGCTGTGCCCCTTCGGCTGCGACTGGAATCACGAAATGGACGAATCCTTCACCTTCTACATCGCCAGCCAAGCCGTCGTGCGCAAGGACCGCATTCTCCGGCACCCGCAGGACTGGTACCGCGGGTTTTTGCATTTGAGCGAGGAGGAAGAAGCTCGCGGGGATTCCCTGACCGAGCACCTCCGCTGGCTCAGCAACAATTCGGGGTTGCTGGAGGCCGCGTGGTATCCTGTGCAAAAGTATCGTACTCGTAGTAATTATTGGAAATATGCATGACAAATCTTCTTGCTAAGGTAAAACAGCATTACATACAAATTCCATTTCTAATCTTGAGGCAATTTGTATTGCGATTTATACTAGTGCGATACTTTTGCAATGCAGACGTGGCCGGCGATTTTGGGCGAGCCTCTGACGGAGCCGACGCGGGACGAGGACCCGAGGTTGCCGCTGTCACTGAAGCTGTCTATTACGACAAGGTATTCCGACGGACAGGCCGGGGTGATATGAGCGGGAATTAGGCCATTTCTTTATTCCTTCGTTCTTGATGTAGCATTTTTGAGCTCTAGTATTCTTGCTGCGACTTCCTGTGTAAGTAAGTAGTAGTTTGATGCGCGGCCGCCGTATTTGACGCATCGCAAAAATGTGCGGCGTTTCTTGCAACTGATTCCAACGCGAACGCAAACGCACTGACACCTTGATGTAGTTGTCGACTTCATCAAATTGCGGGGCTTGTCGTGATAGGACCAGAAGCACGACGTCGTCGGAAAGAAATACTGTCCGGCCGAGTCAGTTCTTGTGTTTCCTTTGAGAATGACATAAAGCGGCACTTGCTACGAGAGAGATACTGTTGCAAGCGGGAGACGCGCCTTTGATGCATGTGAGCGACGCGGAGGGTAACATAAGGTGTGCTGCCTGCTGGCTGTGTATACTTCCTGCATAGAAGTTACAATCAGGGCTGCAGCAGCACGAGCAGCCTAATTATCAAAACCACTTGCTTGTAGATAAGAAAAAGGGACGAGGAAGGCGGCCGTTTGGCCGGCAAGAATTTTTCTCGACCAACCGCCTGCTGCATCACTGAAAAATTATGACGACGGCGCTGGTATCCAGCATGATTTCGGACGAGATTTCTTTCGCCATCGCGGCGGGAATCGGGGTCTGCACGCTCGCCTATCTTCACATGCGGATGACCGGGGGGATGAAAAATCAGGACAAGAAGAATCATGTCGATGCGGCGCAAGAACCTGTATTGCTGCAGGACGAGGAGCGGCGGGCGGAGCAGCATGCGAATCTTCCTTCTGCGAGGAAAACTACCACGACGAACAAGAACCCTGAAAGAAGATCTTCGTGGTTCAGTGACAATGTCATGGAGCAAAGAAATTCATTTAGTAAGGGCGATGCAAGTAGTTCTTGCAGCAATGCCGATGCTCGGGGCTGCACTGAGACCAAATCTCGCCTCAGTGCCTTTTTCTCATTTTCCGGAGAAAGTGCTTCTACCACATCACACGTTTCGACGGCGAGCGAAAAGACACCAACGACTTCCACGAGTGCGGCGACGAGCAAGGAATCAGTGGGAGGTGGAACAACTACAGCATCCGAGCAGGATCCTCCACTGGATATTAAACCACGGTGGACCAGTTTTTTCTCCGCAGCACCCGCTTCCGGTTGTACTTCTAGTTCTATGAAGATCGCAACCTCCTCCCGACGTCCGGAAGAACTACAACACAATGACGTCGATTGCGGCGCCAGCACGTTTTCGGAGCAAACCGAAGACGACGAGGATTCGGACGAAAGTGTAGCTTCCAGCACGCTCCTCTACTCCACAGGCGGGAATAAAGCCAGCCATTTACTCTTACCCGATCTCGGGTTTCGGCTCGAAGTCGGCGAACTATCAACTGCAAATATGTCTGGGTCTGGGAGATTGCGAGATTTGTCATGCTAGTCTGGCATGACTCTGGGATTTGTATTGCGTGGCAACCAAGAGCTCCTCTAGCCTGTCATGCAAACACGCAATTTCTCATGCGGAATACGCAACAAAGAAGCATGAAAAAACTTGTGATGCATGGCGGCGCATTACAGTGTCCTTATTATTCAGTGACCTGCATCACACTTTCCAGACCCAGACATTTTTGCATTTGATACGAACACCAAATGTACCACGGTAGGATGCAGTTCACGGTCCGCCTGCTCGAGTGGCGCGACAAGAGCCCGAACGAGCAAGTCACTCTCGCAAAAGCCACCCGTTCCTATTCCCAGTTCAAAAAGCTGCACAAAACGACCAACAGCAAGCAGCACACGCCGTTTCTGCGCCGCCTGCTGTTCTCGTCCCACGTCAGCAAGGTGCAGCAGCGGACGGAGTGCCTGCAAAAGTTCTGCGCAAGGTTGCGGGTGTCAGACCGGAATCTGAAGCTGCTGGCGGCGTTCTTGGCTTTGCGGAGTGGAAGTGAGGAAGAGACGCGGCTCCTCGAAGCGTTCGCGAAGCAAGCGGGTGCGGAAGAATTTTTCTGCTTTGCTGTTCATCTTTCAGGATGTCTTTATTGTCTTGCTCTTGCGGAAGTTCTGGGTTGTAGTCTTTGTCCTGTCCACGTGGCCTGGACTATTGCTGCACCTCCCCTGCGCATTTTGCTTCTGAAAGTGTACTCCTTTGCTGTCGTCCACTGCCGCATCATGAAGAAAGCAAGAATGTCCTCGGCGTCACACATACTTACGTGCTTACTTGCTAGTGCATCTGTGTTCGTTGCTCTAGCTCGCGGCTAGTCGTACAAAAATTGTCGTGGCATTGGTGTACGTGGCGTATTTTTTACATGGACAGCACTTCTACAAGAGGAAGTAGAAACTCTTCGGCAGGCACGACACCGTGAGGGGAGTGCGACATTCTGCATTGAGCAAGAGGTGAAAATAGATGGATTGACAGAGCAGACACTTTCAGAAGTGGTGTAGTACGTGATGCAACGAGTGCAGTGGCGGGGGTTTGCAATGTCAGTAGGATCGTGGTTATTTCCAATCCGCGCTATTTCCTACAACAACTCCAGGTTTTCTCATGTCATTTATCCCAATCAACATAGGTTCGGCTTCTACCTCTTGCACTCCCTCGGAAGCTGCAGCAGCAGCAGCAGCAAAACACCGCACCATGCCCGAGGAAGTAGCTCCCGGCGTCGCGAATGGGTGCGGCTGCGAGGTGGTGGTCCAGGCGACTGCCATCGATGACGACATCGCCAAACACTACAAGAAGGGCGGCTGGTTCGGGGCGGTGGCGGGCGCGTTCGGGGACAAAAAGACGATGTACTGCCATCACATAACAAGGAGCGGTATAGTTTTCTATGAAGATTTCTTTGTTTTTTCTTCCTCACCATTGATGCAGTCTCTCTTGTGGTGCAAAATTTGAATTTGACTTTGGGCGGATCATCGTCTAGAAATCCAAAAATCCACTTGTCATGACCGTCTGGCACGATGTTGAACATAAATTCATCCAAGGTGGTTTTGCAGTGAAAGAAGCCAAGGCCCAGGGCCTCTGCTTTTCCACCGAGACGGAAGTCTGGGAGTTTTTGGGCAAAAAGTGCGGGGGCCGGTTCACGCTGAGGGACTGGGGCACCAAGACCATGGGGTGCGGTGGTCTCGGGGAGAAGGATCACGACGAGACCTGTAACACGGAAACCTGTCTTTTTCTCGCAAACAACTTGAAGTGCCCAGTGCCGAGGTGGGCAATCAAATGAAAACAGATTTTTATTGCTAATGCCGTGTTCCATGGATGGAATCGCAATTCACGAAAGAGATGAAATATTGTACGATACCGATTGAAAAAGGTGGTCATGAACAACTTCTGATATATGAAGAAGAAGACGGTAGCAAATGTAAAATAGATTCGATCACGTGATGGTGCTGTGGCTGTGCTGTAATGGAAATCTGCTCAAAGTTTTTGAAGCACCGATGGTGAGATATCACACGCGCAGCTCTGCAGAGAAAAAATTCCGCCGCTAGTACCGCCGGGAAATCACGTTGGCCTTCTGTCATTTCGTTCTGTAGCGGTAGGTTTCTGGTGCAACACGTCAGGTCAAGAAAATGATCCCAATATTATGTGAGTTCATTGCATTGAAGATCAAACCGCACACTACATCAGCTGAATCATGAATCACGATGAAAGCAAGATCTTCCCTTCGGTCGTGGTACGGTAAATACCTTCGGTTTCCCGTCACGATTATATTGAATGAATCTAGGAAGATCACCCAGCGGTGAAAACAGTCTGAAGACTGCTCATGAAGTGATCACGATAAAAAATCTCAAATTGGTTCTGTATAAGACACAACCCGCCTGACGCACAGACATCGATCTCATCTTTCCCATTCAAAAACAGGTCTTCAAGTTGTAGTTGCCTGAAAAAGATAAATCAAGAGCCCGTTTTTTTGTTGAGACATTACCCTACGACGAGTTTTTTTATCACAGAGGTGAAAAAATATTCACAAGGACGATCAATTTCTGCAACGAACTGAGAAGTTGTCCCATCGCATCTGCTAAGCACTCAGCTACACGCAAAAATATTCTGACCAGTACTATGTCGGAGGCAGCAACAGCACAACCGGGATCTACTTCCGGAAAAAGCACCGAAGAGCAGAAGATGGCCGCGCCATCAAGCGCAAGCTCGCGTCCTGCCCCGCCGAGCAAAACAACTTCTACGGAGTTGCTGAGCCTGGAGAAAGCCATCTCGGAGTCTGGCCTCGGAAGTGCACAGCTTAAATCGATTTCGCAGAAGTTGCTCCTCGAGGATATTGCCGTTCGAAAAGATGACCACGTCGATAAAAAAGCGGCAGAGAAGACCATACTGAAAAATCCAGCGACACTTGTTTCTTCAAACGACGTCGAGCAAAGCCATTCCACGCCCAGCAGCCCCGCGGCGAAGCGGAGGAAACCCTGGATGCAGATGAAGAGCGATGCGGTATCCGGAGGTGACAGCACAAGCGGTAGCAAACAGAAAAACGAACCTGTCGAATCCGACGAGTTCCTGACTTCGATGAGCAAATTGCAGAGCTTCCTGGCCACGCACGGAAAGGACCCCCTGGCGGGCCTGCCGCCGGCGGGGAGCGCCGCTGCGAAACAGGAGGCGGTACAGATCGAGGCGCAGGATCAGGAGGGAAGTGGTGGTTTAAATGGCGGCCTTCTGGCGGGTGGCGTAAGTGGATTGCTGAATCAGGCAGGGGGATCTTCTCTGTCAACTTCCCTGTTGGACCCCTCGGCGATCACGGTTATGAGCGACAACGAGGATGACGACTCCTCTTCCGACGAGGCAGCCTCGACTGCCAGCCACACGCCGTCGTCGGGAAAAGACGCCGAAACAGCAGCTCCAGCTGGAAACCAGGCATCCGCACCAGCCACGGAACTTGATCAACCGGCAGCTACTTCTACGGAGTCGCAGGGACAAGAGCCGCAAGCTAAGCCAGTTGAAGAACCGCCAGCGGCGACTTCTGGGGAAAAAAACGAAAATGAAGATGAAGTCGAGCAGGAAACTGACGACGATGAGAGCTGCCCGATGGTAGAGATGCAATTGGGATTGGGTGTTTTTGACGTGCACGGCAGCGTTCCGCTTGGTATGCAAGTGCCGGAAATCGTCGTGAAGCCTCCACCGGAGGAGGGCGGCGGGGAGATCCGGCTGTCATGATCGCGCGAAAAGTTGTGAACCTCAAGATGAACAAAGGACCGCTGCGGCTATTCGATTGATGGTCTTTTTATTCGATTCGACAACATCTATCATAAGAAAATGAAAAATGCTTAGAAAGTCGGAACCACTGGAGGGACGTCGATGGAAAAAATTTTTCTACTTGACGCCTCTTTGTGAAACCCAAGACCATGCTGGCGAGCTGACGGCGCAGCGACAGCACAGTAGCTGCTGCATGCATTGTCGTGCTCGATACGAGACCTTTCTTGCATAAGTATACTTCTGCGCAACTACCCTCTTGATGACTACGAAAGAAAATCAATTCTGGCGTCGCCTCGACACTGATTCTTCTCTATCAGGATGCAAATTCGGATGCCTAGGGTTCTTGATCCTCGCTGCTTATCTATCAAGTCGTAGACGTAAGTACTTTTTCTTTTATCAATCGCTTTTTCGTGATAATAAAAAATCGAAAATCGTTTCTTCGTCGTGGTCTGAAGTCGTTTTTCGTAAAAATTTGCATTCTACGTGTGTCGTTTCGAGACGGACCGACCGAGGGCGAGGGCTAGTGAGGGAGACTTTTCGAAGGTAGTGGTGGAGAGCTCGTTGCTGAGTTGAATCAGGACATGAAGCATGTACTTTCGAAGAATTCCCCACCACGGCTCGAAGATTTTCGCATCTCTATTTCCGCTGCTCCGTCGTTGTTTTTTCATAGCTAGTTTGACTAAAGTAAATATGTGAGAAAAAACCCGTGCGGTCGCTTGTTGTTTTGGATAATTCGCGAAAAGAAGATATTATCGAGTGTCTTTGTCGCATGGCTCAAGAAGAACGTGATGGTGTTTCGCGAGATCTTCCGTGGCCGCATTTCTTCCCACGGGGACGCCGAAAAGCTTCGCAAGGAAAAGGGGTAAAAACTTCTGCTTAAGCGTGCTTTACAAGAAGCGGGCATGTGGAGGGCGATGACGGATACAACTAGCGGCATAGCAAACCGGTCGTGGAGACCGCCCCCAACTTCCGGAAAGAAAATTAGCCGCGACCGACTTGGACCAAGGCGAGGTGCCCGCACCTGTGGTCCTCGGGTTACAGGTCTGCTTTCAACATCCCTGCTGGCGCAGATACCGATCTTATTCTACAAGGTTGCAGTCGTGCTCTGTGCCGCACGAACCTCGCTTGCAGGAGGAGACACGGATTGGCAAGAGGGGCTGCATGACACAGGAGGACCAGGAGTAGCAACGCTGCCACCAGGTGACATGAAGATACCACCGGTAAGCAGAGCTGCATCGAGTCCAAATGGACAAGAACACCCAGGGTATTTGTTCTCATCGGCTGGAGCTGGAGCTGGTGCAGCTCCCGTGCTGCATGCACACGACGAGGACCTCCAAAATGGTCGTCCTATCGACCCGGGTGCAGGTGCGGGTTCGGAAAATGAAATGTTCGAGGACGGAGAGCAGCTTTTGGATGCCGTGCGTGAAGAGACCGCGGCACAGGCTCTCGCGGACTGGGAGCACGGCACCTCGTTCCTGGAAAAGGGCCCGTGCTGTGACCCCGTGGAAATGGATGATAGCGGTATAATGATCTTGCAATTTTCACTGTTGACACTGTTCTTTCGATGTTCTTTTTTGTATAAATGAAGTTTGAAAGTTGCATATTGTTCTATGAAGGCTGAAGTTGTATAGTGAAAGAATGTATCACACGATAAATATCGAACAGACGGTGTCCGGAGATACAAGCCCGCGCCGTACGAGAAGCCGATGCAGCGAGGCGGGACGCTGGGCGCCAACCGCGGCCGGGGGGCGGACTCCGACACACCCGAAGTGAAAGTGTACAAAGACAGCAAAGGAAGAGCGGGGGCGGTGGCTACCAAAATGAAGAACGTGTTCCACTCCACCGCGGGCATGATGGGGACCATCAGCGTATTGACAGGAAAAATCCCCTCCCCATATTGAAACGGTATGTCTCCGGAAATTTGTGTTGCTGATTTGAGGTCACAAATCACATTTGTCTTGCAAGAAGACAAGGGCAGAAGGTTCCGCCATATTATGGAGGCGATTTGTCATGCCGTTGGGCCTAAAAGGGGGCCGCTTGCCATGCTGGACAACTAGACCCATACGCCCCCAGCTAGCCCGGGGATCTGGCCGCAGTGCCTTTCTGCAACACAAATCTGATTTGTGTATCCAAATCCAGCATCAGAAGTTTCGTTTTGCCGTCCCAGGAGCTGTTGTTGCTGTCTTTCGGTAGAAATCACATCGTCCAAATAATCCTACTAGAGTTTACCGGGTATGTGGTAACAGCGAGCATAAGGACGTTGGATTTTTGACCGCTTCACAGTACAAGACCGGCACTTTTTGTGTCGGCCCGCCGAAGTTCCGCGTGCGGGTTTAGCAGTCTTCTTTCTCGCGAAAAAGGTGAGTCTCCTGACCCTTCCGGTCGTCACCACTCCGCCCGCGTTCGTGCTCGCACGGCGCCACGATGACGATGACGATGGTTTAAGTTTTTTAGGTATAGTCTAAACAGGGACACCCAGCCCTTAGCCATCCAAAATCAGAAGTTTCGTTTTGATATGGGGAGGGGGGATTTTTCCTTTTGATACAGCGACGGCCTATCAAACTGCACAAAACTGCGTCATCAATGTGACCCTGATCTAGCAAACTTGCACACGACCCGCAAAGAACGGAAAGGAGGAGTTTGCATCTTTGCCGACGGCAAGAATATGAATAGTTTTAGTTGAGTCGCAATCTTCTGCATCAGTAAAACATTTATTTGACATAGGGCAAGATGGACCTGTTGTGTCTTTGTTTGTCCTCAAGGACCAGTAGTTCGGCCTATGGGCGGGCAGTTTTCAGTTTGATAACGCAAACGAAAAACAATCGATAATAGGAAAGCGAGAAACAACGCACGACAACTATGTACTCATACTTGTTTTTTGGCCGTCGGTTTATTTCTACTGCGATTTTTGGAAAATTGAAATTCAAATGAAATTAGAGTCTAATTTCCGGTTAACTTCGAAATTATCTAATTTCCGGTTTCCGGTTACAGACGTATTGAAAAAAGTGACTCTGCAAATGCGATGAATTCTTTATATGGTGGCGCATGCGAGCAACGGACAGATTATCCATCGAAGAAAGAAAAACCGCAACAAACAGCATACAAGGAGAATGTGCAGAGGAAATATGAAAGTGAAAATATTGACCGGCTCCCATGAACTAATACAACGACCTCTTATCGAGAACCACATATCTTCTACCCCTAGAATTTGTTAAGCGTCGTGATGTCATGCCACTTTGCAGGAGATGAAGGTCCGTCTGGTGCCACGAGAACTTCGCAGTTACTTGTTGCAAAAGCTTTCAAGAACTGATGAGAATTATGAGTCTAACGGCCACGGAGATCCTCATAGGTCGCTGTTTATGGGTTCCGATTTTTTCACTTTGATTTGTTGGGCGGCGGAGTAATGGGAAAACTCGGTGCAGCTAAGGACTTTGTGACTTTATCAAAGTGAAGCGTGTCGTGCGCGTTTCGATTTCCTTCCTTCCCGCTCAGAACACTACGATGTGACGGTTCTCATGCCATTGTGCATGATCCAGAATGTGTATGTGACGTGGATGGTGCTCTCCCTTGGGTCGTGTGACGGGAAAGTAAGTACGAATTGGGGCTCCAGCTTTGCGTGAGAGAGAGAAACGAAACTTATCGGTGGTTCTGGGTCTACTTTCACCGGGGGGAGGGAACAAATTTGCAATCCATACAGTGGGAAGAAAGTGTACGACTCGGATTCGGACAATCGGGAAGACGATGCAGATTTCCGGACGGGAAACGTCGGGTCTGGAGCGCATCAGACCGCCAATGTGGCACGCATGCCCCAACAAACTCAGGTGGAGGCGTTGCCATCCGGGAAAAAGGTGAAACAGGATTCCACGGCGGAAACATCGGAAACGGAAGAAGGAAGTACTTTTTTTACAACCGCGTGGTCTTCTATTCATCTTGCTGGCACATTCATTAAGCATGACTATTTCCGAAGAAGTAGTAGAAATGACTATCATTCAAAAAGCTTTTTGCGTAACTTGAAATAGAAGCGAGCACACTATTTCAGACTTGAAGTTGAATAGTGAGAAAGAGAAATCAAATCGAACGTACGAGGAGCGTTGTATTCCTTAGACGCAAGAAGAGAAGCTCCTACAAATTCTTGCACACAACAGGTACAGACGACGAGGATGAGTCCTGGGATGATGACGAGGAATATATTCACGGGTAAAAAAGTCACCCCCCCCCGCCCATATTAAATTTCCACACGATAATTAATCCGATTTGATTCTCGCTGTGGTTTTTCTATCTTCTTACTTGAGTCACCATCGCCAGCAGAATCACACCGGTAGTAGCCTGCTTGACGAGAAAGGATACATAGTGAGTAACTACTTCTTGTTCGAAAAGTAGTTCTTTTGGTCTTAGCGGGGGCGTGGCTTTCAACCCAGGATACTAGATTACGACAAACGCAGTAGAAGAGGCGGAGGCGACGATAGTTTTGATGTCAGCGAGGGCTACAGCGACGATGGCTACAGTGGAAGCGGCGCGAGTAAAAGTGACGACGGCGACGGCTACAGCGACGACGATGGTTTATCAAATGTAAAAATGTCTGGGTCTGGAAGAATGCAACTTGTCATGCTAAATCTGAAGCATACAAAAAGCTGTGTTGCATGATTACCAAAGTCGTCCAGTTTTGGCCAAGTCGGGAGGGAGTTTCTCATGCAGGATAGGCATGAGAGAGAGTGCACAGAATCTGTCATGTTAGGTCCTGCATTACAGACCTCATGGGTCATGGAAAAGCTGCATGACAAATCGCGCACTCTTCCAGACCCAGACATTTTTGCATTTGATATGGTTACACCGATGACGACAGTGGCGCCGCCAGCAACAGCGACAGCGCGACCTCCGAAACGCCGCCCAGTAAGACGAGCAGCAAGACAAGCAAGAGGAAGAAGGCTAGTGCCAGCGCCAGTGCGACGTCCTTCCTGCAAGAACATCAACTGCAGAAGAAACGAATCGCCAGGAAGAAACAAAAGCAGAAGAAAAAAGCAGCAGCTGCGAAGAAGTTTTACAAGAAGTCCGGCACGCTAAAATCGGGGAAAATGCAGTCTTTCTTACAACTGCACGAGGAAAGCGAGGACAGTGGTGTACTAGGTCCTGCGCTGCTGGGAGGACAAGCAGGACAACAAGAACCCGAGATGCTGGACGACCCGCGGCCGACTGCCTTTATTTCCTCCTCAAGAGCAGCTGCACCGTCGAGTTGGAGAAGCAAAAAGAGAAATAAGCTGGTCGCAGATCCTGGTCTCGAAGACTCGACGTCGTCCGCCTTGGCAGCAGGAAGTAGAACAGCCGTCCAACGAGGGCCTTCAGCGGGCGCCGGGGGAAATATGAAAACTCCCAAGGAGGTCATCATGTTGTTGTTGTCCGGAAGTATTGAAACGACTGGAAGAACTACCAGCGGAGATGAAAGTACCAACACAGCCGGGACAAGTGTGTTGCAGCAGGGCGAGAAGATTCATTTCCCTTCAACATCATTCTTGCCAACATCTTCGTCTCCCACCACCGGTAAGGGTGATGACATGGGTGCATCTACTACTGCTGCATCACTAGAACAAGCGGGAGGAGCTGCCACTGAGGAAACAAGAAGCCAGGATGGAGTAGAAGCCGCTTCCTCCCGCACTACAGTGTTTTTACAACCCGTCGACAGCCGGATTGGGGAAAATGCGGGGAATAGCACGACATTAACGATCTTTCCCTCTTCATCGCTAGAAATTGTACCCGGTAGTAGAACAAGCACAACCCCGTCCACATTTCTCGAAGAACAATCCGCCTCTTCTCTTGACTCTGGGTCAAAATCCCAGGAGGATTGGCGAGGAGCAAAAGAAGCCTCGTCCACTTTAACACCAACATCTTTGGGAGAAGTTACAGGCGAAAGAAGGCTGCACGAGACTGATCGAAAAGATGAAAATGTGGAAGAGCAACAGGGATCTGCTCCAAATCGATCACTAGAACAAGCGATAGAAACCGAGAACGATGAGCAGCAGCCTGACCTGGAGCCCCCTCTAGTAAAAACGGGGTCGTTGACAACTGCAGCAGCCCCCTCCTCAAGTTCTTCTTTTCTCCAAGAGCAACAAACTGCACGACTTGAGGGCGGCACGGGGGGCAGCAGAGGAAGCATGGGAGCAGATGATGACAATCTAAATCCTCTGCTGAACTACGACGAAGCAACACCTGGTCAAGCGGAGTCAACGGATCATGTCGAGCAGCGAGCAGCTGTCATCACGGGTGAAGACGTCCTTCCACCTTCTAGCGGAACAAGGCCAAAAACTGCTCTGCGGGGCGCTGGAAGGGTGAGATGGCCGCAAGTAGCAGCAGTGCAAGGCGGAACAACGACAGCTGCGGTGGGCACAGCAGAAGGAGGTAGCTCGGCTGCTGCCGGAATGACTGAAACGCCAGTTGTGCGGAAAACCAATTTGCGGGGCGGGATGAAAAACTTGTAGGTCGCTGTTTTTCCTCCAGCTGCGTTGAATTTCAAGAAAAGTTTCAAAGAAATTAAACAGAACATTTAATGTACCTGATGCAGATTTACACTACGTTTGTTGATGCTCACAATGAATCTTGATTTTACTTGCTAACAAATTCAGTCAAAGTCGCAATTCCAAATTACACTAGATTGCGCAAAGGTACAACTAGGTCTTGCCGATTGCATTGTACAAAAATCTCAGTTTCTTGTCAATCTTGTAATGTACACCATTGCCAAAAAAAATCGTATCCGTATACTCTTTTCTTGTATGATGTACCAAAATTGTATCGGAAATTCAACTTAAGTTTTCTGGCAACAGGAAAGATATGCTTAACATAACAAGGAAAGCACCAGCAGGGGTGCCGGCTTTGCTTTTTTATTGCTTTCCTTGGAAAAGGTTTTAAATCGTTCGCGTTCGTATTATAGCAGAGGAGAGATTTTTTCCCTTCGTGTCGGCTGTCGGACAACATTCGTAATCGTCATCGTTTTGCTCGGAGCAGAGAGTTGATGTCTTCGGATAAAAGAAGAGCGAGACACGATTGAAGTCGTGATTTCTAGCTGTTGTTTTCAAGATAGAACGGTCGTGCTCTTTTCTTTTTGATCGTTCTTCACTCCGCCTTCAGGTCAACTCCAAATCGAAGATTCTTTTCTTTTGTGGCGCAACCGCAACAAAGTACTGGCGCAGCAGCCACCTTCACATAAGTTAGTAGGTGCCTCTAACCTGGCTTGCATATTATTCGGCGTATTAGCTGTCGTGAGGTGCATCTGTACTGCAGATTGATTTTATCTGTAGTTCATTCATTGGCTACAAGAAGCCTGGTGTACTTCCGCCTCTTTTCCTATTGCACAAATGCGCAAGATGAAGACGGATGATGTACTAGAGCCTGTCCTTCTTTGAAGTTGTGGGAGCACGACCGCGGGGGAACGCTGTTAAGCCGCATTTTAAGGAAAAACTACCGTAGAAACCTACCACGTGCAAGATGTCGGACGACGACAGTGAGGGGGGCGGTGATAACATTTTCGCTGCTGCAGGGGATGTTGACCAAGGAGAAAAACCTGCACCGAAAGCCGTCCCGCAAGCCCGGGGGAGCATGAGCGCTCTGCTTGCGAAGTTCAACCCGTTAAGCAGCAGCAGTGGTGCAACTAAACCAGGCTCTCGAGGAGGAGCTGCGACATCAGCTGCAAGTGGAAACAATCATGCAAACAGCAGTTTTTCATCAACATCTGAGCAGCAGACGCAGGCAGCAGCAAGTCAAGAAGATAAAGAGTCCTCCGCGGGAGCTGCATCGAAAGCTTTTTCCACCTCAACCTCCGCAGCTCCGACCCACCTCCCGGCGAACTTCCAGCAGCAGTTGGAGAATTCCAAGGTCTGCTTTTGCCACAACACGCTGGAGGCCAACGTGGAGCGCGCGAAGCCCTGGGACGCGCAGACGCCGAGCGTGCTCATTGGCCACTTCTTCTTCACCTCGGCTTTCGACAGCGGGAACGGGGGGCGCATCATGCGCGTGCCCAAGCCCAAGCCGCTGTCCATGGGGTACGAACCCGTTTCGGAGGACCCGGTGTGTTACGACCCCTGGGAATACCACGTGTGGGTCTCGCCCGACTGTGCGAACACGATTCACCAGAGCACCTGTCGGACGTGGTTCTACTTCCGGGTCACCTCGGCGGAAACAAGCTACGTGAGCGAAAAGCCCGAAGAGGAAGAAAGCGGGGGAGGACCGGCGGGCAGCGCTACTTCGGAGGGGCAGGGGAACGGAAAGAAACTGCCGCGTAATCAAGATGTAGTTTTGATGTTCATCATGGTCCGCGTGGAAGCTGTTTTTGCATCTCATGTAAAGAGTAGCGGAGGTGACAGAGCACCACGAGCTAGGACTCGAGAAACAGAAAATGCGTACGTTTTTTCGACAAACAAACCCAGGTATCCACCCCATGCACTTGGTAGTGCGCGGGATGCAGAATCAGTCGAGGCTCTACAAGGAAAACTACTCGGTCTGGATGCGGTTTGTGGACGGGCCGTGGCACCGTGTGCCAAACATGACGGGTCCGAATCCGCAGGCGGCAACTCCCCGAGCATCTGGTGTGGACCACAAACTCGGCCAGAAAATTGGGCGCATCGGAACGGCGAGCGGCGGGTCGCGGGCGTATACTTAGGTTTTTCTGGAAGGTCTCTACTAACTTCGCTGTAGTTACTCCGAACAGCCCCGAAGCTGGAGTCTTGGCTGATGCGCGTTAGCGATTCTTTTGAATCCGAGTTCGAGTCTTCTTGCATTGGCAGTCGTATTGTTTCAGCTTTTTGGTAAATTATCTTCGTAAAGCACAAATCTCATTTTTCAGTTCCACCGCCAGCGGGGAGGCGAAGACCGAGGCGCTGATGCGGCAGACCATGCAGCACCAGATCGCGCAGCAGCAGCAGGTGGAAGCGGTGTGGCACGACCCGCACCAGGGCGGGACCGGGTTGAGTTTGCACTTCGTCGCGCCGATACCGCTGGACAGCACACCCGTGGAGTTCGCGTTCTGCGTGCCCTTTTCCCACACGGACATGGAAACTTACCTAGCGAGAATCGAGCGCCAGTTTTTAGCGTACGACAAAGCTCTCTTTGACAGAAATGCTGCGGAGGCGTGCGGCATCACGAGTGGAGGCGCAGGAGCAGCCGGAAGCAAGGAACAAGCAGGTGGATCTTCTTCGTTCAGTAATGCTGCAGCGGCAGCCGACCAGCAGCGCCCGAAGACAACTTCCTCGGTTAGTTTTTGATTGAAGCTTTCGTTTGTTTCATCCTGTTTCTGATGAACCACTGCGGAGCCTTGTTTCTTTGTAGATCTGATGAATTTGACAGAAGTAGTGTCAATTACAATTTGAAATCAACTATCCCGCGCAGCAACGAATCATAGAAGGCACCAAAATAAAGAACCGTTTTATATCAGGTTCCAGTAGGAAGCGCGACCGGCAACATCAAGCAAGACAACAGCCAGTCCGAAGAAAGCCAGCGGGACCGATCGTTTTCCTCCGACGGGGTCCCGGCGAGCATCCTTTCCTCTAGCTCGAAATACGCAAAAACGGGAGGGAACTTCCGTCTCAGCGCTGCAAGCAACCCCATGAACTGGGTGCCGACGAGGCTCTTGCCCAGTTCCGCAAGCAATTCAGCCTCGAGTTCGGAAGCAGGTGCTGGGAAAAATGGTGACAGCGCGGAGAACAGTACTACTTCATCGTCTTCATCGAGGCCGTCGAGTTCTTCAAGCGTGCAACAATTATCCTCGAGCAACGTCTCCTCGTCCTCAGCCGCCGTATATGGCAGTGCCGCTGGTGGCAACGGCTTCGCGAATGGTGACACGAATCAGAATCCTTTGATAACCGGTAACAGCCTGTCCAGCAGCTCCTCAACCTCGCGGTCGTCTTCGAGAAACCGGAGCGGGTCTGCTACTTTTTCGGCCTTTTCCGTCCCCCCAGTTCCCTTCAATTTCCGGACGATCTCAGGGCTGAACAACTTCGAATCCATCACGAAACTCGATCATCTCGACAGCGAGGAAAGGCTGTTTTTCTTCCCGTATGCATTACAAATATGTCTGGGTCTGGAAGAATGCAAGACCTGTCATGCACATTTTGCATGACCCATGATGTCTGTGATGCATGCCCTAGCATCACAGACTTTTTGAGGGCTTTCTGATGCGTAAAGTGCATGACAAAGGCCCTCTCCGCGTAGCACAGACTCGACTGCTCTTACTGGTCATGCAATACAAATTTTTTTGGAATCCAAATGCAGCATCACAAGTTGCCATCTTCCAGACCCAGACATGTTTGCATTTGTTGATATCCCGACGAAACAACACCACCGCGGCATGCCGATGCCGCCGAAGGGGCAGAACGTGTTTCTGCGGGTGGAGAAATTTTGCAAGAGCTTGCAGGGGAGAGACCTGTATTTGATGACGATCACGGACAAGCGGCTGTTTCAATTCGACCCGCACGAGGCAAAGAATCTCGGGAAATTGAACGAAGCGCTGAAACTCCGCCCGGCGTGCTTTTTATCCGCAAGAGTGCACCCCGGCGAGACGCCGGGCCAATTTGCGTGGCTGGGGATGATCCAATTCCTCCTCTCCGACGACGAACGAGCCGAAGCTTTACGGAGAGCCTTCGTGTTCCGCTGCATCCCGATTTTGAATCCCGATGGGGTCGCCTTAGGCCACTACCGCATGAACAGCCGCGGGCAGAACCTGAACCGGTTCTACTCGAAATCCTCCGCGAGCGAGCACGAGGGCGTGCACCACGCCATGCGGTTTCTGACCGAGACCTTGCGGAAAAATTTGTTTTTTTACCTAGATTTCCACGCACACGCAACTAGGCGCGGGATTTTTCTCTTCGGAAACAACGTCACCGGGAAATCTCTACAGCTCGGGCAGGACCTGGTCGTGGAGCAAGCGTGGAACGTGACGTACAGCCAAATGGCCGCTTTGAATTCGCCGTATTTCGAGACCGAAGGGTGCAATTTTCAAATCAAAAACCAACTCGGCGTGCCGGGAGGGAGTGGTGGGAGCGGCGGTGGAAATAATTCGAAAAATGTTCTGTCCTCGACTACTGCTTCCAGTACCGGCGCCAGTACGCCGACGGGGGGTAGTGCTAGTGGTTCAACCGCCAATCAGAATAACGTCGGTTCGGAATTGGGAAAGGACGGAACGGGCAGGGTCGCCGTGCACAACCACTGCAATGTGGTGCATTCCTACACGCTTGAGTGTAACTACAACAGCATCAATATCTAAGAAAAAAACTGTGTTTTTGTAGGCGTCTTGGAGTGATAGCATGACAAATATGTTCTGCATGACATCACAGAAAGCCTGTCATGCACAGCTAGCACGTGAAAACAGATTTGGAAGGAGGACGTCGTGGCTGTCTGGCATGACAAGTGTAAACTGTTTTGCATTTTTTGCATCACAGACTTTCACCTACACTCATAGGTTTTCTTTTGCATAATCAACCCGGCCTCCTCCTCTATCAAAACTCGGTGGAACGGGGGCAACTGGGATCCGGACTTCGGCCCGGTCACCTTTTTCTACGATGTGAACAGCTGGGTGCAGGTGGGGGAGGCGCTCGCGATTTCTCTACTCGACATGTACGGGCACAACTGCCGGAGTCGCTTGTTGAATCTGCGGCAAAATTCTCTGTCCGGCTACTTCGCGGACCGGCATCAGGTTTTGCGGCGCGAACTCGCTACGTTAACCAACTCTCATCCGTCGCAGGCGGCCATGGCAGCGGCAAGTCGAAAAAACAGTGTGGCGAACGAAAGGAAGAACAATAATGCGAAGGACAATATTAAAGACGACTGGAACAGTAGCACTGCAAGCCCAACAAAGAACGGAGGTGCTGGCCAGGAGAAGGACTCCCAAGACAAAGCGAAGACAAAAACAAAAACAAGTATCAAAGTCGCGCCCAGCGCTGCGGTCAGTATTGAGCACGTCGGTAACCACCTCTACAAGGAGCCGTGGCAGCACGGCAATAGAAACAGTTCCAATTCATCTTCCAATTCGGGTGCTGACGTCAGCACCACCGCCAGTAGTACTAACCAGAGCCGACTGAGCAGCGCGGCGAGCAGCGCCTCTTCTAGTAGTGCGAGTAGCACAAGTCAAGCGGGAGATAGGGACAACAACAGTCATCAAGCGGGCTCAGCATCAGGTTCTGCAGCGAACAATAAGGGCGGATCTTCAGCGCAACCATCTTCCATCTACCTAATGTACAACCAAAATGGCTCCGAAAACAGTACCGCGGCCCCCTCGGACACAGAGACCGCGATGTCCCAGACCGACGGGGAGGAGTACCGATGGGAGGATCTCGTGCACAAACAAGAGATCGTGCCCAAGCACATCGGGACCATGAATTTAGCTGACCTGTTGAAGCGCGAACAAGCCTGTGCCGAGAAGTGCTGCTTGTGGAAGCAGAGTAGTACTGGTGGATCAACATCATCGTCGAAGAAGGCTGCGAGCAAAATAAACGCAGCCTCGTTGCCGAAGGGATGTTTTAACGTGTTGAAGGAGCACGATAGCGTCACCAGAGTGTTGCCCGAAACACTGCAGAGGATACTTGCAAAAATCGCAGCGGAGCAGCAGAATTTGGTGGGGAGTGGTGGTGGTTCAGCATCTTCAACCGCGGGAGCAGGAGGTGGTTTGGCGGGACAGAACGCAGCAGCTCCGGGAGCCGGATTGATACAGGGTAGTAGTTCATCCAAAAGCCCACGAACAGCGACAGTGGGAGATGCCAAAGAAGCCGCAAAGATGAGCAGGCAACCGTTTGTCACCCTTCGTGTGTCCTCCGCCTCTTCTGCTGCTGCTGCGGTGCCAGATATTACGGCGAACAAAGACGTGACCACCTCTGCAGTCGCGATACCGCTGGTCGTCGGGGGAAAAAGTACGCAGCAGGACAATTCGTCATCGTCCGACAACTCCTACTCGACGAACCAAAAACAGCTATCCTCCACCAACCCAGAGCAACAAACCATTGTCGCGGTAACGACAAAGAAGCCCGCCGCAGGGAAGGCGAAAGCGAAACTCGCGAAGGCAGTGCGCGCGGTTTCCAGGGCGCGTAGCTTGAGCAAAAATGCGGGCAGCAAAAAGAAACCGTCAAAGGAAAAAGACGACCACGGGCCGCAGCTAAATGCGTCAGGGAATAAGGGGTCGAAGAATGGCGGGGGTGACGGGTGATGAAATTTTGAAATAATTCGGGTAAAAACCGATATGGACGACGATATTCTAGTGTACTAATTGGATCGATGAATTTTTTTTTCCGAGTTCTTTCTGCGGCAACGGTATCTAATGGCACTCGTTCTTCACATGAAGAACCCATTCATTGTATAATACATGAAAAAGATACCGGTAGCATGCACAATTCGGAGCTCTCTTTGTTCTTAGAACTTGTTTGAGACCTTAGCCATTAAAACCTAAACCAGATTTAATCACCACACTAGCGCTCCTACTGCTGGTGCGCGTCAAAACCTTGAAAACCTATAAATTTCTTGCTTGATGATGATGTTTCTATTATACCACGACGGTACTCGGGTTCTTCTTCGATTTGCTACCAGACTTCTTCGGAGTTGCCTTCGAGAATTTAGGCTCTATGTATGAAAATCTCATGCGCGGTGTCAGAATATTCTTTTATGCCGTGTATGCTCTTCCACCCTGGTATGCATCAAACGACGTTGTCCAAGAACGAGTACACCGCTGAACTTTTTCAAATTTTCGTCTTGTTTGCGACTTGCAGAATCATGCGCAAGTCCAAGGAAAAACAAAAACAAGGTAAAATCGCGGACAGTTGTCTTGAACTCCTTAGTTTCAAGAATTGCGACCTTATTTTCAGGTTCGGAGTCGTGTGTGAGAATATGAACTTTATTCTGCGCGACCGTCGTTGATCTTTTACTTTTAGTTTTACTGAGTGACAAAGACGCACACGCACTAAGTTATTGTGCTTCGGCTCACGAGTGCGAAAAATAAAGGAAGTCTTCACCGGAGTTGTCTTTGAGTTGTGCGGAAAGGAAGACGGGAGGGGTGAGAGCATTTATTTTGTGCAAAAAGAGACAATCTCGTCGTGGTCGTCAGAAAAAAAATGCGGATGTTTTTTATTTGTGATGGTTCTTCATCTTCTAGAGAGTAGAGACTCACTTTTATCGTGCTTTTCTTACAAAAATGCGTAGGCCCGTCTTGGAGGAGCTCACGTCGTTTGTAGGTACAGTAGGTACAACCACTTTGGAAAAAATCCAAACCATGTCTACTTCCCCTGGAGCGGCCAACGCCGCTGTGGAGCAGCGTTTCTTCGACATGCTGGATGCAGATGTGAAACGGCTCGGCTCCACAACGGAAACGGAAGAGCCGGAGCGGACAAGCTTTGTAAAAGAGGCGGCTACAACAACTTCTGCAAAGGACCACGATATTTTCACCTCTAGTAGTTCACCTGCCTCCCTCCCCCTTTCCGACCACTCCGCGTCCCAGCTGGTGACGCTGATTACGAAGAAGACCGCCGAGGTTGAGGAAGCGGCGCAGTCGTGGACCCGGAGGCTGATGGCGCACCGTAGCACGGGGATGGCGAACCAGGGCGGGACTAACAGTATTAGTACTGCCGGTGTAAGTCCGGCGCTGCACCAGCTGGCCCTGTCCTCTGGGCTGTTCCACAGTGAGGGAGATGGTAACAACTACCCGGAAGATGACGAGGGATTGTATCACCCTCGCGCTGCGAGAGAAAAATTCGGGAACACGGCGACCGGTGCGACAAGTGGCACAACTACTGGTTCCTCTTCTTTGACAACTACGACCATGAATCCTGGTATTTCATCCGTCCGCCCCGCCCCGGCCGCGGACGACATCCTCGACGCGCCGCCTCCGTATGGATTGCAAAAATGTCTTTGTCGGGAAGATTGCAGCTTCTCATGCTGAATCCGAATCATGCAAAAGTCTGTGTTGCATGAGTGCCAAAAGCTGTCCACTTTCGACCAAGTTGGGACGGAGTTTCTCATGCAGGATAGGCATGAAAGAGACATCACAGACTCTGTCATGCTAGGTCCCGCATTCCAGACCTCAAGGGTCATGGAAAACCTGCATGACAAGTTCACACTCTTCCAGACCTAGACATTTTTGCATTTCATACCCTGTTGAGCAAGCTGATGACCTCCGCGTCCAGCAGCGTGTCTGCGCGGGCGAGCCGGTTCAGCAGTGGTTCTTACCAGGGCGGTCAGGAGGTGGGGACTAGCGGCTCTTCTGCAATCAATTCTGCGGTTGTACTAGCTAGTGGGGCGAACAATGCTAATCAAAAACAAGAGCCAAAAATCTCCTGGATGACCAGACTTGTTCCATCATCAGCATCTTCCGCGGATCTACAAAGTAAATCCTCGCCGAACAAAGCTGCGATATTGTTTCCCAGTTCGACCTCTTCCTCCCCATCGAAGTTCCCGCAGCACTTTCGCAACCCCGCACACGAGGCGTATAACCACGCTCTGGAGTTCTATCCAGGAGCTGCTCCCGGCGGCGAGAGGAATACTAAGTCCCAATCGGGCGAAGACTTTTCCACGACCTGCGCCAGCTCGTCCAAGGGGAGTTCCTCGAGTAATTTCCGGAACACGATTCTCGATCAGCAAAATTTGCTGCTCACAGGAACGACATCGAACACAGTTCTGGGAGGAAATAACTATCGCGAGGAGGACCAAGCTGCAGCTGGTGGGCTTCTTCACTACAATCAGGAAAAATCGCTTGCGACGTTTTACAATCCGAAGATCTTCGACTACCAGAAAGAGGAGGAACTTTACGCGCAGAATCTGCAACTACTACAGTCGAGGTCCAGCACTGCAAGTTCCACCGGAGGGGGAGCCGGTAATATGAATAACGTCTTCGCTGGAGCAGGAACATCAAGCGGTGGTCGTCCAAAGTCCAGCTTTGGCACGACGACAGTCGCGACGGTTTTACCCGGTTCTAGCGACCAAGAAGATATACTGGGCGTTTCCATGTCCGCAGGGACAACTTCTGCTGCAACGAAGGCTGGCAGTATTGGAACAATCACAGCATCAAATCTCTTGATGTCCCCGTCTGCCTCGAAAGCCGTTCTTGCAGGGGGCACGTCGAGTAGCTCTTCCTCTTTCCGTGATTATCGGCGAAAAAGTCCCTTTCTCGGGCGGGCACGGGAAGCTGCACGGGCGGAAGCGTTGAGGGCGGCCGCGGTTGCGGAGCAGGCGGAAATTGTGTCCTTGCGAGATGAGCAAAGTGGCACGGTTTTTTCACGCGCAGAGGCCGCACGGGGATCGAAAAGTATACTTTGACGGGTTTTCGTTTTCTTTTGGGCGTCGAAGATTCATATGTTCTTGTGCCTGTTGCATGGTAAGTAAATAGCCGGTCGTTTTTGCTACATGCTTGCTTGCTTGTACGGAGTTCCTACTCGTGAAGACACCACTCTTACTCATTTATTCCTGTGATTCCTATCAACAGACGCCACGAGATCCTCTGCCTCCTCATCGCACCAACTCGGAGATGGACATCAACAGTCTCCAGCGGGTGGAGGTCTCTACTGGTCAACCAAGCGCACCTCGTCTCCTTCCAAAAACCTGCATTTTGCGAGCCTGAACAGCGACCGGTATTTGTCCAATATGTACAGCACCAGCCCGAGCAAGAAGTATGACGGGGACATTCTAGGTTACAGCAAGAACCACCTGAATGTCATGCGCCGGGAAAACGGCGCGGACATTTTGGAATACGCAGCGAGGACATCACGTTATGGGATATCGCAAGAGCTACCGGCTGCAGGAGACGACTTCGCCGAGGCAGAGGCCCAACGACTTCTTTTTCTTGCGAAAATGCAAGGGGCGGAAGGAGTTTCTCCGAACGGAAATCAAAAGCAACGCACACCGCTGTACCAAATTCCTCCATTGCCGCCACCAGCGCAGCTGTCTTCTCATGGTGCCTCCGCGTCCTCGAAGAAGCAGAACAACTTTCCCAAGCCTGAGTGGTCTCCGGAAATTGATAAGTTTTTGCAGTCCACCTCTGTTTCGAGCAGCAGGTCTGGTGCAGGAGAACAGCAGCAGCTGCAGCTCCGCTTGAAACAAGCACAGGAAAATAACCCGCCGCTCGGGCATTCGCAGCTGATGATTCCCGGCAGTATTAGCAAAGTGTCCGGGGCGGGGACCCCTTCTGCGACCCCAGGACTACAGCACGAGCCGTTGACTATGAGCAGCAGAGTGCTGTCTGCGCCGACGTCGACGTCGTATACCGGACAACTGGTGGCGCACATGGGAGGTGGAGCAGGAAGTTATAGAGGGCAAACTAACAGTATGAGTATTCGGTTGCAAGACCAATACCCTCCGGCGCATTCCGCTTTTGATAATTCAATAATCTCCACACCCTACGAGGAATATGCGTCGAGGCCCTACGCGGTTTCCAATTCGTCGAGGCAGTTGCTACAACTCCAGCAGAACAACATGCTGAACCAGTCTACAACTTCACAGCCCTTTCGCTCTGCGTCGTCCAGCAGAGGCGTGCTCGGACCGAGAAGATTCTCAACCGAGCAGGAGAATCTTGATTTAGATCAGCAGGAGCTTTTTTACGACCCCTCCCGCGTGTACGTGGATCACGGGCGAAAATACGACGAACCGCCGAAACGCAGTCCGCGCTGGTGGGAGACGGAGTTCAAACCGCCCGCGAGGGTCGTTTCGAGCGCCTCGCGCTGCACGACGCCGGCTGCTGGCGGTGTGCACAGCGGAATGATGAGTCACGCATTATCTGCTTCTGCTTCGTACAGTGCCTGTAGCACCCCGGGACTGCTGGCCCGGAAGCGCAGCAGCGGTAATATCATTTTCCCGGGCACCCCGAGCGTTGCGGGGGGCGCCTTGCAAACCGCGAGGAGCACCAGTGGTTCGGTCAGCGGCAGCACGAGCTTGGGGCGCAGCTCCAGGTATTAGTATACATAGTAAAAGTCGATACCTTAGATTTATTTGCAAAAGAAAACCCCCGCTCTTACTTTGAAGGATATTTGTGAGTCAGAGGCTGGCAGTCTCGTGTTGAAGTTGAAGTTTTGAAAAATTTATTTTCAGTTCCATTGATAAAAATCGCAGGCGGCGCAGCCGTAGCTCCTCCAAGCGAGCTCGAACGCCAACGGTAGCTCCGCCGGTCCTGGACGGGAAACCACTGCATGCGTATTGACTGGAGTTTACTTTGTATTCGTTGATTTTTTTGCATGATTCATGCACGGAATATAAAACATACTGCAGTGTACTTGTGAACTCACTAAATTCATCAATCAGATTCCACGCACCCGCTCCGGCCGGAACCTGGGGCCCGTCCCTTGTCAAGCTGAACACGCACATCTACCCGGAGCAGCGACTGACACGTAGTTAATTACTCTTAGGTAGTTAGTGACGAAGCGCTGGCTATTCCAACTCAGAGCACGCCTGTGCTACAAATTTGCTTTTCGTTTTTGATTTTGTGCAGCACCACTTCGGAAATCTATATGTGCAAAAAAAAACCTAATCCGTAAAACTACAGGGCACAAAGACAAAGTGTACGACAAAGTCACCGACGCGCACTTTAAAGTTCCGCTAAACCCCCGGAGTTTCCAGCAGCACAGCGAGGCCATGCGAAAGTTCCGACACCAGACGCGGGATCGGGGCTGGGTGCCGTGATAGGGTTAAACTGCCCCCTCGTTGCTCCGTTTTAACGGTTTTTTGACGAACACGGACTACATCTACGACAGCCTTGAGCATTGCTGACTACAACAGCCTTGAGCTTTGGATGAAAATTGAATGCCTCCTCACTGACAACGCGCGTATGGTTTTTATTGAATCGCGAAGTAATATGAAAGACGCAAATCTGATCAAACAGAGGGGGAATAGATGAGCCAGCTCCCAGTACTTTTCAGGCCATTTTTCTTATGGGGTCGTCAACGTTGTATTTGCCTCAGACCGTAAAAAAAATTCTGCGCGCATTTTTTCGCGGCGCAAAGCTAGTAAACCTGTGCACGCTAGTGAGGGGCTGACTTGAACGCGGTTTGTTTTAGCTAGCTTGTCAGCAGCAGTGCTCTAGTAGGTAAGTGAGTATTGACGCGAAGGGGGGTGGGGCGCTGGGGGTTCTTCTGTGGCTGATGTTTTCACCTAGAAAACGCCGGGCGCGCGCAATATTTTGCTCCGCTTCCCCGATTGCTCTCTCCGTGCAGGTATTTGCCGCTATGGCCTGGATCAGCGTGTGAGGCTGGCGCCCCGAGAGATGTCTACACAGGCCCTGGCCTCGTCGTCTCTAGCGGGCACCACGCATATATGTTGGCCGCGAAGGCCTTTCCGGAGCCCTTCCAAAAAGGGGGGGCCGGAGGGGTGCCCGGAACCCTAAAAAAAAGCCTATTGATTTTTCTTCGAATCACGATGGTGCTACCCCTCCCCAAAAGGGGTCCCGGAACCCCTCTGGGAACCCTTCCCGAAAGGCTCTCGGGCTTTTCGCATTTTGACGAAAAAGCCGCAAAGGCAAAAAGCGCGCGCGCCTGCCGGTACACGCGCGCACAGTTGCGCCAACTTAGAAACAAGGGAAGGCGCAGCCGCGGCCGGTTCCGTTTGCGCCCTCGACTCCGACCGACTTGCACAGATTGAGGCCCATTGTCTAGCGGCTGGACTGCAAGAGGACCTGCTGCAGCACCTCCAAGCTGCAGGGGCACTCCGAGGCAACTCCGTGGAGCAGCAGCGCCGGATAGCTCCGTCTTTAGCCACTGAGAAGGGCTGCGAAGAAGCTAACTAGGTCATTAGGTGTGCAACACAGTGGGGGGCTATACGTGTGCAACATGATGGATATCAAATACAAAAAAAGGCGCGCGGAACATTTTTTACAGCTTGAGGCAAATACAAGTTTGACGACGCCATATTTCTCGCGGACTTGTGTTCTTGACTAAGCGCGGATGTGTGCTCATTTTTCCCGAGTGTATTCTAGTGGTATTGTTCGTTGACCTTCAGCCTCGGTATGGCCATGTATGGTGGTACGTATCCGCACTTTAGCGATCTACTTCAATGCCTTTATACGACTGCAGAAGACCACAACGCGGCGCAAAACGCTGCCCCGGGGGCCGCAGCCATGCGAACCAGGCCGAGCTGACCCGCCGCGGCGTTGACCTGAGGGAGGAGGTTTCGCGCCGTTCCTACCTGCGGCGCCGACCACGCAGCGCCGCGGCCCCCCCCGCCGGCCGCGGAAAGCGTACGCACCTCCCGACGCGGCAAACTCCTGACCGAGTTGCTGCGCGGCTATTGCAGCGCCCTGCTTTTCAGTTTGACGCGTGGAGGCGAGGCCGCCCTGCCCGAAGTTTCGCCGGAAAGCAATGCCCTGCGAGGCCCGCTGCGGTGCTTCTTGCGCGATCGGCGCGAGCGATGCCCCCAAGGATTTCGCTGGTGGCGCGCTCGCTCCCCGAGCCCCCCGTGCGGCGCAGACTCCCAACACAAGAATAATCGAAGCGAAAGGAGCGGACTTCTCGACGGAGGTCACGCGGGCCAAAGAAAAAGAAACCCCGGAGGGCTCGCCGGCGTATTGGGCGAGTATTTATCGGCCGGCGCCTTCCTGAGTTCATTCAGGACGCTGCGCGCAAGGCGGCACGGAGGCGCCAAAACAGAGGGGCGCCCTGTGGCTCGAGTGTGTCGGGGAAGCGAGGAGGGAGCTGGGTTCCTAGGGCCCTCAGAACGATGCGTGGCCCGGAATGAAAGCGAAGGCGGGAAGCGGGCCCGGGTACTCTACGAACACGGGACGGGGGCCCCTGTCACGATAGAGCAGCTTGCCGGGTCCTACATGAGGCGCGAGGGCGAGAGGCCGCATAAGGGCCCAGTCGTGCAGCTGCGGCGTCCAGGCGATGCCCTCCGCGGTGCTGTGCCGCCAGAACAAGGAACGCAAGCGCGGGCCCTCCTCGGGCCTCCTGCTCCAGGGCCGGCATTTAGCAAGCCAGCGCGCGGTGGCTCAGCATGCCGACGCGCGTCAGGCGGCGGGGCCGCCGCCGGGTGAAAGTCAGCGCACGCCGCCCGCGCCTGGGGCCCGCCGCCCGCCCTTCGGGGGCGGGGTGCGGTGCGTGCGATGCGGCCGCCGCCGGCGCTCGCACGCGCGGGCCACCAAGCCGTGCCGCGCGGCCAAGGGTAAGTAGCGCCCGCCCAGGGCTTTGCAATTCATCGGTGCGGCCGGGCGCGCCCTGTCTCCGGCCGCGTGTTCGGGCGTTTGCGCGCCGGTCCGGGGAGCCGGACCGGAGGGCCGCGCCCAGTGAAAAGCATCGGCGTGAACTCGCGACCGCCGCCTATGCGGCTGGCTATATTTGGATGGTGTTATGTCTATGTGCTCGTGTTTGTAGTCAATGCGCGACACCGGAAGGGCCGACGCGTGGTCTTTCCCCCACTGTAACGACTGTCAGCGCCATTGTGTCTTCTTCTAGCTCATGACGGCCGTGTGCGCTGGTATGTATCCGAGTGCTAGTGATGCAGCATGCGACGTTTGTCAGCGAGACATTGAGACACAACAAGACAAAATAGAATGCCCTCGTCCCCCGACACGGCACCGGACTTTTCGTCCCGGGCTCTGCCGCCCGCGGAACCGAGTACCTTGGCTTCCGACAGACGGAAAAAATGGTGGCTGGGTGTGGCCTACATCCTGATTGTTGCGGTCATTTGGACGGCGGCGAGTGTTTTGAAGCAGTTTATCTTCCACACCATGGAGTTTAACCACCCGCTGTTTGTGACCGTGTTCTGCAACGCATGCTATGTCGTGCAATTTTTCTCTGTGTTTGTCGTCACGTGGAGAGGGAAACAGAAAAAAAGTGGACAAGCGGCCCGCAGTGCGGAAAGACGTGGAGATGACAAGAGCCCTGCTGTTGATCCGGAGAACCCAGACGAGGAAGCTGACTGGCCAACAGCGCAGTACAACGAGAACGCTCAACATAGTCCGGGAGGAGCGGTATCGTCTTCAGAAATCGGCGTAGCGGTCGATCAGCCAGCAGTACTACCTCATCTAGCAGGGATCACAGTCGCAGACGACAACACAACAACTGCCACAGACGGAACAAGTACAGCAACAAGCACCTTCGAAAGACCACTGATAGCCAATCAGGGAACGACAAATCATAATCACGAAACAAACATATTAACCGAACAGCGGCCGAGAATTTGGGACCGACGGCACGCTTTTCTCGCACTGTTGATCTCCCCGATCTGGTTCATCGCGCAGTGGAGCTACGCGCAAGGCCTGAATTTGACCAGTGTCACCTCCTCGACGGTGATATCCACAACGAGTTGCGTGCCGACGTTTTTGCTGTCGCTCTTGTTTCTGCGAGAAAAACAGACCGGGGCGAAGTGGCTCGGCGTCATTTTCTGCGTTGTGGGAAATGTGATTGTCGCACTGTCATCATCCGGTGCGCCGGGTGGAGAAGCGAGTACAACAGGAACCACTTCCGGTGAAGCGAACAACAAGCCGACTACCATGTCATCTGATACAACTGCAGCTACCTCTAGTACTTCCAGCAAAGAGGACGAACTCTTTCTCTTCCTACTTTCATCGTCCCAAACAACTTCCGGTGCTAAAGACGCGACCCTGGTCGGGGACGTTCTGTGCCTCATCAGCACGGTGTTCTACGCCAGCTACGTGACGATTATCAAAAAGCACGTGACGAAACCCCTCTGGCTGTTCGCGTACCTAGGGCTGTACGTGTTCATTATCGGGTTCCCCTTGGCTTACGCGTTCGACCCCGAGCCTTTCCACGAATTAAACTGGACGATTGTCGGGCTACTACTTCTGAACGGCATCGGCGACAACGTGTTGGCGCAGTACTTCTGGGCCTACGCCGTGCTGTACAGTTCGCCGACCGTGGCGACCGTCGGACTGTCTTTCACGATACCGCTTTCCATGCTGTCCGACTTGTTCTTCAGCAGCGTCGGGGTGAGTATATGGCAAGTGCTGGCGGCGATAAGTGTCACTTTTGGATTCGTGATCTTGTCGATGAACAGTAGCAGCTCTGCGTGATCGGGAATTTTCTTCAAAAAACAAAGCCGTTGGTCGCTTTTCAACCGAAAGAACGAGATTGATAAATGAACCGCTTCATCTCCGAGAGAGCTGCCGACGTCTTGGCACTTTTTTCGCAAGAATGTTTTTTTGGCCTGTACGACGAACAAACAGCACGAATTATGTACGATGAGTAAAAAGGCCGCGTTCTCAAATTGGAAATCGCTATCATTTCGCCCTGAGTCTTTGGATGGGTACTGATGAAAAAATCGGTGTATGTTCCTATCGTGTACCAGCAGGTCCCCCACCCCGCACTAGGCCCAACCCGTTTTCGAAATACCCCCCAAGGAAAATACGTGATTGAGTTGTGCAAAAAGTTCGTCCGCAATCGCCCATACGCATACCATGATTGCTTTTTGCCGGTTTATGTATCCCATTCGCTACCCCTTGTCTACTTTATCGCTTAATATCACCTCCCCACGCATTTGGGTTAGTACTTATTTCTACACTTAGATGAGAAGCACCATTATAACAGCCCCTCTCTGGTACTGGTGACCTCGTCATCCTCAATCTCCCAAAAGGAGTACCATTTATCACTTCCCAACCTCTACAGAATGCCGGTCCAGGATCTCGACCTCCAAGCGGTCGCGGAACCGCACGATTTTTTCGCGCCGCCGGAATCTCGGGAGGACCGCGAGGCGCTGGGCTGTGGCTCCGTTTTCATGACGGTGCTCCTCTGGGTATCCTTACTCTCAAGCGGAGTGTATTTCTACTCGGATAGCTACAATAGGAGTTACCTCCTGTCCCTCGTCGGACTGAGCGACCCGCCGCGAGCAAGCAGGCCCTTTGTGGACATAGATGAGTCGTCCCCGTTTATTTCAACACAACTTCATCCCGCCCGAGATCGCTATTACGGAGCAGACAACTATTTTGACGACACTCAACAGCTCCGCACCACCGGTACAACTAGTTCGTCTACGTTCGGCAACGAATTCCTGCTAGACGCGTCCTCTCGAGAGGACACCACGCACCAAACTATCCTGGTTTTTCTCGCGGTGATTTACTTCGCCTATCTCCTCCACGCGTGCTGCTGTGCGACGACAGCGGATTACGTTGCCAACGTTTACAGCGAGTCGGAGTTCGAGGCGTATCTAAACGAGGTAAAATCGTCCAAGCCGCGAATAACGTGGAGCATCCGGTGCTACCACTACGAAACGCGGTACGAAACGACGCACGAGACGGACTCTGAGGGCCGCACCCGCACCAGAACGCAGAGCAAGAGAGTCGAGGTCACGACGCACCGGGCGCAGGAACGGTTTCCGGTTTCTTTTTCCTTGGATCACACCTTCACCTACACGGAAAAGGTGCGAGCGAGGCTCCGGGCGGTGGCTTTGCGACGGGCAGCGGCCGTGGAAAGGATACGGAATAGTGGGATTCTGGCGAATCCTGCTGGTGATAATGCTAGTGGTGCATCAACATCCTCGCAACCGCTGAGGCAGTTTGTCGACGGGGATGACCCAGGGCAGGAGAATACTATCACAAGGGGACGACAAGCGGCAGCCGGGGGAAATGATAACCGAGAGGACGAATCTGAGATGGACGTGTGCGTGATCTGTATGGACCGCCCCGCGTTGTTTAAGTTTCTCCCCTGCAACCACCAAATTGTCTGCGGCTCGTGTGGGAACGAGTGGATGCAACAGAACGGCACGTGCTGCATCTGCCGGGAGACGGTGAACGAGTGCGTGGACGCGGCCGTGTTGGAACAAGTGGAGCAGTTTCTGAACAATAGCGCGCGTGGTGCAGGAGGAGCTCCTGGTGCTGGGGGTTCTTCCTCTAGTAACCCACTGCTATCGCAGTTTCAGTCCGGCGGGACAACAACAGGAGCATTTGGAGTCAATTCGACCTCTGCTCGCAGTGCAACCACAAGCGTGTCCTTCATCCTGGTCGAATTTCCCTTGGACTTAAAACCGCGAGATTCCACGACCCGAAATCGGATCGAAAGGATGAAAAATGACTTTTACCGGCGCAACCGTTGGGACACGCATCAGGAAACGTCCGAGTCGAAAGGGTTAGACTTCAAGTACTAGACGGAAAAATGCCCCCTCCCCATATTAAAACACAATTTCTGATGCTGGATTTGAATACACAAATCACATTTGTGTTGCAGTAGAGGACTGCACGCAGATCCTAAGCCTAGGCAAGGGCCTTTTGGTCTAGGCGTCTAGCATGGTACACGGTTACTCTGTAGGCCTTACAGCATTACAAAGCGCCTGCATAACGCGGCGGACAGCCTGTGTGTGCCTTCTTGCAAGACAGACCCGATCTGTGGTCATAAATGCGCATCACGTGATGGGCTTTCAATATGGGGAGGAGGGACTTTGCCTTGCAATATCAAGTTCCTGGCCCGGGTGTCGTTTTACCCGGGGAGCCGAAAACCACCGTGGTTGAGCAAGTGGCGGTACTACGTCTTCAGCCTTTTTGGTTTCGCTTTGTACTACCGCTATCGATTACTGCATTCTGGGAGGAAGGAAAATTGGTGGGTCACGAAGAGATTTTCGTGAGAAATAAGTATAATAAAACTAAAACGGCTAGTGTTTGTTCATACATCATCTCTCCCACGTAAGAAATTGAATTTACCTCAGTTGATTCCTAGTTTCTCCAACAGGGTGCAATGAATTTGTTTTTACATGCTCATGATGAAAGTCAAAAACTGTGTGAAAATTAAAGACTCTGGCACTTCAGCGCCCAGGCAGAGGTTGCTGCGTTTCTTTTCAAGATTACCATGGCACGAGACCAACCATCCTAGCGATTACTATATCAAACTTCGCACGAAGTAGGCGAAGCAAGCGGGGCCTTCGCTCATGCTACGTTAGGAATTTGTGTTCGCAAGAAGGTGTATACTAAAATAGTTTCACGTGACAAGGAGGGGACGGAGCAGTACTGAGGATGCGCGTGAAATCGAGCGAGGTAGTGGGTAGATAAGAGAACAGCAAGAGTAGTAGGATCACCAAATGCAACTTTCCAGAATCATTCTCATACGCATCGCGACGACTTACTAGCCAGACGATAGCGCAAAGAGGAGCGCACAAGAATACTACAGGAGGTACGCGAAGGAACACCATGATGACAACTTTGGCTCCGGTTATTTCTTGCGCAGGCTTCCGGCCTAGAGCAGTACGTTTCTTGCTGTGTACTTTCCTGTTGCAACTCCTGCCACCGCATTATGCAATATCTCTGGGCATGAAGTTGAAGCACAGGTCGTACCAGCCGATTTTGCCGATCTCCGTGCGGACGCGCGATGGACGGCGACCACCAGCAGGGGCGCCGCCTGTACAACACATCATGGCTAGTAGTGCTATGATAGCCGCACAGGCTAGTAATTTTGGCGCAACATCTACAACCTCGGCGTCAAGTGCCGCGGGAGTGCTAGGTGCGTTCAATTCAGTAGGGGGACCACCTCCCGCTTCGAACTTGCAGCGCTCTTTGCCTTTTGACCGCCTCGAGCCCCCTCGTTCGGTGCAGCTGCCATCCAGTCCAGATGCAGCCACTAGTTCGTCGACACGCGGCACTGTCAGCGATGGCCCGGCAGCTCCGTTGAATGCAGGGGCGACGTCGACGTCGAGTCATCTGACCGGAAACTCTGGCAGCGAGGGGAACAATGATAGTGACACAGATGACCGCGACTCGGATAATTCAGGTTCCATGTCCAGCAGGAGCAGTTCGGGCATCAGTACCGTTTCAGAATCTGAAGACAGCGAGGACGACGAGGACAGCCTCGGCAACGACCTAACCCCCGAGCAGGTCCGGGCGGATCTCCGCCCTACCACAACTACCCCGCCAGACGCGCAGCACCGCTGTTTTGTTTGTCTAGAAGACGACAAAGACCGTCCGCTGCTCCGGTTTTGCGGCCGATGCAACGCGAGGTGCCACAGCGACTGCTGGCAGGAGCACCGAGCGACTAAAGTACACGTGTCCGGGATCTACCGGGACAGTCCCTACGAGGTCGGGTCCGCAGTCAAGTGCCCGCTGTGCCGCGGGATGCTCCTGGGCGTCGCGCGGGAGAAGGTCGCACTGCTCTTCCCGCACGACTTGTGTACGAATCAGATCGCGGCGACGGCAGTCCTGAATTGGTACACCCCGCCCCCAAGGAACGGCCGCAGACCGCCGAGCGAACCGTGGGAGGAAATGCTGTTAGCGATCCTGCTCGGCAGCAGCGAACCGGAGCGGATTTACCCCATGCGGGGGTCGAAGCGGTATAAAGAATTGAGTAACATCCTTTACCGGAGGGAGGCCGCAGAAGATTTGCCCTGGCTCCGGAAACTTTTCAAAAAGTACAACTCCGCTGTGCACGAGCCGCGGGATACGAGCAGGACGGCGAGAAGACATCAACATCAGCGAGAGGCGACCGTTTGGAAGGTGCGGAGGTGCAATGAGCGGATTCTACAGAGGTGGTTCGAGAAAAAGCAACGGGAGAAGGAGGAACGCCAAAATAGGAGCCTTCTGAACTACGCCAGAACCATTGCAGTTTCCTCAGTGGACCTGGACGACGATGAGAGAAGCAATGACGACGATGTCGAAGGTGGGAACTACACTGGCAGCAGCAGCAGCATCAAACTCGGCCGCCCAGCAGCGAACAAGAGATCATGTCTACACCCGGTCGCGAAGTTTTTCTCTACTAGTATGAGAACATCAACCGCGCCGGATCATGGTCAAAATTCCCGCGCCGGCGAACAGGAGAGCAAGAGCTCTGATCATGTTCGCCACTGTGCTCGGTTTTCTACACTCCTGGCAAGAAATCTGGCGCAAAACTGCTGGACTTTGACCGACAGTTGTTGCTGCTGCGGCGACTCATCGGCAAGAAATGACCCGAAGCAACTCTTCAACCGCGGACAAGATTTTTTGCACCGGACAATGCCGCACGCGGCCGTCCATGTAGGGAACGCAAAAGTACTATCGTGGATTAGTATGCGGTTTGTGCATCATGATATTAACAAGGAAAATGCAAATGATATGAGTTATGGACTTCGGCATGCATATTCCGATAGCACCAAATCACAGCTGTCATGCATCGTTGCAATCCGTACGACCGCGATAGTACTCTTTGGCACAGGATACCCGGCCTGCGACCGTAACTGCGAGTGTGCGGGGTTCTGCCTGGTCTTGGGCGTTGCGGGGACTGCGACGGCCGCCAGCTACGCCACGGAGCAAATGGACTGTGTCTCCTGTTGTTTCTCCGCCACGGGTCTCTCCTGCGCGGGGCTTCTGGCCCCCCGAATCCTGTGCTACGCGTGTTACTGGGGGCACCAGTGCGGCGCGTTCACGGGCGAGGACTGTGCGCGGTGCGTGAACGCGTCCTCGTGGAGTTGGTTGCGAACTGCTTACAACACGATTTGCTGCACGAAGAACCCGCAACTACGACTACCAACAGTCCGGGAGGAAAGAAAAGCCTTCGAGAAGGAGCAGCGGACGCGGGAGAAGGAGCACGATCTCTCACGGCTGTTGCAGATCGACTACCCGTTGAGCATGCGGCGGCGGGACTGCCTGCAGCGCCTCGACGGTTGCGAGTTTGCACCCTGTTGCTGCTGTCCCCAGGTTATCGTAAGGAAAAATCCCCCCTCCCCATATCGAAAACGTATCCGTCTGAAAATTTGTGATGCGCATTTGCGACCTCAAATCCTGTCTGTCTTGCAAGAAGGCAAGTCCAGAAAGCGTTCCGCATTTTGCAGGCGGTTTGTGATGCTGTTTGGCTTAGTTAGAGCATACACGTTTGTCATGCTAGGCGCCTACGTCAAAACCTCTCGACTGAGGCTTGCCATATGCCTGCATTTCTCTACTGCAAGACAAATCTGATTTGTGTATGGAAATCCAGCATCAGAGCCTTCCTTCGTTTCGATATGGGGAGGGGGGATTTTTCCTTTTGATACAGGTGGGGCTTTGCTGTTTAGACGCGTGGGAGGAAGCGACGAAAGCGGCGGGTTGACTGGTGTTGATCAGACCCCGGATCGATGAAGTTTCACTGCCTTAGTTGTTTGTACACAAGACAATGTGCCATGGATCATGGTGTCGGTAAAAATTTGCTTGTGAATATAGGTTATTTCACTTGAAAGATTGTTCGAAGTCGTCAGGTAAAATTGCATTTTGCTGCACGGAGGTCGTGACCTTCCGAGTTACGTCGCTATTGATTGTTTGAAAAACGAAAGGAATACAGATAGATTTTGATGTTTTTGCGAAACGAATACTTGGATACTTTGTTTTTAGAGCGGTAATGGCTCATCTCTCGTTTTTGTCGTCAGCGAAATGTTTCAACCAAAACTTTAGATTTTCTGCTAACTTTCGAAATTATGAATCGAGTTGTCATACTCAGACACATACTCAGGCGTGCTTTTTGCAACGCCGTCACGACGGGAAAAGGCAGTTCGTGTGGTCCACGCGACGGACGGCCTTCCGTGCCTTTGAGAAATCTCTCATGGCCCTCTTCGACCGTTCAAAGTATCATTTATTTTTCGTTTACTCTGAGCGTACTCGTTGTATTGAAGGAAGTTTCACACATTCATACGTGAGCGCACCGTCGAGGACTACGAGCTGTCTGTTTGGTTTTGGCTTCGTTGTTTTCGTCTTCGTTTTTGCGAGAAAGGTGTGCCACTTTTACTTCCCCAATCGTTCGCGTGTTTGGCGGTTTGTGTGTGAGCAGTAAGTAGGGCAGGCTACGTACCGGATGAAAGTTTATAGTTATGTTGTAAACTACATGGTCAATAAGGGTCGCCACTAGTTTTCAGTGGGAAAAAGAGAAATCAAAAAGGTCGTGCCCATCATGTCGTCGTCCCTTTATTGGGAGCGCACCATGTGTGTGTACGACCACATCCAGCCGATTCTGACTTCTGACAACCGCGTCAACTTGGACAAGGCGCTGGACCAGTTTGCGGCGTCCAACGACCATATGCTGGTAAAGGAAGCAGCATTGGCGTTGGGACATGGCAGTGGGTATTAACGAGTTACAGTTGACCAACGTGTGACGTCAGCTTGATGTGCACAACTAGGTTCTTTCAGTTTGGAGCAAATGACAATTCTGTATCTGTTATGTGTGAGTGTGGAGGCGAGTTAAATTTGGAACAACGATTGAATCACAGGCACAAAACGTACGTGGACATCGACACTTTTCTGGCCTGTCTCCAAAAACGTGTGTCCGCGTACGGCGGACGGTGGGGCGAAGCCGCGACATCGAAACTGTTCTGTGGTTTGGACGAACAGACGGAACATCAAGCTGCAACGGGCGCCGGGGGGAGCAACAGCAACAGCAACGGTACTTCTGCATCAGGCGCGACATCATCAAAGCCAGACACAGGCGTCGGTGTGGTAGAAACTGGAGCTGAAAAAAATCAACGAAATACTACTTTTCCTAATCCCTCGAACAACCAAAACTCCAACCGGCGGAACATCCAGCCGTACCCACTGGGGTCCAGTCCACGGCGGAGGGGAATAAACCTTCGGAATGTACAAAACGCGCAGCAGACGAGGGTAACCACATCAAGCAACGGTCTGTATTCCGCCTCCCCCACGCCTAGGGACGACGAGTTGTTTTACGGACACGCGCGCAGCTCGTGGCAGAACGGGGGCGGGCTGGAGTTGACCTACAGCTGGAATAAAAACGTGAAGAATAATTACAACAATAGCGGCCAAGATCATTTTGTTCTAGGACATCAAAACCAAAAGCCAACACAGACCGGGGCAACGCCGTCGAGCAGCTCCACGGCGGGAACAAGAAGTCGAGGGCATCAGCATGGTAATGTAAACAAGAACTACACGACCCACGGTGCCAACAAATCCAATCTGCGGAAAAATCAGGCGATTTTCGCGACCACGACTCCGAGTGACGCGAAGAGGACGCAGGATGTTGAACCTCAGCAGGTGGGTAGAAGCAGGAGTGGCACGACAGGCACAACTTCTGGTAACAAGAGTAACTTTAACCCGCCGCCTCCGCAATTGAACGGCAGCAAAAAGTCGACGCGGTCTTCTTCCATGGGGCGGCGGGGGAATTCCAAGCTGTCCACAGATGAGCCGATTGACTACACCACGACGGATTTAGAAGTGTCTTCAGTTCCAGAAGTGGAACAACCAGAAATCATGAGGCCGCACACGACCAGCACGACTACAACCTCCAGGCCTCCAAACGCCGGCGTGCCGATCGTTCTGACGAACCCAGGGCCAGCACGTAGTAGTACTGCTACTGTGTTGACCACGACGACGCCAGGATTACATGGGCCGCAAGGCGGAACAGTTTCTTCATCTACCCAGGAGGGCGTAGTGGGCCACAACAACACGACTCTATTCCCAGCCCCTGCCCCATCGAACGAGAAGTACGCTGTATCTGCGCGGGCGAGATACATCTCCGAGTTTTGCGAGGTCATGCTGAACAACAACAGTATTCCGACCGGCTCCCCCGGCGCGACCTTCAGTCCCTTCCAGCCGTTTCCGGTAGTTCTCGGCGCGGCGAGTGGCGCGCGCCAGGAAGACGATGCGGAGTACCAAAGCCCCGGTCGTTCTTTGCAGCTGCTGACAAAAGCTCAAAAAAATAAAGCGGGAACTACAGTGTCGAAAAACTCTTCGAAAGCATCGAAAGTTTCCTCTTTGTCTGGTTCGGGAAGCAGCAAGCTTTCTGCTGATGCTCTGTCTGCGTCGCAGCCGGCGAACTTCACAACTGGCGGGCGGCAACATCGGCAGAACACCAGACAAGGCAGGAAAACGGTAGAACACTACCAGACTGCAGTGAACGGCGGTGAGTCAAACGTGAAGAATGATGATTATCCAGGGCGAGGGACGAGCTCCTTGTCTTCCGCACAGGCAAAAAGCATCCCAGCACAGAGCAAACCTGCAACGATCGCGAGCGGCAGCAATAATACCTCGCGAAACCTGTTTTCGAAGAACCGTATCTCAACCGCGTCGAGCAGCGCCCAGCATCCGCAAGGAAACAATCGCACACGCCCGCAGACCGCCGGTGGTCAAGCTGGTCAACACCCGCAGCGCGGAAGTAGACCGCAACAGCTTCCGCACCCAAATACACTTCATGGCCAGCATCAGTACTACCCTCAGCGGCAGCGCCCTAGAGCCGGCGCACCTACTCGACCCGCCTCGCCTCCCGCGGACGAGTTTGCGGAAAGTTTTTTCAGCGATTATCATGAGTTGCGAGAAGTGGCGCTCGAGAGGCGAAAACGGGAACACGAGATTGTGTCCTCGAAGTTCTCCCACTTGCACAGCGGTCAACCGCGCCGGAGTCGGAGCACGGAGCAAGGCAGAAGTGGGAAAAGGATGGTGAACCAAAAGGGCAGGCCCGACTTGTATTATGGGATCTTTCCCTCGCCATCTCCAGAGAGCAAGCGACGGGATCGGGCGAGGTATCTTTGGTTTGCTTTAGCTAGTTGTGAGTTGCAGGTTGGTATATTCGCGTCCGACGTGTTGGTTCACAATGCAAATGTGCCGTGATGAACCTACTTCGTGCATCTTTTTACGTTCTATCAGGCACAACGACGCAGCAGGAGCACCAGGAAGATTCTATCCCCCCGCGCCACCCGGTCAGCAATTCGTGCCGGCGCCGCGGACCACTGGAGGAGCTGTTGATCCGTACCACGCAAGAACGCCCGATCAACGTGCTGTGCCACCCGAAATCGCCCACGACCCGCAGCTATCAACTGTAAAAATGTCTGGGTCTGGAAGAGTGCATGTTTGTCATGCTTGTCTGGCATGACTCTCAAATCTGTCATGCACGTTACCCAAGAGCGCCACTTTTCTGTCATGCAGAAACGCAGTCTGTCATGCCGAATGGGCAACACCTAGAGGCTCAGAATCTTGTCATGCTGAGCCAGCACTTGTGGCCTCCTCATGATACGCCACCCAGCATCACAAGTTTCCAGACCCAGACACTTTTGCATTTGATAGCAGCTTCTCGAGGAGTTCTATGAGTTTCTGTCGCAAAATATCACACAGAAAAAGGCAGGCAGGTTTGTCATGCAAAAATCAATACGCAAAAAAAGTTGTGTTGCGCATCCTAAACAGCATGCTATGGGGCCGCCCATGACAGATCTTTCTGGGTATTTATTTTTGCATTGCAAATATGCTTTTTTCTCTGGGATACAAAAGAACCAGAACAACCCGAAGCAGCAGGCTGTCCGGGTGAAAACCCCGTCGTACCGCATCGACACGCCGCCGCAAGACTGGTACTATGGATACGATGAAAGGCACGACCTGTCGCCCACCTCCAGGGGGGAAAATGAAAATCATCTGCACGGATATTACGACGAGGCGCACGAAGCCAGCGGCGAACAAATGGACAAGCTTTTCTGCAGTAGTGTCGGTGCGGCGAACAAGGGGACAAGTTCTTCTCAAAAACCAGCGAGCAGTCAAATACAAACCCAAGTCCCTTTGTCCCCTCGCGGCCGGAGCCGGGGGGCCTACGGGCAAGCGCAGGTCAACAAAAACCACCGCGCGGCTGCATCTGGACAACTACATCAGAAGTTCTTCTTCCAGGGGGACAAAGACGATTATGAATACCCTGTTCGTCGTCGTTCAGCTTCAGGCGAGGACAAGAAAGTCGAAGCTTCTCCAGACACGGAGGAAGACAGCGAGCGCCTCGGATACAGCTTCGTGCCGGGCGGCGCGCGCCGACCCCTGTCGAAAAGACCCCTGGAGCCGTCGCCGGAGGTGCTGCAGGGGTCGCCGGAGGTCAAGGTCATGATGGCCGCCGCAACTACGAGGAATGGAAATCCAACTCCACCACAAACAAAAAATATTATGAAATCGTTGCATGCGGTCACTGAGGAGAGCGGGCACCAGCAGCAGAACGAGAGTTGTGATCAGCCTTCATTTATCCCCGGCCATCTTGCAGGAGGTTCAGGACCACCCGCCAGCCACTGCGCCAACGCCGGCGCCGGAGAGATTTTGGAGGCGGAATTTCAGATGAGCGGGCAGCAGCTGCAAGTAGGGGGCGGAAGGAACAACATCAAAGTGAGCGGCGAACAATTACTGTATCAGAAATATAGCCCGGAAGATGCCGTAGAGGATGTTGTAGCGCAAGCGGAGCAGCTACTGGACAGCAGCCAGATCGAGCTGAATCACAAACCAGTAGAACATCAACCGGAAAGAACAGAAGAAATAAACGCAGGATCAACATCTTCAGCGAACCCCTTGTTGGATGATAGCGACGTGATCTTCCCCACGATAAGCGGCGTTCCGTTCGTTGCGGAGCACCAGCCGTCCTCGTACGAAGTGCGAGACACGCTGCCGCCGTTCGCCTTCGGCTACCACGAAAGAGTAGAGTCGACGGAACGGACGGGCACGGGTGCGGGTTCATCTTCTGCTGATCATAACGGCGTCGGTGCGGGAACAGCTGATGAGGGAAATTATGTGAACAATGACTACCAAGCGCAGAAGGGAAGATCATCAACACCTCACTCCGGTCCCAGCTCCTCGTCAAGTAGGAAGAATGGCGAAAACATAAACGGCACGACTTACCAGGGACGGGCTGAAGGAGGACAAATTAAAGACTCCTCGCCGACGCAACTTCCAGCGCAACAGCAGTCGCCACAAGGGCTGCTGCTGGGACAACGGAACCGGAACTACTTGAGCGGGCTGAGCTTGCAGAAGGGAAACATGAACTCGGACACGAATATTCTGTCGATCCTGCCCTCGAAACAGTCCGCAAAGTCGAGTGGCACAAGGACTCCCGCCGGAAGTCCGCAGGTCGTGTGGTTTGTAGTTTGTAGAGATGAAGAATGTAATACGGGTTTCGGATTTAGGATCATTAGGGATCTTTCGTTCATGGCAGCAAAACAAAGTTGTTGATGTGCAGCTTGGCGGCTGTGATCTACTTTCGGGTTAACTATGATTAGACAGTCTTCATCCTCAAATCTCGACTCATTTAAACACAGGCGCCGAATTCGTGTTTTGTGAATAACAAACCTCCTTCCTCCACGACTGCGACCGTGCAACGGCAGTTCACACACGCGCGCATGGTGGCGCTGAGCAAGGAAAACGCGGACTCGGTGGAGATAGTACCTCCGCCGGCACCCACGGGGGTATTGCGGGGGCGGCCAAGGTATCAAATGTAAAAATGTCTGGGTCTGGAAGAATGCAACTTGTCATGCTAAATCTGAAGCATGCAAAAATCTGTGTTGCATGCTTACCAAAAGCTGTCTACTTTTGACCTAATCGAGAGGCCGTTTCTCATGCAGGATAGGCATTAGAAAGTTCTCGCAGAATCTGTCATGCTAGCTCCGGCATTCCAGACCTCATGGGTCACGGAAAAGCAGCATGACAAATCGCGCATTCTTCCAGATCCAGACATTTTTACACTTGATACAAGGTCCAAGACTGCGTCGAGTTTTGGTGCGGACTCGAAAGGGACAACGGACGGCAGTCCGGAGCGGCAGGGAAGAGGTATTGGGGGAAGATATATGACTTTTATACCCAAGTACCACAAGTGCAAAGGGGAAGATCCTCGGAACAAATGTCGGGTTTTTTTGCTCTTGCTCGATCTGATTTAATATTTGTTTCATCTGCGAGATCAAGAAAGAAAAAAAATCACGCACAGATCCGGGGGAGGCAAGCGGTCTGGCGCTGCAGTACTCGACGGAGTTAAACTTCCGAAATCTGCTTCGGGGCGGGGTAGAGCAAAATCCGGACAACAGCGGCTTTCTCTCCGCCCGCTCACGCCCAAGGCCTTCGAGACAACTGTCTCCACCGATGTTTTCAAGCCCAAGGCCGGATAGGGAAACCAGGAGGCGGCAAAGTACCAACTTTTTTGGCATGTTGAATTGGTTTTGATTGCTGTATCGATAGTAGTGTTAATATTCGTTTTTTTGGTCATCTGGTAGTAGCTAACTTTTTCCAAACGAACTACACTTACCAGAGTACAAGCACAAGTTTTCGCGGTCCCTTGGTTGGCAAGAAGCGCTGCGGACTGCGGACCCGGAATTCCGGAAGCCTTTTCGCACGGACATGAATCCCTCGTCGCGCTGGACGGAGTTCGGCTCTTCGCAAATGCTGTCGCGATCGGTTCAGGATCGAAGCCAGTGAGGCGGGGGGAACTGGAGTAGAAAATACGTTTGTCGTATTCAAAATTAGTGAAAAAATCTCGTCCTGAAGAACTGCTGCTAATCCCATAGTACCCAACGAAGAAAGTATTGCCCATTAACATATTCATCGCCTACGGCACTTCTGACAGACTGAGCTGTCGGTTCGATTGTGAAGTTTTAAGTCAACGATACAGGATCGCTCGCTCGCCTTCTTCTTTCGGACTTGTGATGGTAATACACTCTCAGAAAGAAACCAAGATAAGTGCTTCTGCGTACTGGTGCTTTCAATACCGCAACGGAAATGGGAGCCTTTCAAAGATGAATGCACCGCCGCGTGGTCCACCTGCAGCCGTTCAATACGATAGGACATGTTTTTGCAGCAAATTTGTGACTCGTGGAAAAGTGAATTTATCACTACACTGAGCGCGACCTCCACGGTCGCATTCGCAACCGCGTCCTAATCTGAAACAAATCGGGAAGCTTCGTCGTCAGGAAGAAAGTTGTTGTCCCTGAGTCGTCTTGGTCGTAGTCGTTGTCGTCATTCAGTCGTCGGCATTGTGTGTTGTACAGTCGTGGACGCGGCTAGAGAAGATCCCCTTCGCTTCATCTTTCTTCCGGTCGAGTCGTTACCTCCTCACTCAATGTCGCGACTACGTAGTTTGTGACCCTGTCTTCATCGAATTTACTAAAGGCAATATCGATTGTGCACTGAACAATCTCATTTGCCGCATGTGCTTGTGTGAACGTCATACCCAATGGAAGTGCCAAAATATTGGAATTGCAGGACTTAGCAAGGTTGTAATCATTTGTCTAAATCCGAGTACATATTAGAGTTTTAGTATTCGTCTTTCCGGCCGTGACGACCCTGCTCCGCACAAGAAATGGGCGTCGTTTCACAAAACAACGCAGAAGTGGTGCTGAGTTTCCGCACACCCATTGACACGACAATAAGCTCTTCGGACGAGTTTACGGTATGATTTGTTCGACTGGAAGAGCACAACGCAGCTATTCCAAAGAATTTGATTTGGCATGCAAAAAGCCATGCATCTATAATTTCTCGCGTCGTCGTACCTGCGAACGAACACAATCAACAACAAACAGGTCAGCTGCGTGAATGATTTCGCGAGCTGTAACAACAAGTGCAACATCAAATACGGCCACGACCCCGCGAAGCTGGAGGCGTGCAAAATCTCCACCGCGAAGCACTTTCTGAAGGGTGGCGGAGCGGGGTTTGCCTGCTTTTGGAAGGGGGCAACGGTAAAAACAAGTGTACACGTTCATGTATGTGAGTTGTAGAATGGGACTGATAGTCATCTTTCGATAGGTCAAATAAAGAACCACCAACGCGTGTTATTCAATTTCTGAAGACAACCACGAACACGATCAACATCTGCAAGGAGCAATGCATCAAATCACATTCCTTAATAGGTCGAAGTCGCTGACTGCGAGTTTGGTTCCAATGCGCGGGTGGTGGAATTGCAGCACCTCAGACCTCACCAGTTTGTGCGTACCGGCGAGAAGCACTTCGAGCCGGTGCTGGGTTTCCTGCATCGAGATCTGGAGCGGGAGTGTACTTTTGTATGCGTCCGCGTGGAAAGTGCAAGTGGGCGATCTGAAACTGGATGCGACACAGGGCTTTACCTCACACCGGGGCATTTGGTATTTTTTATTCGCATTTTCGCAAATTTCGCGTACGTAGTTCTTGGTTAGATCCTTGTTCTCTTGTCGAAGAAGTTACAGCGGATGTACAGATTTGCTAGCTGAGATCATGAAGAATGTACGATCTTCATCTTTTAAACTTACGGACAAGAACCATCAAGCGAAACTGTTCCTCTTCACCAGGTTTTCGCCCGAGAATCCGAAAAAGAGGCTTTATTCGCAAAGCCGGCGATACACTTGAGACCAAACACCGACTGCGTGCAGTACTACTGCCAGGAGATGGAGAAAACTAACACGACCAGCGGGAAAAGGAAATACTCCTGCGATGCCCGAGTGAAAGCGGTGCACCCAGTCTTCTTAGATGGCAAGAACAGCCACGAAGACGACCAACGGGCCGAGGCCACGGAGGTCAGCAGCAGTAGCTGCCACAGTAGAGGCCCGCCGAAAACAAGGATTGGATTCAACCAAACCAAAATCGTCCACAATTCCACACGACGGAGGCAGCTGTTGAGCAGAAGTAGGGCGAATTGTTCCTCGTCCTTTCTGGAGCGGCCGAAAGTTGGGATTGTCGCACCGCTCACTTTTTCCGGTCAGATCATCGTGAACAACGTACTGTGCAGCTGCTACGCGGACATTCCACACCACCCCTTCTGCCACATGCTCTCCCAGCCGTTCAGGATGCTTGCGTGGAAATACTACGAGCGGAAAAAGCAGAGTAAATGCGGACTATGGGATGAGGAAGATGCTGTTGCTGATTCTGCGAAGAAGCAGGTGCGGGTTTCCTCCTCGACGACGGAAGTTGTATCCACGCCGGCTTTACTCCAGGAACACGACAGTGAAGAAGATATCTCCACCAGGTGTGCGACCGCCGGGCAATTGCGCAAAGGGGAGAAGCTCCTCGCCCATTTTCGTTCGTTTCTCGATGCAGGGAGCCTACACCTAGGAACTACGTCGTGCGAGGAGGAAGCAGGGTCTTTGCGTGGTACTACTTCAACATGTTCAACATGTAACATGGAAGCGGAATCTGCCGAGACGACGACGAGTTTGGTTTCGACGACTGCAACGTCACTGGCACTTCTTTGTGATCTTTTCGAAGAAAACAGAAAGCTTTGTTCAAATTACTGCACGGACACGATTGTAGAGCTTTTTTTGTTAAATCACGACACCCACGTAGAAGTACCTCTACCTTTTTCTGCTAGTTTACTTGAAAGGAAAAAGCAAAAATATCCTGAGAAATAATTTTTGCATTGATGTTCGACAGTGACCTTCTATTCGGATGAATAATACGTGTGCAATGTGTAGCGTAATACAAGAAATAATGAGCAAAATTTGTTTTCGCTGTTGAAACAGCAGCAAGCCCAAGCGCATCTTCATCAGGCGTCACCAGTGGCGTTCTACTTGTTTGAGAGGTGAACCAGTATCACCTAGGTGCCATCAGCGATGGACGACGAAGTCAATTGCCGGTTGATCAAGAACAGGTTGGTAGAAAAATAGAAGAGGATTGTAATGCCTTCGAGAGGTGGTTTCCAGGTTCAGTATACCAGCATAGGCACGCCGCCAGTGACAGCGATCCCCTCGTGTGAGCGATTCTGATTCAGGTGGGCTTGAGAGTGTGTAAAGCATGCGACTGTGAGACGATTGAGGTCTTCAGAGTGACGAGGAGAACCGCGAGACGGCAAACAAAAGCAGTTCGGAACCATGGTGGCGAGACCTCCGAGCGGACGGCCGACTTCCGCACCGGGGGCGAGGCGAAGTGGCGGCGGCGCGCGGGCCTCGTCCAGCAGCAATGCTTACCTAGGCGCCGGGGGAGGTAAAAAGATGATGTCCTGTGTGGTCTAGGCGCCTATCGTGTCTGCGGGTATGATTCATCAGGATTTGCAAATACAACAGAGCTTAGTTGTATCCCCACCATCAAAGAAAATAAAAGTCGCAAATCTATATCACTACAACATCAGACGGCGGCGCCGGCTCATCTTCGGGTTGGAACGGCACTGGGAAAAGCAGTTTGGGTTTCAGCCACACAGCCACTTCATCCGCCGCGGTACCCAATCCCAACAAGATCCAGCTAAGGGAGTCCAAAGTCCTTTCCGGGAGGGAGCGGCTGACGGACGTGGAAACTTTGGAGGATCTGTATTTCAACACGCGGAAAGACCTGCGCAAATTGGAAACCATCTGCGAAGCCCTGCAAACCGAAATCCACGAGTTGGAGGCGGTGGAGTACCATATGCATTGCAAAAGTATCGTACATTCTCGTGCACGTGCTATTGCAGTCATGCATGAATAAAAAGCTGCCTCCTGAGGTAAAGATCAGCATTTCAAATCCCACTTTTCCTTCTGACCAAAATTTATTGCAGTGCAATTTTCACTAGAACTAGTAAGTGCGATCATGATACTTTTGCAATGCATAAGCCAGAAAGACAAGCAGCTTTACGACTTGCTGCTGACCGCAAAAACGATCGGGCACTGGGAGAAGGACATTCACAACGTGCGGAGCGACCTGGAACTCCTTTCCGAAGCCAAGAAAAAGACGTCAGAACTGCGGGAGCTAGTGGAGGAAAGAGAATTGGCGATAACCTCGATCTATCAAAAGTACTTAAAAATGTCTGGGTTTGGAAGAATCCGAACTTGTGATGCTGCATTTGGATTCCAAAAAAATCTGTGTTGCATGAGTAATAAAGGGAATGCAATTTTTGCTACGCTGAGAGGGCATTTGTCATGCGGAATAGGCATCAAGAAGCCCTCAAAAAATCTTTATTGCTAGGGTATGCATCACAGACATCATGGCCCATGCAAAACGTGCATGACAAGTGTCAGAATCTTCCAGACCCAGACACTTTTGATATGCATACGATCACGAAGCAGTTGAAGCAGTCCCGCGCTGCGCAGCTGGAACAGGAGGTTATCAAATGCAAAAGTGTCTGGATCTGGAAGATTGCCAGATTTGTCATGCATACTTTGTATGACCCACGCTGCCTGTAATGCATGGCCTAGCATCACAGATTTTCAGAGGGCTTTCTGGTGCCTATTCCGCAACAGAAATGCCCTCTCAGCGTAGCACAAAGTGGACCCCTTTTGTTGGTCACCCAATACAGATTTTTTCAGAATCCAAAGACAGCATCACAAGTTGCATTCTTCCAGACCCAGACACATTTGCAACGCATAGAGGTGGCAAAGATGCAAGAACTCGTGAAAACGACCAAAGTGCAATACGAGCAGTTCTTATCAAACAAAAAAAGTTCGTCACGATCACTCATGCGCATTTTTGCAATACAAAATTGTTTGTCATGCGTAAAAATGCATCACAGCCAAACTTCATAAGGGATTTCCCTAGTGTTTCTGCAATACAAGGAAAATTTGTGATGCTAAGAAAATTTGTAATGCAAAGCCTGCAAGTTAGTGACTGTGACAAACTTTTTTCTCTCCATAGTTCTGCGACGAAACCGTGCTCGCGAAAACGAAGCATATCAACTGCAAAAATGTCTGGGTCTGGAAGATTTCCAGGTTTGTCATGCATATTTTGAATGACCCATGATGTCCGTGATGCATGCCCTAGCATCACAGATTTTTCAAGAACTTTGCGATGCCTCTATCGCATGAGAAATGCCGTCTCCGCGTAGCACAAACTGGAGTCCTCTTGCTGGTCGTGCAATACAAATCTTTTTAGAATCCAGAGACAGCATGACAAGTTTAGATTCTTCCAGACCCAGACATATTTGCAATCTATAAAGCAGCTGCACACGCAGATCCACAAGGTATGGCAGGACACGCATTTACTGCAGACGCAACTGACGGAACTGTTTCAAAAACAGAACCGGATCCAGGAGTCGACGGATCTGAAGCAAATGCAGATGAACGAAAACGAAACCCAGATCGAGACGTTGCAGGGCAAAATGAAAGAGATCGAAGAGAAGGAGCAACTGGCAGAGCAAAGGCTGGACGAGCAGCTAAGCAACGTAGAGGAAGCCATCGCGGAAGCAGAGATGAGAACGAAGGAGAAGTACTGGTTTTTGCTTTGATAGATAAGTTCGATTGATTTCGATTTGAATAGCTCGTAATTGATGGTGTTCGATATGAATAGCTCGTAAGTGATTTTGTCGTGTGTGTGCTGATGACCATGAAGGTTCGTCAGAGAAGAAAAAAACCGAAACAGCTCCGACCAGCTGCAACAGCGGCGTCACAAGGAGCAGGTGGAGGTAAAAAAGCTCGAACACCCACCGCTCGGCGACCGAGAAAATTTCTACGTGTCCAGCAAGAGCCTCGGGTCCAGCGCGTTTCGAAATGCGCCGCCCGAACTGAAAAGCGCGCTGCTGGCCATGAAACATCTGCGCACCACCATGCTGTCGCAGAGTAACCAGAGCGCGATTTGTCCCGAGAGTGTAATAGCGAAAGCGCTGGAAAAGTGCGTGCCGGCAAAACAGCTCAGTATTCAGATTTGGAATTGTTGCTTTCGTTGTACTAGAAGATGTAGGTGGGATAGGTACGAAGTAAGTACTTACATTCAATTTGGGAAGTTGCATGCATGATCCTATCTAAAGAAGTTGCAGAACAAAGGCTAGACGCGTCTAGGTCTAGGATCACAACCGCACATCCCACATCACAATCCAGGCCCCGAGCGGTTCATACAGATGCTGCGAAAAACCGCGCCGCATTTGTTTTCCAATGGGGAGCTCAGGATACTGGATTTCGACATAGCCCTGCACAATTTTGACCAGGAGGTGATAAAACCGCAGGCGATCCGCGAGGCCTGCCGGGCACTGAGAAAAAAGTGCATTGAAAAGCGCGTATTTTTGGAATCTACCTTTTTTTTGCTACCAGATCCCTTGAAAGATTTGCGGGTCAGGGTCTATATACCTACTATTAGATTCAGTGCTACTCTTCAACTCCAGTTCGAAATAGTTCGCTTTGAATGTTCATTTTCCCATCCTGATTCATTCCCACCAGGTTTCTGAGAAGACGGTGAAGGAGATCCTGCGTAAGTCCGGGAGCACTCATATCCTGAGTAAAAATGTCCCCGCACCAGAGTCAAGATGGAAAATTTGCTAGGCACATCAGCCACCTTTGGTTGTTTCGCATGACAAGTTTCGATCCTGATAGTGTAATCCTGTTGAGCTAGTTCTGAAGCATCACAGATCTAGAGCATCATGCTGGTTCCAGCATCACAAATTCCAAAACACGACGAGAAAATAGTTCTCATGGGGCTCCGCATGAGAAACTGTTTTGGCATGCGGATTGGCATGACAACTGAACTCTGGGGTGGAGACGTATTTACTCAGAATAACTCAGATCGGCAGTTTTTTCCTTCGCGTGGACCTGGAGCCCATCTACATTGACACGCTGCTCCACACGCTTCGTGCCTACGGCGGGACAAGCACGGAAAACAACATGGGCTCCTGTCGACTGGCGCTGTTTTTAGACCCCTGGCAGACGTCAACCGTCGCGGATGACATTCAGCTCTGTGATTTCTTCTTTACCAATCAAAAACGCAGCATCAACAGCGTTGGACAGAAGGAGTTCGAGGCAAAGGTCGACAAGGTGTCCGAGTACAAGCAGTACGAGCTGGAGCATTTGTTTCTGCTGTTTTCCGACTCCCAGGAGCGAATTGAGTTGCGCATGCCCATAAAGAACGTGAAAAACAATCCGCTTTTGCTCTCCCAACTGACGCACCAAAAACTCGTGGCTACGGGGGGAAAGTGACTGAGCACATACATATGATAAATTTTCTGAGCTGCAGCATGTTGGCGTCGGTCGTGCCCGGTCTGCCTCACAGGGTTGATGTTGCGCGGGGAACTACGCCAGACCTTGCGCAAAGAAAGACGTACTGCCCTCTTTGGGAACAACCCGAAGAAAGCAAAGACCTCGGAGGATCATGATGAAGTTCACTAGAATTATCGGGCGCATGATTTATTTCAAGCGGATGCAGAACTCGTCGTGTTCTTCGGTCGGGACTCTAGAAGACTGCAGCGCTTGGTGCAGGAATCGATGGTCGTGTTTGTGATTTGGTGTGTGGATGTTATGGTTGCTTTGCTTTGTATTTTCTTTTTTTTTCCGATTCCGCTGTACGTGTGCCGTTTATCGTTGCATGATTCCAGGCACCAAGCAGGATCATGATCATGAAATGAGATCAATTTGTTCTTGGTCTGTTGTGGCCTTTGATACCTAAACAAGCAGCGGATCATCGCGCGCCCCACGTCAGGATCCGAAATCAGGCTCTAATGCTTTTAAGTGCTGGCACTTTGATATCGGATTGCTGACCTCCCCTGACGCCAGAAACAGTGCTGATGGACGAATGAAAACAAATATTTTCGGCACTAACATCCAAAAGAAAAAGTACGTATACGAACGTGCTGCAATTTTATTCCTGTCGGCCCCATTGTTTTAGCCAATTTGGTGAAAAAATACGATTTTCTCGCCTGTTTTCCTCGACGACTAAACAAAAGAGAGTTTGGAAAATTTCGTATGTAATTTTGCCGATTTCTTTCATCATTGCCTATACTTTAAAAAAATTGAGAAAAGATGTTCCCCAGTTTTCTCCTGTACCCTATTTGGCTTCTCGCCTCCCTGCTTTTCCCGGCGGTGCAAAGTTTGCAGGCCCTACACACAGAGGAGCCCGCTACGATGAAGGTACGTGTACAACATAGTAGTCGTGTTTCATCTTTCTGTTGAGATGCTATCTCAACACTCATTGCTACACCAATGCCAGGTGGCTTGCGCCAAATGCAGGTGCACCAAAAATGCAGAGACTGGTAATATACTTGAACCTACGTCGGTGTAACGCTGCATGACAGAGTTGTAGATTCTAGCACGACAGGAGCTTGATGAAGACGACCTCTAATAATTGAAAACGAAACCTCCAAAACAGCTTTGGCTTTTCTACTGGGTACTGTACGCCGTCGCCAGCTGGGTGTGGAATTACACCTTTATCCCACTAATCCTGGAGCTTCCGTTCTACGTGGTCTCAACCCTGCTTTTCGACCTCTTTTTCGAGGCGCAGATCGCCGTGGTCGTCCTTCTGGTCTACCCGAAATTTGCCTACCTGGACAAATTGCTGACCTTTGTCACCCAAAAGGAAGTGGAAGCCGTGGTAAAGCAGTACGTGCAACTAGCGCAGCAGAAGGGGGAAGCACTGCTGGCGCAGTATGTGGACAAGAAGAAGAAGTGAAGCAGATGATACTCCGGTGAATAGACGGGTAGGGGCAGCGGTCTCCACTTCTACTCCCACTGCTCCTTGTCTATTGCGGGAATAAAGCGAGCAACGGAAGAACCCGGAGGACGCACGTAGCACTGCTCCAAAAAAATTCTCCAGTTGCCTCATCTTTTTTGAGAATACATAGTGACCACGATCTACTTCGCGAGAAATAAGAAATCTGAAGCGACCTCTCAATCCTCTCCGAACGTGTTTGCTCTTACTTGTAGAGAGCGCTTTCAAACTGACCGAAATTGACTTGGTGCTTGTTCAACTACAGTATTGGTATCTGGATCTGTAATGTCTCGATCATGCCCTGGCCCTGGGTGAACTTTTAGAGATCGTACTTTCACAGATCATGCTTTCCACTTTCTTTTCCTGCATCAGCTTCTTATCACACTTCCAGCCGAGGAGTAAAAGATGTGCGAAATCCTGATGATCCAGAAGTTTGCGAAATTGGATGCCTATGAATGTGTGAATATGTGTTTCTTTATCCAATAAAGATACACGATTTCTGGTCGATTTCAAAGTTCATGAGATATTCCACAAATCTTTTGCTTTTCACAGCGACAAGAAGTAAAATGACTTTTGGCAACTACAGCGCAATTTAAAAGCAAGCGACACCTATGATTGGACGATTCTGATTTTGAAAGCAAAAGGCCTATATTCTCTCTCGTCCTGTCTGTTCAGCATTTCTAAGTAGTAAAAACGCATTACCATCATGGCGGAGGGGACCGCGATAGATCCAGCGGATCAGACGCAGCTGGATTACAAGGCGCAGCCGCCAAAGGTCAGATTTCGCAACTACTACCCAAAAACACCAGCGCTCCAGGCGGGCGTGCAACAGCGACTCACAACGACAGAAATAGAACAACAGGTACTGAGCTTTTGCAACGCGACGTTTTATTTTTGTGGCAAATTATCACCCAGCGCAGCAAGAGAAACATTAGACACGTTGTTGCGTTCGCATGACAAGTTTTGCACCGATTGAGGCATCTTAAATTTGTGATGCGTAGAAGAGCTATATGACAACGGAAAAAGTGACGCAGATTTGGCATGACAAAGATATAACTGTAACAAACACCCCAGATCGACAGCATCCTGGAGGCGAACCAGGAGGCTTTGGACAAGAAGGACTGGATGGCGCCGACCGCGTCGAAGAAGAACTGGGACATCATATCCTGAGTAAAAACGTACCCACACCAGAGTTGTAATGCAGATTTGCAAAGACAGGAAGACTTGTAATGCGCATCCCCATGATAGCCGTTTCCAGTCGTGTTTTGGAATTTGTGATGCTGTGAACAGGATGAGCAGATGAATCAGTGATGCGGCTGCACTTGCTAACCTGCACTACCCTGCATAGTGCAACTTGTCATGCGTGACTCACAAAACTCCTAGGTTTGTGTTGCAAAATCCCCATCCTGACTCTGGTGTGGGTGCGTTTTTACTCAGGATACATCAAGCGGGATTTTACACGGAAACTGCAGAAGCTGGAGAAGAGAACGGAAACCGCCATGGTGAAACTGATTCGGAAGCAACTGCTCGAGTCCCAGGGGAAGGCGGCGGCCGCCACAGCGCAGACGGAAGAAGAAGAAAAACAGTTGACCGAGGAAGCTCTACTCTCCGGCAGCAAAGCGTCCGGCTCGTCTTTGAAGCAAGACATTTTGCAGGAGGAAGACAGGATAAGAAACGGGTCCTCCGCCGCGGGGTCGAGCTCCAGCCGAGCGCCAAACCAGGTGGACGTAGAGATGCCGGATGCGAACGAGGACGGAGACGTTCGGCAAGACGGCAGTGAAGCCATGAAACAGTTCGGAAGACAGCTGGCAGAGATGCGCGACGAAGATTTGCTGAGTGATTCAGATTGATCATAATCCAAGATAGAACCTGTAGAGGCTCTTGGAACTACACGACATCGTCATGAATCAAGTGTTGTACCACGAAAACGAAGTACCAAGTACCAAGAAAGCGCCAAGGGATTTGTTCCAAGAAATAATGCCACGCGTGCAAGTAGACCCTCCAGATGGGCGTGGTCGCAATGGTGTTGCGGGCGTTTTGTTCATGTCGATGTTCGATCCAAGACTAGTTGGGCTCCCGAGGAGGAAATTAGTTATGGAGACGATCACAAAAAGTCAGGGGCTTTGACTGCTGCAAAAATGCTTTTTTTTTGTGTGCTTGAAGGTGAATGAAGGGATCACGATCTGTGGATAGTCTTGTTGTTTGGGGTAAGTTAACGGTTTACTTGTGTCGAGGTTCCGAATTGAATCACTTGGTGACGACAGTACCAAAATCAAGTTGTTGAAGTTTTTTCTGCTCTGCCTTTTGTAAAAGTAGACGGGGATGTAGTTGATGATGAAGATCCGCACCCGCACGACCTTTATCTACTGTGTAGTTTGTGGACCTAAAAAAGAAGTTCAAATCGGTTGAGGTTTTTAAGTTGGTGAAAAAAGCAAGCAGCTAGGGAGTTTTGTGTTTTGAAAATAGGAGCCGTGTCATCTGACGCTTGCACTTGCGGTAAACGATCTTGTAAGAAGAGTAGGTCTTCTTGTTTTATTTCAATTGTTATCTTCATACAAACACAAACCCAAAGCGGCACGTGATGTGAATGCATATCTGACAGGTATATAATCTATATTTGAGTCATCCTCATCTCCGCGGCGCAGAGGGGAAGAAGAATCTGTCGCTTCTAAAAAGATCAGCAATTCACTGCACCATGGACTACTACACGACAAGAACTGCGGATCAGCATGATCTCTGGGCACCACCAGAAGACGCACCGTATTGGCGCGTCTCCCGAGACTGCACCGAATGCAGTCGCACTTTGGCATGCTACGAGGCTTCGCCAAGTTTCAGCAGCGACGGGGCCGACAACATCGCGCGAAGTCACCCCTTGCACGAAAGGGACCGCGGAAGAATGCACGGGGACAGCTTTCGCCCGATTAATTTTGACCAATACAAGAAGCTCACTGTGCAGACGCTGCTGTGCGAATTCAAACCTCCTGCAGGAGCAAAAGCATCTTCCGGGTCGTCCTCGTCCTCCTCCTCTTCTTTCTCCGGAGTTGTAGATCCTCCTGCGAAACAAGAAGCCGGTCGAAGCGGGATAAAGAAAACGACTCCCAGCAGCACCATAAAACCAGCGACAGCAGGCCCGGAGGAGCCCACGCGAGGACCACCGGAGGAAGAGAGACCAAGTAGACGGAACAAGCTGATCATTCCGGAAAAACGCGATTTCGTTGAAGTTGGCACGTCTTACTACGACACGCTCGCGCAGTGCTGCTACCCGGAGCAGATGGAGCGTGACGGGAGTAGCAATTGCTACTATTTGGAGTCCTGCTACCAGCTCAAGTACAGCAATTGCGAGAAGTGGCTCGGTTTACCCACAGCCACCGGCATCAGCATCGACGCCATTCCGCAAAACGTGGAGATGCTGCCCCGAACCTCGAACAATTTCACGAAAATCGCGAAGCCGGTAGCCGGAAGAGCGATGGACGTGGCGGAGCGGGCGCGCGTGGACTTTCTGCGAAAGGACCACTTGCGGGACAAGGTCTTGCAGTTCTGGGACAGCAAGGGGTGGCTGGTCCCGTGGGACATCTGCTACAACCAGGCCGCTCAGAATATGGCGTTCTCAATCGTTACATTCTCAACTGTTACATCGATTTGTAATGCAAGAACGGCAAAACTAAAAGGGGTGACCTTGCGCGTATTGCATGACAGATTCGGCGCAGATTCTCAGCCTGTGTGGCTCTTCGAGAATTTGTCATGCGAAGCAGCTTGATCGTGTCAATTCTGATTGTAATTTTGCATGACAAATCACGTAACAGTTGTGAATGTAACATTTGAGAACGCCATACAGAAAAATCGCGTTTGGGAGCAGGATTTTACGGATCCTTGCTTTCTCGACTGGCTTTACCGCCAGGAGAACCCAACTCTGGCGGACTTTTTGCCACACAAGAAGAAGAATTCGTGCGCGGATGAAAATAGTACCACGACCGGAGGTAATGGTAACAGTAACTCCAGCTCCAGGGTAACGCGGGCGGATAGCACGACAGCGAGCACGACCGCGGAAGGTGGGAGCTCCACGAGGCAAAGTGTGGACAATTTGATAGAGGATGTCGAGGCGGTGGCCGCTGGACGAGGAGGGCCACAGCAGCCAGAAACAGAATGGGGTACAGAAAGATTTTTGTGTTTGTGATTTACTGTGTGTCAGGGCGATCATGCAGTAGTTTCTCGCGGCCCCTGATTTGTTTCCTCATTGCGCGTTCACGATTTAGTTTTGCAGCCCTGGTTCTTGTGCAGGACTTCTGATCATGATGAACTACTGCCTTCTACATTTGCGAAGCCACGGAACAACGAAACATAGGTGTAGAAGAAGGCGACGATCACGATACGCAGGCGAAGATGAACATCACCACCTCCGGCGCCAAAGTAGAAGAACCTCGAGATCTTCATGAAGGCCCCGCCTCGCTGCTGCACGATGTGCCGAAAGAAGTCGCGGAGCAGAAGGTAGCAGAGTGGCGAGAAAAGGACGAAGCGGAGAAAAATAGCACCCCGTTGCCGGACAACCACGTCTACCTCTACGGGCTTTTGCCTGAAAAAATGCACGAGATGCGCAAAGCGGAGGAGACGGCAACACCTTGCGCCGAGCACGGAGTGCCCAACTGCAAAAGATGCTCCTTCGTTGGGGCCCGCACCTGCGCGACGTCGTCGATCAATGAGCCCACCAAGTACCTGCTGGAACTGCTTTCCTACAACAACATGCTGCACCTGCTGAAGCGGCAAACGGTGGAAACCGAGGCTCTGTCCTCGATTTTACGGAGGCACAAAGTGCTCATGGTCGACACGCTGCTACGCAATTGCGAAAAAAGACCAGTGTCGAGGACGCAGTCGCAACAAGGTCTGCGTGATAATGTGATGTGAAGACTTGTTTTTGCCTGCTTAAGACATCTGTTGAGCAGACATGTAAGTATTGATTTGATTTCGGGCTGCAGCTCTTCTCTTTATCCGACAAATAAGCGTATTTGTGTTCTTGCCCATACATAGTCAACTGCTCCTGCAAAACGAAAACTCGGCGACTGCCACCTTTGCTGGACTGGTTTATTTTTCAACCACTTGCATAAGCCAAGTTGGATTTGGAAGGTGCGGATGGTGAAATTCTGCGGGATTTGATGTGGAACCATTTTCAGAAGTTTGGCCTGCTCTCCCTGCCGCGCTTGATCATTTTCGAGGCGAACGCCACCAACTGGGCCGAGGCGCAGATGATTATCCTGAGTAAAAACGTACCCACACCATAGTCAAGATGGGGAATCGGCTAGACAAGTCCACAAGTTTTGGCTGTTTTGCATGACAAATTTGCATTCGTAGTGTAGTGCGGTTTGAGCTAGCTCAGCAGCATCACAGATCTAGCATACCATGCTGATTGGAGCATGACAAATTGCAAAACACGGCTAGAAAATGCTTCTCATGGGGCTCCGCATGAGAAACATTTTCAGCATGCAGATTTGCATTACAACTCTGGTGTGGGTACGTTTTTACTCAGGATAATGATGTTGCAGTCCCTGGAGTCCTGGTTTGGGTACAAAACCCAAGACTTCTTCTACCAGGGAATGCGCAAATGCCACCCGGCTAGTATCCTGAGTAAAAACGTACCCACACCAGAGTTGTCATGCGACTTTGCCATGACAGGAACATTTGTGATGCGCAACCCCATGACAGGCATTTTCAATCGTGTTTGGGAATTTGTAATGCTGTAAACAGGAGCAGCAGATCGATTTGTGATGCGGCTTTCCTTGCTAACTTGCACTACCTTACGGACTGAAACTTGTCATGCGTGACTCACAAAACTCCTAGGCTTGTGTTGCAAAATCCCCATCCTGACTCTGGTGTGGGTACGTTTTTACTCAGGATAGCTAGCGCGGGCCAGGTCTCGGACATGAAGGTGGAGCTACCGGAGGAGGTGGAGAGGGTGAAGCAGAAACTGTGGGAGGAGGTCATCTATCACATGGAAAAAATGTCTGGGTCTGGAAGAATGCAACTTGTGATGCTGCATTTGGATTCCAAAAGAATTTGTGTTGCGTGAGTACCTAAGGAAAGGCAATTTTTGCTACGCTGAGAAGGCATTTGTCATGCGGAATACGCATCAAGAAGCCCTCAAAAAATCTGTATTGCTAGGGGATGCATCACAGACATCATGGCTCATGCAAGACGTGCGTGACAAGTGTCAGAATCTTCCAGACCCAGACATTCTTACAGTTGATATCATCCAGGTGTTTCACACGCTGGAGGAGCAAGAGCAGCGGCAGATGAATCGAGCGAAGGAACAGGAAAAAAGGAAAAATTTTTTATGACATAAAAAATTGATGACTGCTCTTTGATGTTCTCGTTTTCGTCTAACACGAATGAATGTACACACTATTGAAGAAGATTCCCAAAACCACCCTATTCAGAAAGGTTTTGGCCAAGAAGAACATACACTGTAAATGTACACAGTATAATGATGTTGTTGTTGAAATGAACAATATCCAAGAAAAAAACTGTGTAAGTGTAACTTTCTTTGAGGAACAGCATCACAAATTTGCTCTGCATGACAGAGAAAATCTGTCGTGCGTGGCTTGTAAGGGAAAATACACATGAAAAGAGGGCCGCATGGTTGTCCGGCATGACAGGTGTATCTCTGCTGCATGTTCTGCAACACAAATTTACACTTACACAGTTTTTTTCTTGCATAAACAACCAGCACGAACGTGACAGCGACTTTCTGGAACGACGGACATTTTTACACATCTGAAAACGATATTGATGAAGAAGAACCAACAAACGAGAAAAACGATTTTTGCATCACAAACTTTATCTTGGTGTTTCGCTTGTTGTTGTACTTGTCTTTCCAAAAACCCGGCCGGTTCTAGCGAAGATCCAAAAAACCAAAACGATACGTGTGGGCACTTCGGGTTTTTCACATGGTCTTTTTCGTATCTATAGCGATCATTGTACAATTAGGGTTTAAGGATTTAGGGTCTCTCCACATCTTGAGCAAGAATTGTGCGCGCGCGTTTTTACCGCTCTCCCATCTACTCAGCAGGATGCGCTTGAAACATTTACGATCATACCGAGCTCGATCAAGTTATTTAGCTGCGCTTCTAACGGCTTCAGCTTCTTCGTGCGAAAAATTGCAGATTCATTTTCATGATCCATTGTTATACTGTTGAGTAAAACTACTCCAACGCTAGATGAGACCCGTTTTCCGGCACAAGGCAAAAAAAAATATGTTCATCACAAGCACCACTCAACAGAAACACGACCAGACTGACAAAAGGAACGCAAGATCATCATGTTGGCCCCGCGCCGCCTGCCTTTCCTCGCGACCACCTCCGGATACTACCTTCGTTTTTTACTAGCCGGGCTCTGTTGTGGTGCGGTTTTTCCCACGGAGAAACTCCTTCCCGACGAATACTTCCTCGCAAGCTTTTGCCTTCTCTTCGCGCTGTCAAATTTGGTCGCGTATGAAAGCAAAAATTGGCTACAGACCGGCAACTTCACCTGTGGCGTTTTGACCGGGCAAGTACTTTGTCGAATCGCGGCCCGGCTATGTTCTTCCAGTGATAGTAGTACAACTAGCGGAGACAGCAGTGCTGGAAATGATGCTGAACGACCAGCCTGGGATCAGTTCCTGTCGTGGGGCAGCAAGAACAGAGGAGGACTAGCGTCATCTACTACTTCCGATCAAGATAATATTCCGTTCCGCACCGGGGTGATCGATGTGGATTTGTTCCTCTTGCAGGTCCTGCTCTTCCACGTGTTCGAGTTCTATTTTGTGGCGACGTTTCACCCCGAGGAGGTGACTTTTGGCAGTTTCGTATTCAACCCGGTGCCGTATCATTTGTACGGCATTGTGCTGCTTTCCGCGGTGTTGGAGCGGCATTTTTTTTGGGAGAGGATTATTTCGGGCCTATCGTCACCAGTGGACGTCTTGTTGTTTCGTGGAGATGAAAATTATAGTGAAACAACAACAAGCGTATCTACTTCCGTAACATCATCAGCCTTGGCGCAAAGAACACCACCGCACAACCCAACGAGCTTCACTATCGGGATTGTCCTCGCGTTTTCCGGACTACTTTTCCGGGTCGCCGCACTGTGGACGGCGGGCAACAACTTTTCTCACGTGGTGCGCACGGAGCGGGAGAAGAGTCACCAGTTGATTACCAAGGGCGTCTACGCGATCTTTCGCCACCCGGCTTACGTCGGCTGGCTGGTTTGGTCGGTGGGTACCCAGTTGATACTGGGGAATCGCGTGAATTTTTTTCTCTATCTTCTCATCGGCTACGTCTTTCTCTACCGAAGAATACCGGTCGAAGAACATTTTTTGCTGAGCTTTTTTGGCTCGCAGTACTTGGAGTATGCGAAGACCGTACCCTGCGGCATACCCTTTGCGTCCGACATCGACGCCTATCATCGGAAAAACAAAAAGCAATAATAGGAATGCAGTGTCGTGGTCGGACGACGTGACGTGGTGCGTGCGAAGTTGCGCTTGCTTTAAACCGGTGTTCCTGGTTCTGCTTCTGATATCGGTCGTCGTTGTCTCGGTTCGTGTCGTCTGCCTTTGGGATTTTTAAGTTGTACCCGCCACCATGAAAGACGGTGTTATTTCGGTCTTGGTTTGGAAAATAGCGAGACAAAAGTAGCTTCAACGCCCTCCGAGCCACGAAAAAAGTCGAAGCAAAAGCGAAGCTTCCACTTCTGCCACCCCGGCTTCACAACTTCTCGACCGTTCTTAATACAGAACCGGGTCTGCGCACGAAAAAACGAGAGCCATGTCTTGTTCGTCGCTCCTCCCTCGTTTTTTCCCCACGACAGCATCTTCAGTAGCCCTGCTTATCTCGTGGGTGCTCCTCCTCGTCCACACTGCGACTCCATCCGAGGCCAAAAGTTCAAGCCAGGCGGAACCGGTTTCGATCGCGCCCGCCGCCGGGGATCCGGGCGGCTTCATGGACGAAGACGGCAATCACCAGGGGTTTCTGGACGACGAGACTGGCGAAGACGATGACGATCTCGACGGTAGCTTCTCGTTGGACGAAATGGAGCTCGCGGCGGACGAGCTGCTGGCGCAGTCCGTTCGGTCCGGCGCGATCGACGTGTCTGCCAGTGCGAAATTGCTTGACAACGGCGTGCAGCAGGTCGCCAGCAGTGAGGAGTATCTCCAACAATTTTCCCTAGCGGGCAGTGATACCATCGGAGGATCAACACAAGCTGCACGTGTACAACAACTCGGGCAAAGCCAGGCCGGGCTGACGGTGAAGACCGCGCCGGGCGGGGAGCTCGTGGACCAGGGGGTGACCGCGGCTTCCAGTATGGAGATGAAGAACGGGGTATTGGTGTACAAGGAGGATGAGAGTAGTACTCCGGAAGGAGCAGGAGATAGAGCGGCAGCAGACCTTGTTGAGCGGGAGCAGACGAAATTGGAGCAACTGACGCAGGAATTATCCGAAACGCAGAAAAGGCACAATCAGTTCAAGGACCAGCTGCGGGAGACCGCGAAAAAGGAGCAGACCAAGAAGATGAACAAACAAAAAAACAAAAAGACGCTTTCCGGGTTTCTGACCAAGTGGAAGAATTTCGCCACCGACTGGTTTCAGCCCGGGTACTGCCGCGAGGCCAAGCGTTCCACGAACTACCACACTGCGGAGAACTGCTATTCGCCCTCGCGCTGCTCTATCCAAGAAAAACGCTATGTGAGTGTAAATCTGTCATGTAGAAAATGCAAATTGTCATGCTGGATATGCGTCATAGAAGGCCACTTTCATACCTGTTTTCACGTGCTAGTCGCGCATGACAGGTTTTCCTTGTAATGTAAAAACGAATATAGTGATGCTGCTTTTCCGTACAAAGTTAATACACATGCTCACAGTTTTTTTCTTGGATATGCTCGGACCCCCGGATCCGGCAAGTCTGCCTCACGCAGGGCTTCGTGCAGATATCAGATGCAAAAATTTCTGGGTCTAGAACAAAGCAACTTGTCATGCTAAATGTGAATCAGGCAAAAAACTGTGTTGCATGATTGGCAAAAGTTGTGCACTCTTGATGTAAGTAATCGAGAGGCAGTTTCTCATGCAGAATAGGCATTAGAATTAGAAAGGTCTCGTCGCAGAATCTGTCATGCTATGTCCTACATGCCAGACCTCATGGGCCATGGAAAACCTGCATGACAAATCTGGCGATCTTCCAGACCCAGGCACTTTTGCAATCCATAGCAGATGACCGACAACTACGTCCTGTTCAAGTCCGGGAACGGGTGCCGGGCGGCGCCCGTCACCGAGGTGGATGTATCCCCGAGAAAAACGCGGGCAGGGCATATTTGTAAATGCAAAAACAAATACACAGAAAAATTTGTCATGGGTGGTCCCATAGCGTGCTGCTTCGGGTATGCAGTGCAGATTTTTTTTGCGTATTTATTTTTGCAATACAAATATGCCCTGCCAGCTTTTTTCTGTGTGATAGGATGCGAAAACCGGGCGGGTGATCCGGAAGAACCAGAACGCCTGCGTGCCGCTGCGGCACTACTGCGCCATGCAGTGGGACGGCATTTCCTGCGGGGAACTGGAGGGCTGCGAGTGGGTCGTCACGGGGCGAGTATCAAATGTAAAAATGTCTGGGTTTGGAAGAATGCAACTTGTCATGCTAAATCTGAAGCATGCAAAAATCTGTGTTGCATGATTACCAAAAGTCGTCCAGTTTTGACCAAGTCGCGAGGGAGTTTCTCATGCAGGCTAGGCATGAGAGAGATCGCACAGAATCTGTCATGCTAGGTCCTGCATTCCAGACCAGACCTCATGGGTCATGGAAAAGCTGCGTGACAAGTCGCGCATTCTTCCAGACCCAGACATTTTTACATTTGATAGCGAGGGGAGGAAAGCATAAGCAACCAGGCAGGTGGGTCCTCGTCGACGGAGGTGGGAGCAGCCGCTGTGGAGGATGTTGATCCTAGTGTTGCTCCTGTTGAGAAAAAAAACGAAAACCCACCCCGTCTTTCCTGGCGAAATTACGAGACAACAATCCCGGGCGTTGCCTACCTGCTGCCGGACCTGCCCTGCGACCCGCTGCCCACCGCTCGTCGCGCGCGGCGGGAGCCGTGTTTCTTAAAGGAGCCGAAGGCGGTCGACAAAAAGAGTTGGTGGTACTGGTTCCTCACCAGCCGGGTGACGAAACTCAGCACGTCCGCACAGTGGCGCTACGAGAGGCTGACGCGCCGCGATTTGTCCTACAATGTCCCGCGGAACGACTGCGGCAGGTGCAAGGAGGTCTCGACCCACTGCTACGAGAATTCCCAGTGTTGCAGCAATAAGTGTGCCGTCGGTCCGGGATTGTATAGCTTCACGCACAAAAAAAGATGCCAGCCGGTGGCGGGGGAGCAAGGATATCCCTCTGTGAGTGAAGGGGGCATTACCGTGTCGGTGTAACGCGTATAATTCTGGTGTACACATTTATAAACCGTGTGTTTCTGAGTAGAACCAGAAGTGAAATCCACCAGCTCGTCGGCCAGTAGAAATGACCAGATACTATTGCACGGAATGTTGTAGCAATAATCTCCGTGCGGGATCATGAAGATGAGATGACAATTTCTCCTTTTCGCCTGTGTACAAAGTAGCTTCTGTTTTAGTGAAACGGCTTCATAAAAACAATGCACCACTACCACTTTTTCTACATCAATGTGATGATTGCAAAACGCAAACGAAACTGATCGCTTGTAGAACAAACAAGCTCGCCCAATGTACTAGGACAAGTTTCATGAACAAACAAGCCCGCCCAATGTACTAGTACAAGTTTCATCATGAACAATGTAAGTAGGTCTCTCCTGTGCATCTTCTTTGTCTGCAAAAGGAAAAGGAAAACAAAAAAATGTGCTGAAGATCAATAATTAAACGAAGCTCTCAGAGTCAGAAGGCAAATGCCGCTTCAGTTTAGGAACATTGTCTGGATTTCGTTTTCGCTGCTATGAAGGAGTACTCGACAGCTGCTTTCGTGTTCTTATCTCATCCTTCGCGCGCGCGGCCCGAGATACACTCCATCGCGCCCCTTGCTACTGCAGCATGAAGCACCAGATAGTATATTCTTGAGTCGTTCTTGCCCGCTATCGCCAAGAGGAGAGCCAAATCGCCCTGCACCAGAGATAGAATTTGGATTATCGAGAGAGCCTTGAAAGAAAAAAACAATTCGGTCGTTTGGGTGACTCACTGGTCGAAGATGGAACCACATTAAAGTCGTGATCGCGCCGGGGTAAGTAGTCTCGACCTCCACGTCGTGGCACGAGAGAGGCGCTGCGCATAAACGAACAGGCTCCTCTAAGTTGTACTTCACTCGTAGTTTGTTCAATGCTGGTGGTACGTAGACGTATGCTCGTTGTATCTTAAACCGGCGCGAGATGAAAGACTAGAGCTCGTGTTCGAGAGGAAGAAGTCTGGTGGACCACTTTCGCAAGAAACTGTTCGTTCTCCAGCTACCTTGTGGGGAAATATACAGCACTTTAAGAGAACGTCCAGGTAAAAACAATCATCTCCAAAATGGCGATGACCACGAAGCAACACAGCCGAAATGCGGCACTGAGGCAAGAGGTAACGCTATCTGCGGAGGAGGAAAAAAGGGCCAAGGAACTGTACTTTGTTTTCATGTTGATCGCAGTCCGTCATGTGCTTGATGTTTGTGTTTACCCTTCGAACGTAATGAATACGAGCACTGGGATATTGTTATCCCCCCATTGTTCCAATGGATTTGGTATTATCCGAAATGAAATACTCACTAGATTCGGCGTGTACGACTACGATAAATCAGACAGCGTATCACCTGCAAGTGAGCGTCAGGGAATCGGAAGAACTTTTCCTTTAAAAATTTGTCCTCTTGCTACTTGTTTTACTATGCATGGGCATGGGAAATGAGTTCGTGCCATGGACTCATTTTCTTTGTTTAAGCTAAGCTTTGTGTGCGTATTCTGTTCTTCCCATGGAACGGTGACGCCTATTTGCATTGCATACACTATCTCACCGGATGAGATGCGCGATCTTCTCACCGAGTTGGGCTTCAACATCGCAGACGAGTCCATCACACTCGTAATATCACAATACGGTACATCTTTTGTTGGACATTTCAGCTGAGGACTTTTTTGCTTTTCAAGAACTCGGAACAAATACCAGTATTGCAGCGCAATTTCACCAGCCAAGTGTGGACATCAGAGTAGAAACTCAGTTTTCTAGAACGATGTTGATGCTAGTGCTGTTTTGTCTATAGCGATGTCAAAGATCTTGATCTTCACTGACCGACAACAGCTGCGGATCCTAACAAAGTGACTTTTGCGGAGTTCAAGGGAATATACGTGGAATTCCTCGCCCAAATGCCGTCCGCGCTGAGGAAAAAGAACATGGCCGGAGCCTGCCGACCATGCGTAAAAATACAATTAATTGGCTACCACGCTTTTTGTTTGCGAACGTTCTTGTATGGATCAACGCCAGGCTTTTACCGGTCGTGAAACTAGCGATTTTTTTTTGCCATGATTCGGAGGGTTTGATGGCATCTCATCTGTTTTTGAAAAATCTATCAGCATCAAGACGTATACTTCACGGAAGCGAGTTACCGATCCGCGTTATCAAATTGATGCAAATGTGTCAATATCTACTTGGCTAGGGTAAAAAAAAAACCTCACTTAGTGGCTGCAGAATCAAAAACAGGCCGTGAAGCAGCTGCACCCATGCTAAGGCGCTGCATTGTGACATCATTGCATATTTATGTAATTTATTAGTATCTTCTGCATGTAGTTAGATGCTTCCCTAAAAAGAGCAGAAGATCTTCGAAGTAGTAGTGGTGCAACTTGTTCGGTGGAGAGCACGAGTATCTTGCATTTTTCCCGAGGCATCAAGTCAGAAACGACACTTGCAGAACAAGTCCATAACTCTTCAAGGCGTACGACTTCGATGCAAGCGGCACGCTGGAACGATCGGAACTGAGTGCGTTGCTGTTCGATCTCGGTATTGATTGACGTTTATCCCATCAGTTTTGATGCAGCATATCGTAATGTTTTTGTTTATGTTTTTGAATACTATCCAGAGAACCGAAGCGTGACTACCTAAATCGCAAAAGGTGTACACATCCACTTTTTCCGAATTATATACCAGGTATGCCAGACGTTTACGGAGACAATTACAGCACGCTAATGGACGAGGCTTTCTCTGTGGTGGACTGGGATCACTCAGAATCGCTGGACTTCCAATATAACCCGCTCAGGTGTTACAATCTCAAACGTTACAATAGAACATAGAAATCTGTGATGCAAGAGTGCATGATCTAGCCAACTCTCATAGGATTGTGCATGACAAGTTCCGGAGCCCCAAACATCACTACAATCTGGCGAAATTTGTATTGCAAAAGGTGGAACGCTGTGCGAGCCTGTCAAGCTCATCATGCAACACAAAGTCCAAATTCTATTGTAACGTTTGAGATTGTAACGCTTGAGCAAGTCATATCCAAGAGTTCTGCCAGTTTATCAACGAAGTGATCCGGTATGTAGAGGACTTGCGAGAGTCACAAACTGTATCCAAGAAAAAAACACCATCACAATCACTATTGCACATTTTTGCAATACAAAAATTTTTGTCATGCGCAAAAATGCATCACAGTCAAGAGTTATTGGCGATTTCCCTTTGTGTTTTTGCAATACAAGAAAAATTTGGGATGCGAGAGAAATTTCTGATGCAAAACCTCCTACATGTGATTGTGATGGTGTTTTTTTCTTGGATAAACTGTGCAGAAGGTGTACTAAACTGAAAAATAAAAAGCGAAATAGTTGAACTTCCACCTATTTCCGCAGCATAGCTGGCACCAGCGTAGCTGCTCCGTTCTCGATTTTTGGAAGAGGAAAATCAATAGCGTAGCAGGAAACTCTACTACCGCTTTCATTTCTGTGACCAGGTCAGAAGTAGTAGCGTTCGAGGTTGGAGAACAAAACTCGGCGATATGAGTTACAGGAGCAAATGAAATTCGAGAGACTTCTGCGAAAATGAAGTTTTTCGGACTTCTTCCAAATCTTCCAAATTAGTGAACTAACTTTTATTTTGCAATAACACAGAAGCAGAACGCAACTGCAGCCGCCCTGGTGCTGTGGCTCCTCTCACCGCAGTTGTTGGGACAGGGTTCCTGTGGATCAGCTAGCAATTATGATCCTTGCATGAGCAAGCTGCACGGCTGTTTGTCGACTCGGCATCTTCGTTTGTTTTTGGTTCAAAATCTGAAAATCAGCTTGTCCCTGCTCCCTTCCGTCCACGGCGGGGCGATTCCTCGTAATAAATATTAAAGTCGTGCAAAATTATAGAAATAAATCGTTCTGCCAAGAATTTTTCGTTCTTGTTTTTTACCATTCGCTCCTCAGACTCACCTCAAGAAGATCCACGTTTAAGCACCAGCGTGCAATCGCAAATGCTTCTCGTCTAAAATCGTGCAATCTACAATAAACCGAAACAGTTCTTTCGTCGCTTATTTCGTCCTGTTGTGCCTTGTTCTACTTTGTTTTTATCGTGCACTACTTCTTCTTCTGCCGTGTAGTTTCTTTATCGCATCTATTAGCGCCGCCACAACCATCTGTAGAAGCTTGCTGCTTCACCACTGGCGCAGCAGTTCGTTGTGCCAAGAGGTCTTCATCCGTCGGCTTTTTTCCGTAGTTCAGCATTCTCAGTGAATCTTCAGAAAAAAACGAAAAATCTTCAAACAGAAAAATTTTACTGCAGAAAACTACCCGCTGCTGCTTCAGCCTACAACCAAGAGTAAGTAATCAACCTACGAGTTGCTTTTTCCGCTATCACGACGAGATATCAAGTAGACACTGTATTTGTACAGCTTGCTAACCAGCACACCGAGAAGGCACAACTCGCTTGATTATTCTCCTTGTTGCTATTTTTCTAAGAACTCGACTTGTATCTAACTCACTTCTTTCGGAACGCCGTAAGAACAGCTCACTTCTTGCCAAAATGTCCAAAATGAACAAGGCGAATGCCATGCAGGCGCTGGCTCTGACCCTGTCCGTATCAAATTGAGAACAACAGCTGTTGCTCCCGTCCCTGCATCCACGTCCTCTCGTCGTGCCGAATGTTGAATAGTAAACGCTTCGTCCTCTCCTGCAGATGTGATAGTGTCATCTGCAGAAAGGTACGGAGAAAAATCACGGGGAAATGAGAGAAACAAGTTCTGGTTTGCCATGATGCATGAAGAGCCACCGTGCAGTGGTTGATCTCGCCCTGTACCATGTCGAGCTCCTTGAATAAAGCTGTAACATCAAAAATGTGCAATCGCAGGGTGAGGCTGCGAAACCGCAAAGACAAAGTTGCACAGAGCTCCTATGCCGCCTGACGCCACGGTGGCCTTCTGAATCATGGCAGCTGAAAGGAGACTAGAAAATAAAGCTTTGTTCATCTTGCATGTCTACTCAACTCTACTGCATCGATTGTATGCACCTATTTCAACATCCGGACGGGCGGGACGTAGATTGCACGGGGAGAGGATCACTGTAGTTCTCACTTTGATAGCCTCTTTCTGGAATGCCGGGCGGCGTGGACCAGATGGGGCCCGCGGCCGTGGCCGGCCGGCTGCTCCGTGGTGACACTGAAGCGCAAGACGACGCGACCACGACGGGAACCGTGCCGAACACGCGCTCCAGCCTGCTGCAGAAGAAGAAAACGAAGGCCAGCACCCTTATCGAAAAGAAAGTGCGCAGCTCCAGTACTAGCCACCTTCGTTCTGAAAAAGATATTTAAACGCAAATCTTCACTTGTTTCAAAAAGTCGTACAGGCAGGGCGACCGCGAGCACCTGAGTTTGCATAGAAGTGTTGCCCCCTATTCCTCGAAATTAGTACCGTCAACACTGGGTCCGTGTCCGTGAAACCTTTGCATTATCTACCTGCTTTGGCATATAATCTTGAGCGAGTGACTGTGGTTTTTATCGGTCGAGCTGTGCACCTTTCTTTGTGATAGGCTTGAAGCAAAAGACTGCAAAAACGGGAGAGCAGAAAACCAAGACTACCACGGGGAAGAAGGAACAGAAGCAGAACCTGAATCAAAAAGCCAACTTCCCCTCGTTTGACTTCGGGAGTCTCAAGGAGAAACTTGACAGTCTCAAGGATGCAGCCGGGAGCGGAATCTCGTCTGGGTTCGGGAAGGTGAAAGACTGGGCCCAGGAGAAAGCCGGGCAACTGATGGAGCACGCCGCGGCGGCGAAGGATGCGGGTCTCGAACAGGCGAAGGAAAAGACGGAAGCATTGAAGAATCTGGCCGCCGAGAAGTCTGCGGAACTGGTGGAACAGGTCAAGGAGCTGAAGGACACGGCGATCGATCAGGCGAAGGAAAAGACGGAAGCGTTGAAGAATCTGGCCGCCGAGAAGTCCGGGCAAGTGCTGGAACAGGTCAACGCGCTGAAGGACACGGCGATCGATCAGGCGAAGGAAAAGACGGAAGCGTTGAAGAATCTGGCCGCCGAGAAGTCCGGGCAAGTGCTGGAACAGGTCAAGGAGTTGAAGGACACGGCGATCGAACAGGCGAAGGAAAAGACGGAAGCGTTGAAGGATCTGGCCGCCGAGAAGTCCGCGGAACTGGTGGGAAAGGCCACGGAGCTGAAGGACACGGCGATCGAACAGGCGACGGAGAAGGCGGAAGCATTGAAGGATCTGGCGTCCGAGAAGTACACGGAGCTGAAGGACACGGCGATCGAAAAGGCGACGGAGAAGGCGGAAGCGTTGAAGGATCTGGCGTCCGAGAAGTCCGCGGAACTGGTGGGAAAGGCCACGGAGCTGAAGGACACGGCGATCGAACAGGCGACGGAGAAGGCGGAAGCATTGAAGGATCTGGCGTCCGAGAAGTACACGGAGCTGAAGGACACGGCGATCGAAAAGGCGACGGAGAAGGCGGAAGCGTTGAAGGATCTGGCGTCCGAGAAGTCCGCGGAACTGGTGGGAAAGGCCACGGAGCTGAAGGACACGGCGATCGAACAGGCGACGGAGAAGGCGGAAGCATTGAAGGATCTGGCGTCCGAGAAGTACACGGAGCTGAAGGACACGGCGATCGAAAAGGCGACGGAGAAGGCGGAAGCGTTGAAGGATCTGGCGTCCGAGAAGTCCGCGGAACTGGTGGGAAAGGCCACGGAGCTGAAGGACACGGCGATCGAACAGGCGACGGAGAAGGCGGAAGCATTGAAGGATCTGGCGTCCGAGAAGTACACGGAGCTGAAGGACACGGCGATCGAAAAGGCGACGGAGAAGGCGGAAGCGTTGAAGGATCTGGCGTCCGAGAAGTCCGCGGAACTGGTGGGAAAGGCCACGGAGCTGAAGGACACGGCGATCGAACAGGCGACGGAGAAGGCGGAAGCATTGAAGGATCTGGCGTCCGAGAAGTACACGGAGCTGAAGGACACGGCGGTCGAAAAGGCGACGGAGAAGGCGGAAGCGTTGAAGGATCTGGCGCAGGACGCAGCGGTGCATGCCGGCGAACTTGTGCAGGAAAAGGCTGGGAAGGTCAAGGAAATGGCGCAGGACGCGTTGCAAACCGCAGGCGGGAAGGCCTTGGACACCGTCAAGGCGGGGATCGAAGCCGGAAAAGAGAAGGCCAGTGCGTTAGTCACCCCCCAATAAATTCACGTCAGTGAGTTTTTGTTTTCCACAATAAGATTCCTTTTATTGTTTGCCCTTTCTCACCGTACGAGATTCAACAACAAATAAGAAATAAACTAAAAGCTGCATAGCCATATGTTCTAGAGGGAGACAAGAATGAACATCAGAGCCGTGCATGCAGTTGTCATCCGTATCAAACGCTCCTCACACCCAAAATTTTTTTCTGTTGCTCGTTTATTTTCTGTAGTGCCCCGAAACAAAAGTCCTTCAGTTAAAAGCCGTAGTTTTTGAGTGTTGCTTGCGTACATTAAGTTTATAGACATGATGTTCAATGTTTTTTTTTCTGATGTATCTCATTTCGTTGAAGTCAAATTGCATAGCGCCAAAAAAACACTATACAAATACGAATTGTTTTTATTCTTTCATTGAGTACTAGCTCGTTGACGTTCTTCTATAAATATGTTTTTTCATCATTGTGCCCTATCTTCCTATCGTACCGCCGCTCTCTCTTATCGTCTTTGATTTTACTTTTTTTTGCGAAGCATATTTTTCTTTTTTCTTTTGCGATGATGTACATTTCCACTTCCAAAAATTGTCCTCTTTCTTGTTCGTCCCAGAATGATTACTTATGTGCCCTGATTACATCCTCATCCTCTGGTGTCCCCGCCCTGACGTCCCTGTCGTATATTAGATGTTCACAACCTAAAGAGTGAGAAGCGAAATAGAAAAGGCACTCCCGCCTTCATTTTCGAAACCTCGCGTAGGTAGTACTTTAATTTTTGGCGCAAACCCACCCGACCACCTGTCCTTCTGCTTTTTGAACCAAAGCAGATGATCTCATGCACCATTATACAGCCCCCGCTGGCTAACACCAAGAATGAGATAGAGCACCAGCAAACTTTTTCTGATCGCCCCCTACAACCCAATTTTTGCACACAAACAAATACAACAAATATTTTTTGCACAGACTAATTCAGGCCTCAGACCACGAAGAAGTATCGGGACGAACAAATGCCTTCGGATTATAGAGGCAGCGCTTTGAGGAGCTTAGGCTTCCATAGTTGTAAAAACGTTGTAAGTTGTACTTACTAGGTACTTTTTACTTTATCGGAAGAGGCGAGGTGACGCCTCTACAGCGCTACACGTAGTCCCACACCACCACAAAGTTCAAGTAGCCGACCAAGTACTTCTAGTGACGTTCTGCAACAGAAACACCTAAAACACGCCGTACCATCACCCTCGCCGGAAAGAGATGAATAAGTCGAAGCGGTGGAACATAAATTGTTTGTTGTCAGCATTTTTTCCACCCCCACGAACGACCCGTAAAAGAACCCGATCCCGTCCCATTTTATCCCCAGGAAAAGTAAAACGAAAAAAAGCACACCCCGATGGAGCCATGATGATCCAGGGATGTTGGTGTGCGACGATGCCGTACGTGGTTGTAGCACAGCATCCACGTGTGTTGTTCCAGCGAAATAAATCTTCGCTTTGCGCCGTGCAGAGATAAGTTTAAGTAGTAAAAAGTTACTTCGTCATAGAACCACCAGTGGCACAAGTCGTACAACTCGTGCGTCGTCATGCTAGCTGGCGCCGTTTATTGCGCAGTGGCAGTACTACTACTACTACCTCGACCTCCTGTGTGGTTTGGTTTGTGGAAATTCGTCGTATTCGTTCTCCTCCTCGTCAACAAAAGTGACCACAACAAAAAGAAAAATCTCGTGCCGGCCGAAAATCGTTTCGTCCTCCGTTCCACGCTAACTATCGTTCCTTCGCATGCAGTATTTGGTAAAACTTCGTTCAGACCTCGTCCTCAAAGAAGGTTCTTGTCGGAGATGGTGAAGAACGACGTGTAGTTTCCATTTGTCTTTCGTGGAAGTACAATATGTATATGATTCATTTCGTCCAAGAACTACGACTACCACATATATAATATAGGCTGGCTTGTCTCTCTCTGAGTGCCATAAATAAGTATCAGTTCGCTATGCTACAGTGCTTATTTTCAAACTTCCCTTTGGGATTTTAGTTTTCAACATAAATAAGTATCCATCTCCAGAAGTTCAAATCAGGTTCAGCATCTCTGGCTCATTTCATATCCGCAAAATCATCGGTTGTAGACTCATTTCGTAATTCTTTCCTAGAACAAGTTCAAGTTGTACTCACACGTCGAGCCGACGCAAAATCTATCACCGCACAACATCTTGAGGTAGGAGTTGATTACGTAATTGCTTCTACGGAGGATATTGAAACCTGAATAAAACAGTTTGATAGCATTATCACAGCCACACTCGTCTCCGCCCGTGTAGTTGACCAAGAAGACAAATCTCTGACCAGCATGTCTGCTCCCCCCAAGAACATCACAGAGGAACAACCTACTTTGTCTGCTTACGCCGGTGCGTACCGTGGTAGCGAGGCTCTGATCCGGTACCAGGGCAACCTGGAGAGCGGCGAAGTACGCACGGCGTTGAAGGATCCGTATGCGGAGAGGAACGGGAAGGTTGACCCCAGTCAAAACTTTCTGACCGTCGCAAACGTGGCCCAGGGCCTCGGCCGGGAGAGAAACCTCTTTGAACAGGAGTTTTCCAGCAAATCCACTTTGATGCAACAGCGGCGCGCAGCACAGAATGCAGCCGGCGAGGACCTCCAAGGAAACAAGCGATTTGAGGCGGCAGCAGCCAGCGCCGCAGCGACAGTGTGGGCGGGGAAATCCGTGCAGAGCCGGCAGTCCACGCCGCTGCTGGCGCACTTCCACGGCACCAGCATCGGGACTGTGGCGACCGGCTGGAAGCAGTACCGCCGCGCAAGCATGCTTGCAGGTTATCAAATGTAAAAATGTCTGGGTCTGGAAGGATGCAGAGATTTGTGATGCGGCTTTGGCATGACCCCTAATGTCTGTGATGCATGCCCTAGCATCACAGATTTTATGAGGGCTTCCTGCTGATGCCTATACCGCATGAGAAATGCCCCCTCGCCGTCGCAAAAACTGGACCTCTTTTGCTGTTCATGCAATGCAGAATTTTGTAGAATCCAAATGCAGCATCACAAGTTGCATCCTTCCAGACCCAGACATTTTTGCAATCCATACAGGTCCCGGATGCACGATCATTTTCGACGGCGAGATGGACCACAACAAGCGCGCTCTCTCTACGGTTGCAAGCGTCGAGACTTTGCCGTATTTAAGGATGCCATAATTTTAAGTTTTTTTTCTGATCTTGATAAAAGTAAAACTCAAACCACGACTTTCACCACGACCCCTCGCCCTTGTATTAGTTTGCTTTCTTTCGTAATTTGAATTTCGTCTCACGCTAAAAATCTGCCTTTACACGACAGGCCTGCGACGGAGCTTCCCGCGGATCCAGATCGTTCTCCATCCCCGGCAGCGCCGACGCAGGACGGGGTGCTACTTGCTACTAGTCCGATCGCGGAGCAGTTACAAGACCCGGAACATCATCAAGATCAAGACCGGGACGTCAGTTGGCTGCGGGGGCCCCGACACGACCAGCGGAGCCCTTCGCCGCGTCCCGTGCCGGAGTACATCCGCAGTAAGACGCAGAGCTGGTACAGGAAGGTGATGTCGCAAAAGGAGCTGCACCAGTGGTACGGCGGCGATCCTTACGCGCCGAGTCACCACGTGCGCCTTATGCATTGCAAATATGTCTGGGTCTGGAAGGTTGCAACTTGTGTAAAAAAACTTCTGATTCTATAGATAGCATCACAATGTGATGCTATCTCGGGACTCTAAAAAAATCTGTGTTGCATGACCAGCAAGAGGAGTCCAGTTTGTGCTACGCGGAGAGGCCATTTCTCATGCGGAGTAGGCATCAGGATCAGGAAGCCTTCTAAAGATCTGTGATGCTACGCCATGCATTACAGGTGTCGTGGGTCATGGAAAATCTGCATGACAAGTCTCGCAACCTTCCAGACCCAGACATTTTTACATTTGATACGCCTCGAGAAAAGCCCAAACCGGTACCGCGATTTGCCGCACTCCGTTTTCTACACCAGCACGCGGTCTGCCGCGCAAATGCGCAGTCCCCGCGCCACCCGGCCCGGCGCCGTGGTCGCGCGGTCGCACGTGCCGCTGCACACGAACCGCAGGTCGCAGAGCCCCGCGGCGCTGGTGAAAAGCACGCGACCCAGCCAGGTAAGGAAGCATTACGACATGACAGCGGATGTGTCACTCTCCCAAAACACCGCAAAGCTCGCGCGGGACAACCTCCCGCTCGCACGACTCGTGCGGGGACGCGATGAGGAAACAGGCGACCGGATCCAACAGAGCCAGGAGGAGATCCAGCGGATCATTGCTGAAGCGGCACCCTTGCTGGAGATCTACAAAAACAAAAAAGCCCCGGTCTTGTCCCGCGTGGCGCCGCAGATGGGAAAACCGGATTTATCTGCCACGGTGTATTTTGAAGAGGGGCGGGAGCAAATTCCGGAGGTTTTGAAGGGGCAGTGCGGGGAGGAGGAGCAAGAAGAATGGGACCGGCGGGTGGACGCGTATGGGTACGTGAATGCCGAAGTGTATAACCAGTGGGAAAACAAAGCGGACGCGTATTTTAAGGATTTGGGCAACAGTGTCGTGACGCTGGATGAGGACCAGGGTGCGGAAGAGAAGGGTGGTCCTGAAGATAGTATGTTTACTGCCACACAGACACAGGAGGAGCAAACATCAGCTGGAAAGAACTTCAACAATAGCACCGGAGGTGGTTTTTCGAATAAAGTGAAGGAATTCACGGACCGCGGGCCGGAGTACGAGTGCTTGCGCATTTGGAAGCCTGCGCAAGAGTTCAAGTATCCGATCACAGACAGAGCGGCGGCGAAAACGAAGAAGCCCATAAATTCCGCGCCGTTCAAGCGGCCCACGCAGGTGTCCCCCAGGTTGGAGGGCGCGGCCGCACCGCAGCTCCGCACGACGGAGCGCGCCAGGGCTCGTAAAGACGCACGCAGCCCGGAAACGAGGTTGCGCGGCGCCGTGCCGGCTCTGGACAGTAGTAGTAGACCTCCAGCACACGACGTCGAGCAGCAGGAGCGGAGCCGCGCGCCGAAGCCGGCCGTTGGTGGCACTCCGAAGCAGGTGCTTGCAGCGCGACGGTTGGAGCGAGAGATTGGTACTAGTGGCGGGTCGGCGCGGGCGAATATGATGAATAAACCTCCTCCTAAGGTAGTGGCGCCGATGCGGGCCACCGTGTTGCACGGGCGGCACCAGGTGGGGCGGAATTTTGCGGGGAAAGAGTTCAAACTGCCCTACGACGTAAACCGTTACTTCCGGACGGAGGAGACGCTGGAACAGCGCCGCGAGCGGCTCTACCAGTACCAGAAGGGCGACCGTCGGTCCACGTTTCACGAGCGGAGCGAGCGGCGGCTGTCGCAGGGGAAGCAGGACCTGTACCGCTCACCCAAAACCGGGGTCAGTCACCACTTCGTGCCGGCTGAGCGCAGCCACGGCTACCGGGCATCTACAAATACGCGGGCACCGCCGCCTGCCGAGTACTATTATTTGACGCAGGAAGCAAAACACCTGTTCGGCATCGTGAACCAACCGGAGGGACAGCAGGAAGACCAGCTGGAGGACCGTGCAGTCGAGGATGATGGTGCCATCGACGGAAACTGATTTAGAAGAACAAACGCTTCTATTTATTTACCTTCGTTTTGAATAGGTTTGCAAACTACAACATAGATATCTACTTGGCGTTATTCTTTTCTCGAAATTCGATGTTGCATGATAGTTACGAGTCGTACCCTGCATGTTGAGTGTAAGCATTCAAAGTTAAGAACTGGACGTAAAGTGTGCTTTTGGTCTTTCAGATTCAGATGTATAAGTGACAGGCTGTCAGAAGATATAGTGCTGTTTGACACAGCTTTTTGTTTTTTTTCGATCCCCATGGAGGAAACTGGTTTTCAGATGATAGTAAGTACAAGTACCCAGAAGCAGGAGCAAACAAGCGTGAGCGATTTTCTATGCGAACATGCGTCGTGTCCCGGTCCACTGTTTGAAACAGTTTCAATTTTTGCTGTCTTTTCATCCGGAACAAGCAAATAATTCATCGCTGCTCTGTACTTCAGACTGTGTACCATGCAAGAGAACACCTAATCTGTCAGTGTTCGAATTTTTTGCGTGCGAAGCGTGTAGTTCGTTGGGCGCTGCGATCCGACTCGAAGGTATTCTACACCAACAAAAAAGTCAGTCAGACGAGTCACATGATCTGGTGCTGATTGGCTGGCTGGAGTTGTGCAAAATTCGAAGACAAAAAGATCTCCTATGGATGAACCGAAAAAAAAACGCAGGTCTATGTGGAAAATCAAAGCTCAGTTTTCAAGATGAGATCTGGAGCTTCAGGTGTAGTCGAGCATACTAGGCACGGTGCTGCGAACGGGAACGACCTTGTGTTTTATACACCAAACAGCTGTCGTTCTTTCTTGAGTTGTACTTGTAAGGGATACCTAGTACTATGGCTTACATACACTTCTGCGACTCGTACGCGTAGGCGCGTTTTTAGAGCAAGAGGTAGCACCAGGCAGCATCTACAAGAACATCTTCTGCACCTTTAGTGCAGGAGCCGCTCCTCCGCCACACGACGACGACGAGGACGACCAAGATTGCAGATTATGGAGTCGTCTTTTCTCAACAATGTGTACATTCTTTCGCCGAAACCGAGTTTCTTCGAGCTTTCGCAGGCGGAGCAGATTGGGCACGGGCTGCACGCGGCGCTGCAGCACGTGGTCCGGGTCCTTCGTGACCGGTGGGTCTTGTGGGCTGTCGAAAGCGGGGTCGACGACGTGTGGGAAGAATCGACGAGCAGCTATTCGAAGTTCTTTGGTTGGCTTCTTTCAAAGCTGGTGCAGCGTCCGCAACTCGCGGAGACCATCGGCAGTGGCGTGCTAGAAGCCTGGTTTTTGTCGCGTCGCAGCTCCTTCTTCGGCGAGCACTTTTGGGGACTGCAGATGGAGCTCGCACCACTACAGGTGGGTAGTACTAGGTCATCTACTTCTCACCGTCCGTCATTTCAGGACCTGGGTGGAACAAGCTGGAAACAAATAGCAAAAAATGCAGTGGCAAGCCTGCAGCAAAAAATCGAGGGCGCACAAGATCGGTGCTGTCGCTTCGTCCACCCAGCGGATGCCGATTTGTTTGAGGCCCGACAACGAGAACGCCACACTATTTCCGCCCGTTGGTCCCCCTTGGATGCGGTAGAGCTCGAGAAGCGGCGCCAGCGGTTTACCCTTTCCGCCCGGGCGCGAGTACTGTTCGTTTTTTTGCAGGTCGTGTGGCCGGTGCTGGAAGCGCGCTGTCGGCAGGTGGTGGATCACTGGAAGCGGGAGTTTCGCGAAGACTTTGCGCAACTGGAACAGAGTTTGCGGAGGTTCCTTTTGGAGCGAAGAGCTGCCAAAGCCACTTCTACACGAGATGACAAGCTGCAGGTTGATGCGCTAGAGAAAGCCTGGGAAGAGGCCGTGGGACCCCAACCTAGTACTACAGCAGAGCTACGGGGCGATGAACCTCCTCAAGGAGTTCCGGCGGGTCAGCACCAACCGAGGAGCCCCTCTCTCGTTGCAGGAACGCAACCAGGCGCAAGAACTCTAACGCCGGCCGAAGATCACAGCGCGGGTCGTGATCGGAGCTTGATCGAAGTTGTACCAGAAGGCGTATCTTCTTCGAGGGAACAAACGTATTATCCCCTACTCCGGCCTGAAAACCTGAGGATAATTCTCCGTTACAGTCTCTACCGACTCCTGCAGTCTTCTCTTTTCATCTGTCGAGCGGTCCAGCTCCTGTTTCGCTTCGGCTACCTGTTCCAGCGCTGTGAGAGCTGGAGCTTCTTCCTGTGGCTTTTTCGCTTGCAAATGGTGCGGAAGCAATTCGCAGCGGCTGAACAGCTAAGGCTGCAGACTGAAAACGCCGCTAAGCTGTTAGACGCGACAGAAAGAACGGCCGCAACAGTGGTAGGCCAAGACAATAAGGGGGCTGATGGTAGAAATCGGAACTACTCAGAAGCTCTTCGGCAGACGCTCTTCGACAAGCTCCAGGCCACCCCGCAAGCGCTTTTCTGGGCGGGATTATACGGACTGCAGTTTTACCAGTGGTTTGGCTCCAGGGCTGAGGAGTTGCAGCCCGCCGCGGAAGCAGAAATTCCGCCGCCCCCGAAGCCGCCGGCGCGGCTGAAAATACCAATCTATCAAGACCCGCGGATCTGTTCGCTTTGTCGTAAGGGGCGGAAGAACCCCGCACACAGCGTGTCGGGATTCATTTTCTGCTACAAATGTTTGGCGGAGTTCGTGGGCAGGAAGGGTTTCTGCCCGGCCACGCATCGGCCAATGGAAATCGCAGACATCAGGCAAATGAAACTGGCGCAGTGAAGATCGGTGACTTCATTGCTTTGTCTGTACATCCTTGTGGTCTACATCTACTTCTTCGCTGGTGTTGCAGTGGACATCAACTGCGGTGTTCGACAAGAGGCTGCGATCTGGCTTTTGCTATTCAACGGTATGTTCTAGTACTGTATGTTCCTTCGTGTTCGTGCAATAAACATACATGCTGGGATCATGTTGCCGGTCAGCATCTTCCTGACAAAATTGGAAAATCTCGGCTACTACAATCTGAATGAAGTCTAGAAAGGCATCACGGCAGAAGCTAGGAAAGTACTATGAATGAGTGGCAGCAACTACGACGATGTCTTCCGCGTTTACGTCAACAACAACATCTTCGTTCGTCAGTCCTGTTGGAGGTGTGCCGAACGATGAGGAAGTGCTGTGCTCCGCCGTCCCGCTACCCGAACCTGTCGAAAGCTAGTACAAGAGCTTTTTCCACGAAGGAGCGCCTAGCCACGAGACAACCCGTGGGGGCGTCCTCTCTGTCGTTCAACGATTCATCCAGAAGCGGTTTCTACTACTACCGCTGCGTGTTTACAAAGACCACCGGTCCTCTCGGGACCACCGCAGCAAGAGGGGGAATCCCGTCGGGAATTCTTTTTCAACTGTCACGCGCCATGTCAGCGCTATCTGTAGGAACAGCTCCCGGCGGTACTGCCGCTACGAATGTAGTTTCGTCCATTCAGAAACTCCCTGCCTCCAAGGCGCGAGCCCTCGCTGCGGTCGCACAGATGACAACGACCTCGGATCACGAGCAAAATTTCCAGACGGCAGAAGCGCTCGTGAAACGCGCAAAGAAGGAAAATGCGTCCATGGTGTTTTTTCCCGAGGCGTTCGCGTTTCTCGGGAATCACTTCACGGAGACCGTCGCGCAGGCGGAGCCGATTTTTCCGGGCGATTTTTGCGATACTACAAGAACCGGCGCACGAAATGATAATAACGGCGACATCCCAGCACTCCCAGAGCCAGAGGATCTTTTTACGGATGGACCAGTAGCATCGTCAGCATCTACTTCAACCGGCAAAGCCCGGTCATCTTCCCTGCCAGACCGTCGCTGGCTTCCGAGATACCTGCAGTTGGCAAAAGAGCATGAAATTTGGATCAGTTTTGGTGGCTATCACGAGCAGGCGGCGACAGACGAGGAACGGGACGACGAAAAAGCGGCGGCGGCGGAGCAGGGAATTGTAGTAACTTCTGATGGTAAAAGCAAAACCGTCAGTGGTAGTTCTGACACTTCTCAGATTGTTCCTATCCGCGTGTTCAACTCTCACCTCATCGTGAACAGCGAGGGCAAGATCGTCGCGCGGTACCGCAAGATCCACTTGTTTGATGTGAGCATTCCGAACGGTCCGGTATTGATGGAGTCGAGGTACACGCAACCCGGTAAATTTGAGAAAGACAACCTTCTTGTCGTCCCGTCCCCCGTGGGGAACCTCGGGTTGACGACCTGCTACGATTTGCGGTTTCCCGAGCTGTACACGGTTTTGCGGGAGGAACTAAACGCGGAAGTGATGCTCGTCCCGTCCGCCTTTACCGTCCCGACCGGCCAGGCGCACTGGCACGTGCTGTTGCGGGCCCGGGCGATCGAGACGCAGTGCTTCGTCCTGGCCGCAGCCCAGTGCGGAAAGCACAACGAAAAGCGGGCATCGTACGGCCACGCGCTGGTGGTGAGTCCTTGGGGGGAAGTATTGGCGGATTGCGGAGGAGAACGAGAGAGAAAAGAAAATGAAAACGTTGAAAACAAGGAAACGAGCAACACAACGCTAGTTGTGCCTCCTGTGTCTGTTTTCGCTTTTGAGTCCAAACTTGCTCTTGTCGAGATTGATACACACGAATGCGACAAAATACGCGAAAAAATACCCGTGTTCATACATCGAGACACCGCTGGGATTTATGCGCGACGTAAAGATATTTTTGAGCCAAGAAGCGCATAGTGCAATAAGTAGTAACGGCGTCCTGCGCCGGCGCCGGGGCCAGCATTACTTTCGCTTTAAGAAGCACAATCCTTCACGTAGCTGCCACGCGCTACAGAACTACCTTTCGAAGCACTGCAGGAAAAAAAGAGACTCGGTGTTCGTCAGAAATCACCGAAAACAGAAAAGCAAAAGTTGTGAAGCAGGCTCCTCGGTTACCTCGTAGATATTCCTCTTGACAAAAAGTAAAAGAAAAAGATCGGTCCTGGTCGCACAACGAGATAATCAACGCCCTTACACGTACAAAAACTACAAAAGTGTTGACATCTGCTATCGGTCGAACCTCGTACACACAAAGAAAAAAATTCGTTCGGGGCCTCGTCCGGGGTGAAGCATCTAGTGAGAAACCACGCGTAACACGGCAAAATTGACACAGTCATCACTTTAACGTCGGTCTGCGTTCTTCCGTACAATATTGAATCGTCCAATATCAAATTGGTGGGGTACTATGCCGTCCTATCGAGATTTAGAATGGGAGAAAGATTTAGCAACTTTAGTTTGTACGATTCTACAGTGCTTTTTCGTTGTTTCCAAACAAACAATTTCTGCAGGTTCCTCGTGTTTCCTTCGTAGTACAGCCATTTATGACAACAAAGTCTTCCTCACCCGAGGATGCTTAACACTACGCAAAAACCACATCGAAACACAAAAGTTATAAGGCGGAACAAATTAAAACGATCTAGTTCCATTTATTCAGAATTCCAATCTACCACGACGCACTTCTAGTGGTATATTTCCCAAGCAGCACTTCAACCGATCTATATCTACTACTATTGGACTAAAAAGATTTTTTCATAAATTAGTAAATTATGGGTTGTGGCGCATCGAGTGCCGCAAAAACGGCGGCGGCCGGCGCTGCCTCCGACGGGCCGCAGGGCGGCAAACCGCAGAAGCAGGTCGGGCAGTTCGCGGCCGGGGATTTCGTGGGGGAGTCGAAGGGGAAAATCCACGATTTCTACGAGTTTGAGGAGAAGAAGCTCGGGCAGGGAACCTACGGGTCCGTGACCAAGGGCGTGCACAAGTCCACGAAGCAGATCCGGGCCGTGAAGTGCATCCCGAAGAGCACGATGAAGGGGAAGAAGAAGGGGAACGACGGCGAGATGCTGAACCGGGTGAAACAGGAGGTGGATTTAATGAAGAACTGCGACCACCCCAACATCGTGAAACTGTTCGAGACCTTCGAGGACAGCCGAAATATCTACCTCTGCATGGAGCTCTGCCTCGGCGGCGAGCTCTTTGACCGCATCATCGCCTCGGGGCACTTCACGGAGCGGGAGTGCGCTTTGCTGATGCGACAAATCCTGGCCATCGTCCACTATTTACACGAGCAGGGCGTCATGCACCGCGACATCAAGCCGGAAAATTTCCTGCTCAAAGAGGACAACGCACCCATCGAGCAATCGACCGTGAAGATGATCGACTTCGGGCTCTCGGTGCGCTTCAAGCCCGGTGAGTTCAAGTCGACGAAAGCGGGCACGCCCTACTACGTGTCCCCCCAGGTCTTAGTCGGAAAATACGACCAGCTGTGCGACGTGTGGAGCTGCGGCGTGATCATGTACATCATGCTGTGCGGGTACCCGCCGTTTTACGGGGATAACGACGTGGACGTGCTCGCCCGCGTGCGCCTCGGCACCTTCACCTTCGTGCAGGCGGACTGGAAGAACGTCACTTCCGACGCGACAGAACTGATCACCAAGATGCTGAAAAAATCCCCCTCGGACCGGTTTACCGCCAGGCAGGCGCTTATGGATGCGTCAGGTTTGAAATCAACAAAGTTGAAATAACTTGTAATGCATAAAATCGATACCACTTGGAAGCCCAATTTCCAAGCTGTGCATGACAAATTTCGGCACCGTCTAAATCCAGTTTGTCATGCTGTTTAGGGACAGAAGGCATCTATTGTAATGCTACTTTAGCAGCTCTACCGCAGACCCCAAACAGGCTGACAGTCGGCCTCACTTGCCGCCCCTGCAAGAGAGGCACTCTGTGCCTTGCAATTTATGCATGAGAAATTGTTTGAACTTTGACGATTTCAATCCTGACAGTTCCATAGCCCTGGACCACATCTGGATCTCGCAGATGGCCCCGAAGTCCGCCTCGATCTTATCAACAGTAAAAATGTCTGGGTCTGGAAGAATCCAACTTGTCATGCTGATTTTGGATTCTAAAAAAATCTGTATTGCATGAGCAGTAAAGAGAGTCCAAATTTTGCAGCACGGAAAGAGCATTTGCCATGCGGAATAGGCATCAGGAAGCCCTCTCAAAATCTGTGATGCTAGGGCATGCGTCACAGACTTGAGGAGTCATGCGAAATGTGCATGACAAACCCGGCACTCTTCCAGACCCAGACATTTTTACATTTGATAGATCTCGCTGTCCGGCAACTTGGTGGGCCCGCTGACCGCCTTCCGAAACGGCAACAAGCTGAAGAAGGCCGCGCTCACCGTGATTGCGCAGCAAATGACCGACGACAGCACGAAGCAGCTGCGGGACTTGTTCCACCAACTCGACGCGGACAACGACGGAACTTTGACGATCGACGAGATCACCGAGGGCATGGCCAAGGCGGGGCTGCAGGACAACAAGGAGCAACTGACGGAGCTCATCAAGCAGGTGGACAGCGACGGCAGCGGCAGAATCGACTACACCGAGTTTTTGGCCGCAACCATCGACAAGCGACACTACGCAAAGGAATCCGCATGCTACGCGGCGTTCAAGGTAAGTTTTTTTACCTAACGTTTAACAGTAATATGTACACTTTCTAGTGCGAATTCGATTTTTACGATTCCTATCGAGAGTTGGAATTTCTTCTTTACCTTGCATGATCCGATCTGGACGATGGTGGCACAAAAAGTGAAAATTCGAAATCATGAAGTTCAAGTTTGTGACGGGTCTTGTACTGAACAATCTATGCACAACAACTTTATGGAAGACTCAAAATTATAACCAACCACAGGTGTTCGACCAGGATGGCAATGGTTTTATCGACAAGCAGGAGCTGGCAAACGTGCTCGCGGACGGCGATCTGAGGTCAATGGTGTCACAGGAGATCGTCACCGCAATTCTCGCGGACGCAGACGCTAACGGAGACGGGCAGATTGACTTTGAAGAGTTTATGGCCATGATGCAAAAAGACGAGGGCGGGGGCGGCGGACTCACCATCACACAGAGGAGGTGAGATGGTGTGAGGGAGCCACTAGGAATAATAGTAGAAGTACTTATGTTGACCGAGCAACTAAATCGTAGTCGTAAGATTGATATCAATCAAGTTTTTACAACATCAGCTTCTGCTTCACGGGCTTTGTTATAGAGAATTTCGGACTTATGCTGCTGATCCGTGCCGATTTGCGGCCTTGCGAAGACTGTTGCTTTGCAATGCAGCCCCGGTGCAGGAATGCGACGGAAATTTACAATTACGTTTTTTTGTTGGTCATCATTTGAAGTTATTGCACACAGTTTTCAAATCTATTACACTTATTTCACAATGACAACAGCAAACAGCTACAGCAAAGCTGCTTCTTCACGACTAGTTTACAGAAGGTAAAGGTATAGTTTACAGTTCTTCTAGACCGGTAATCGTAGGACTAGGAGCTTCACAGCTGCCGAAACTAACAGGGGAGGAGTTTCGCATCGGACACAACTTTTAGAAGAACGGACTAGAACTCCCCTTAAAATGAAAGTATTTGTACAATAAAAACCTAAAAATTTTGCACAGCTCACCACTTTTTTTTCTTCCCCCCAGTTAATGCACATTTTTCGAAAATGCTACATTTTTCTTTATTTTCTTTATCACGACGTCGAGACCAGTGCATTTGAAATTGACTCCTCTTGTCCTTCCATATTGCCGTTTTTGAAATAACCGATCCACAAGGACCAGTTTGCGTTTTCTTACTTTACTTCTCCGTGGCTACTTACACGCGTTAGGGGTGGTGGCTCTGGCGGATTCAATGTACCAAGGCAAATCTACGCCTAGTGAGAGACACTCATTGTAGACAGCACGTGCTAGTAGTAATCGTGATACCGACGTCTGGGAGACTCTACTAGAGTGGAACAGCTGTGGCCCTTCCATACTTTTTTCCTGTAGTTGACAACTTTCAAAAAAGCAATCGTAGGCTCGAGGCGGAGATTTCTTTATGAAAATGCAAAAGAACAAGTAGATCTCGCATCGCACATGGATGTTTACAGGACTTTCTGAAATCAGTTTTATTTTTACCCCCGGCTTCTTCAACCTGATTCTGAATCTGATATATAATCTGTCAGAAACCTCCATTTCCTGGACGATGAAGGTCTATGGAGTCCCTCAATGCGGTATCATTGTTCAGAGCGTTGATGCGATCGGCGAGCTCCTCAATCCACAGAGTGATGAAAATAGATCCAGCGTGCAAAGAAAGATTAGATCCAGAGCGAGACAGGAGCGAGAGGCACGCACTTCATCCACTGGTCCACTCTTCGCGAGAAGTTGCCTCGATCACACATAATGAATACCAAATGTCGGTGCGTTATGTCTCATATGTTCGTAAAAATATCAAATCCGGACCCTGCGGCGGCGCGCGGCCATGGCCGCCGGGTAATTGGTTTCCGCTTTTTGGAAAATATCTTTTGCAACGCCACATTTGCAAGAACTAGGGCGCGCTTCACAGACACGCGATTGCTTTTGCTATTCCTATTTCTATGACTGCGCGAACGATTCGGGTTCGACTAAGCCCGCCCGCGCCTCTAGTTTACCGGCCCCCGCGTCGCCTACCCCCGGGGGACGGTGCTCAGCCCCCGCACGGCTTCTGCCTCCAGCGCATTCCTTGCTTGGGGCTTGCGCGCTCCCTCGCCTGCTGGGAATTAGATAGAAGCAAGCTTCCGGGCCTTTTCGATTTCCTTCTTCTTCGCAGGCAAAGAAGCCTACTGAAATTGGTTCGATTCGGGCGCGGAGTGTCTCCGGGGAGGGCCAGGAGCGCGCCCCGGGTAGAAGACCTTGGGCAGCGCTCTTCCCTGCCTAGGCACGTCTGGCGGCAGCTTGTGCGCCGGCTGCGGTCCTGGGCCTGGTCCTGGCGCTCAGGTGGAGAGAAGAGCGACGCAGAAGGCGCCAGCTGCCGCCGAATCGCCTGCGTTGCTTTTGGTTCTACATATGCTAAGGCATTTCCCCACGGTGGCAAGCTCGCGTCGGGCTATTTTCCGGGGTCGCAGCAAAAGCAATGCGCCGCAGCAAGGCAGCCCGGAACCGCTGCGGGGGCCTGTCATGCATGGTGGCATAGCTTCCAGGAAGCTGCTTGCGCGCCGGCCCTGCACAGAGAAGCCGTTTCGGCCGTGCCTGTAAATGTACCTACGGAGCCGAGCCAGCCTGCTGCCTGTGTGTCTGCTTCTAGATTCAGTTTCTCGCTTCCCTTCTCGTGACAAGCCGCGCGGCTTATTTCTTACTTTCGGAAAACGCTAGGACTAGGAGCCGTTGTCTCACTCCTAGTTTTTCTAATTTATTTCAACAAACCTCAGCGCGCTAGTGCTGGCGGTGAACGCCTAGAGCGCTCTTCCACCTTACAGCCCTGGCCCCCTTAAGTGCGGCCGTTCTCTAGTTATGTGGAATATTCCGCGCCGTTGTGCCCCCTCCACGGCGGCGCGAGATCCAGATAATACTGCTACTACAACTGCGAATGCTTTTACTATGGTATGGCAGTGCTATGCATTTTACTGCTCCTACCACTTTTCATTAGTACTACAACTGCCTCCTACTACTACTGCCTCGCTATCGGGCGGTAACAGTGGCGCAGGATCCTGGTTTTGTCCCACTTTTCACCCATCCGGCCGGGCGGGTGAAAAGTGGGATGACCACTTTTCGTCCGAATTTGTTACCCCGCTCATATCAAATCCGGACCCTGCGGCGGCGCGCGGCCATGGCCGCCGGGTACTCTCAAATACATAATTAGCGGCCCATTCATAAGTCCAATACCATTTCACCTTTTGGCGCGCGGAACAACAAAACCTCATCGCGCGGAACAACACAACCGGAACAACACAACCTCATCGCAACGGTCGTTGGCGGAAGCGAACCGCCCCACAGTGTGGGGCGTTGAAAAGTACTTGAAGACGCAATAGCAGTACGGGTTTCTGTGGCAAGAAGGTAAGGACCCATACATTGCTTCAGAGGAAAGTCTGTCATGTGTGATCGTCTGCTCCCAAGAAGAACGCATGGAATGCTTTTTCTGCACTACTTAAGAACTAGAGCTACAACTTATTTACTTGAGCCTGAGCGGAGTTGCGTGCGGCTGGTCTAGATCGCGTCCCCACACCGGAAGGCGTGCGGCGCTTGGTGAAAGGCTGGTATCCCCCTGCAAAAGTGGGCGACGGGCAGTTTTCATAAGCGGGCCGCATCTCTGCGTCGCGCACATAGAGAGATACTTACATATTGGACCATGTGTGGGGTGGCAGAGTGCAGCCCGTTCTCGGATAGAAAGCACCGTCGCCCCTTTTGCACTGCATAGACGCGTACTGCCGACAATTGAAAAACTTGGCGCCCCGGGCAGTGACATCGAGCGCCTAGAGGTACTTACTAAATCTGTCATGCTGTTTAAATTTATATGGACGGAGCTGGAGAACAAACTTCATAGACGAAAACAAAATCTGTGATGCTGAGACGTTGACCGCGATTACCGCCCAGACGTTCCGTTGCGCATGACAAATCTCTCTACCCGCCCGAATTCTCTCTAAGTACTTACTTACCCCTCCCCTCGTCGATGATAGAACACCACCAAAAACAAGAAAAGTCGCTTCAGAGTAATGAATAAGTAGGAGCTCACCACTCTCAGGAGGACTTCTTCGGGTATTGGGAAACGCCGGAGCTAGGTGAAGACGATGAGGGCGAGGAAGACGCTGGCGGAGATAGTAGCTCGGACGACGATGTAGATATGAGATTGCACAGGAAGACGCGGCGGCGGCGCGCGGCCATGGCCGCCGGGTAATTGGTTTCTGGTGGACAAATGCGCAGCCAGAAGGAGAAAATAGCAAGTCGTATGCATTTCCTGTTTTTCAAAAAAATTACAACTTCACTTTAAACCCTGCCCTTAACCTCCTCCGAAGCTCCAGATAAGACCACCCCCACGCCCGCCGCTCGTTAACAGTCGTATCGCAGGAGACACCGAGAGCACAGTAAGCACACCAGAAGACCTCCGATCCGTAAGAGCAAGACCTGGATAAACACCATAACAGCCCGGAGTCCTTTTTTTCAAGTTTTTAACGTTTTCGACTACGAAGCCAGGTATAGATCCACGCCCCGCCAAAAGACCGAAGGAGGCATAGCTGCAGCACCGAGGCCTCGACCCGCCGCCCGAAGGCGGAGCACATCGACTCATGGTCGGAGGGCGTAGAAGACAGCGTGATGCAAAACTGCTGGAGACAACAACTCAGCACATGACACATCGCGAAATCCATGATGCAAACGATCAGCACACGATCTTCTTCACCCAGCCCCACGATGTCGCTGCTCCACAACCTGTTCACAGCCAGCAACTCATCGATCTCCACGCATCCCCGATTTCAAACCCCTCCGAGCAGAGACGCTAGTACTTGCGGAGGCTTTAACGGAGGACTTGATCTTGAGGACAGGAAGGGCAGAACCGTTGCAACGCCCGCGGCGGACTTGTCGTGCGTGACAGCGTAGTTGTCGACAAAGTGGATGTGTATGAACTGCAAAAGCATCGCACTCGTATATTAAATCATGCATTACAAGTTTCCTCCGCATGAAAAATGAAATTTGTAATGCGGATTTGACTTAACAAAAAGATTTGTAATGCATGACTGCAATACGAATACGATGCTTTTGCACAGGATAATGTGGTGGCCCAGGCCAAACTCCTCGTGCCGCTGCCCCGCGGTATGGAAGCGTCAGGACCGAAATCAACAAAATGGAAATAAGTAATTTGCGATGCATAAAATCGATACCAGTGGGAGCCTCAGTTCCGAGGTGGCGCATGACAAATTTCGGAAGTAGCACTAAAATCCAGTCTGTCACCCTGCGGCGGCGCGCGGCCATGGCCGCCGGGTAATTGGTTCTGCTTCTGGTGGACGTTCCTGCAAAGCATTATTGAGTGCATCTGAACTACCTTCCTGTTGTCCGTAGTTTTTCCAGCAAATATTACGGTTTTTACAGCACTACTAGTGGAGTTTCTGTCGTCGTCCGTAATTAGAATTTATTTTCCTCATGCAGATGCAAGGAGAAGAGGAAGAACAAGAAGCAGTATACTGATAACGAAGTAGTTTTGCAAGTACAAGTAGCACACACTAAGAAGAAAATGACCGTTCCCAGCAAAGATGAAGTAGAGAACTACCCGTCCACGCCTCGTCGGGAGCTCCTGGCCTCCGGAGACTCGCGAGCGGTGGAGAACGCCCGGAAAGTGTACGATTGGGCGGTTGAGGTAGATGAGAAAAAACATCACCCCACCACGACCTTCCTGCAGACCACCGCCATTGGCCGGGCGCCTGGTCGGGTGGAGATTCTGGGGAACCACACGGACTATAACGATGGATTTGTGCTTTCCGCCGGGGTGCAGATGCAGTGCCGGGTGGTGATGGGCGTTATGGAAAGAACGCACGAAGCAGACAATTCTGTGTCGACATCCTCGTCCCCTCCGTGCGAACTCTCTGTCTACTCCGCTTCGTTTCCCGAACTCGGAATAGCGACCTGCACGTTTTCCGACGTTTTTTCTCAGCCGTTTGAGAACCTCGGCCTTCCCGGCTACTGCAAGTACATTTGCGGGGTGTTTGTCGAGTTTTTCAGGAAAATAAACAGGAGCGAAAATAATAACTTGGTCGAAACTGCAAAATTGTTGAGCAAGAAAATCGCAAAAATCCAAGTCTACGTGGAGTCTGACGTTCCACTGGGGGCGGCGGTGAGCTCCTCTGCCGCACTCGAAGTTTCAACGGCGGTTGTACTGGAAAAGCTGTTTGCGAGTGCAGGGGAATCTAGGAGCATCGATTTGTTTGAGAAGAGCAAGAAAATCAGCTCGGCGCCGGCCTTGACGGCTCTGGAGGTCATTCTTCTGTGCAAGAAAGCTGAAAATGACTATGTCGGGATGGGTTGTGGGATTTTGGACCAGTTTTCCTCGCACCAAGCAGCACAAGACACCTTGCTACTACTCGACTGCCGCTACCCCATGGAAAATTTGAAAAAGGTGCAATTATGCGATTTTTGATTCAGGACTATGTTTGATGTGTGAAACTGTTTCTTTTTGCTGCAAGACTGCAAAAATCTCTACGTCCCTCGGGCGGACTGCGTTGTGCTGTGGTAGGAAGACTAGCCTCCACATGGTAAAATAGTTCTGTGCCACCTCCTGCTGGATATAAAAGTGTCCAAGATGATATACGATTCCAACCTAAAATCAAAAACACCACTCTCTCACTTCAGATCAAACCCTCGGACGGCGGATTTGTGTTTGTGATCGCCAATACCGGAGTAAAGCTATCCTGAGTAAAAATGTCCCCACACCAAAGTCAAGATGGGAAATCCGCTAGACAAATCCATAAGCTTTGGCTGTTTCGCATGACAAATTTGGACGCGTAGTGTAGTGCTGTTTGAGCTAGCTAAGCAGCATTACAGATCTAGTATCTCATGCTGATTGGCGCATTACAGATTTCCAAACCGCATTAGGAAATGCTTCTCATGGGGCTCCGCATGAGAAACATTTTAAGCATGCAGAGTAGCATGACAACTATGGTGTGGGTACGTTTTTACACAGGATAAAAGCACGCTCTTGTGGACGGCCAGTACGATAAACTGAAGCGACTCTGCTACGAGGGCCGCGATTCGCTGAAAAAAGCCATCGAGGAAGAGAACAAGCAGAACACGACGACCAGTATCCTTCACCTCCGCGACGTCTCTTCCGCGCAGTTCGAGAAGTTCAAGGAGAAAATTCCCACCAAGGAAGCCCGAGACCGAGCACAGCATGCCGTGTACGAAAATGAGAGGGTTTTGGAAGCGGCGAAACTGTTTGAAGAGGATGCCGAAGTAGAAAGCCGCAGTAAAAGCGAGCTGGACCACGCGTCCTCTCCGTCGAAAAGGCGAAAGCGCGGCGAAGTAGATGGGTCTCCATCGACGAAGTCTGTTTCCGTAAGCGACAAAATAAATAAACCTCTTCCAACTACCACCACATCCGCGGAAGAACTCCGCCTGAAGCGGTTCGGGCAGCTGATGCACGAGAGCCACAAGAGTTCGCAGTTTTTGTTTCAAAACAGCTGCGCGGAGCTGGACAAAATGGTGGAGCTGGCATTGACGTGCCCGGGCTGTCTCGGCGCGCGGCTGATGGGCGGGGGGTTCGGCGGCTGCACGATTAACTTAGTGCGGAAAGATATGGAAGCGTCAGGATCGAAATCGTCAAAGTTGAAATAGTTTGTCATGCATAAAATGCAATCCACGAAGTGCCTGCCTTGCAGAGTAGGCAAGGGAGGCAGATTGTAAGCCCGTTGCGGGGTAGAAATGGAGCTGCTAAAGTAGCATGACAAAAGGCGTCTCCCTTACCCAGACAGCATTGCAGACTGGATTTCGGCTCTACCCAAATTTGTCATGCACCGCTTGGAAATTGGGCTTCCAGTCCCAACTGGTATCGATTTTATGCATTACAAGCTATTTCAACTTTGTCGATTTCAATCCTGACACCCCCATAAAAGACCAGGAGAAGCTATTCGTGGAGGAGCTGGGAAGGAAGTGGGCCGAGCTGGCGGAACCGTTTTCCAAGGGACAAAAACCGGTGATGACTACGGTCATGCCTGGTGTCGGGGCGGAAGCGAAGATCGTGTGATGGGCGAAGTTGCGTACGGAAAAGAAAATTTTGCGCCGTGCTGTAGTCGGGCTGTGATAGGATACTTACAACGAACCACGGAGTATTCCTGTGCCTGTCAATTACGGTGGGGGAACGGGAACATCTATTTTTCTGGACGAACGACTTCCTTGGACTTTCACTTTCTATAGTTTTTGGACAAATGAACTTTTGAAAATTTTCTCCCCCCGGGAAGAGCCTTTCGAACGTACCTACCTACATACCTTCTTTCCATGACAGACTGTTATTTTTGCGCACTCCGTCAAAAGTCTGAACAAAGAGACCGCATTGCTCTGTGATCTTTCCACAGTTTTTCTTTCATGAAAGGCCCAGTGATCATGTGTAAAAGAAGATCAAACAGCACTCCTTCAAGGCTGTGCTACCGATCGGTGTGAGACCCCCACAGCGCTTTGCGTTGGCATGCAACGAAGGCTTTAAGTAGTCGACTTTGTTCCACCGTCATGCAGTCTCGGCATTTTCGTATCCAAAAAGATTGAATAAAGGCGTTGAAGGAGATCCAGAATTGATATACAAGGTTGTTTTGAAACCACCTCTCTGACCAGAGATTTATAGAAGTGGCACTTACAAGAACATGGTTCTATCCGAATCACAAGCCTGACCAAAGAAAAGATTCATATACTGGATCCGAACATCATAGGAACTATGTTGAAACTTCGTTTTGCAATTTTCGCAGCGACACCACAGCTGCGGATGGCCTAGTTCATTTTGTGTCAACATTGTCGCTCGTACCTCTAGCTCTACCGAAACCCTGATACTTTACCTACACCTTTGAATTACGGTAGTAGAGACACCGAAGAGTGCTGGAGGTTTTACCTTACTATCTCAGAACCCCAACTCCACCGTAGACCTCAAGGCATCACGCCCAATATGAGAATGGAAACGGCACCACCTCCTCCATCGGAGGTTCGCAAGAAGTAGGTCTACTTATTGCGGCTTGCTTTCTGATCCGGAAGGGTGAGCTTTTGATGATTAGCGGGGGCCACAAGGTGGTCTGCTAGCTAGGCTCGTAGTGAATTAATTCTAAAAATAGTCGTACATCATCAAGAAAAAGAACAGTGCAGAGTTTCAGACGACACGCGATACTTAAAGCGTCGAAACGTCACCATGGGCGGCAACAATGCGGCCACTCTGGTCTCGAACCGCGGTGTCGTTCTGGCCGGTAACAACACCAGTAGCTACAACGGCACCAAGTCCGTGCAGCTGAAGCGACCCCGCTCTCCTTCGCCGATGGAGATCCGCACGAACTTCGAGAACAGAAAGGAGTTCAAGAGTGAGAGGAACAACAATAGTACCAACGCCGCGATGTTGCAGCGAGGTATTAATAATAACTCTCATTCAGGCGGCGCAAACTTTTCCTCTACCAGCAACGGGCACCAGCATCCAGCGGCTGCGAGCGCGAACAATGCGGCGCTGAACAGCAAAAATAAAAATGGGGCGGGCACTAGTACTTTTTACAACGAAAGGACTTCCAACGGGTCGCCGACGACCTCAGACTCGCCCGACGGGCAAGAAGACAGCTACAACCACCAACATTCTGGCGGCGGTTATCTCAGAAAATAATCCTGTGTTAGTCTAGGTGTCTTGGGGTGACAGCATGATAAATTAATTATCTGCTCTGGTGCATGACAGGGAAATAAGCCTGTCTCTCGCACCTATTTTTACGTGAAAACATCACATATGAAATTAATAGGACCACTTCATGGCTGGCTAGCACGACAAGTGTAACTACTGTGTTGCATGCTTTGCATCTTGACAGACCTACACTTACACAGAAGTTTTCTTCTTGCATAGTGGTGTAACTACAACCATATTAAGAGGAAAAATCCCCCCTCCCCATATCGAAAAGGTATGTTTCCGGAAATTTGTGTTGCTGATTTGCGACCTCAAATCACGTCTGTCTTGCAAGAAGGCAACTCCACAAGCTCCGCAGCATTGTGCAGGCGGTTTGTGATGCTGATGGGCCTACAGCACGGACGTTTCTCATGCTACACGCCTAGGTCAGAGCCTCTCTACTTAGGCTTAGCATGGGGCTGCATTCCTCTCCAGCAAGACAAATCTTATTTGTGTACGCAAATCCTGCATCAGAAACTTCGTTTTGATATGGGGAGGGGGGATTTTTCCTTTTGATAAACCAGCGCGGGTGGACATCACCAGGAAAACGTGGACGACGCGCTCGTGGCCCGGTATCAAAGTGAAAAAAGTCCCCTCCCCATATCACAACGAAGTTTTCATGCTGGATTTCCGTACACAAATTAGATCTGTCTTGCGGTGGAGGACCGCAGGCGGATGCCAAGTATGACTCGATAGGCTTTGACCTAGGCGCCCAGCATGACAGAAGTCTGCTCTGTAGGCCTCACAGCATTACAAATCGCCTGTACAATGCGGCGGACTCTCTGTATTTGCCTTCTTGCAAGACAAATCGGATCTGTGGCCACAAGTCTGCAGCACAGATTTTCAAAAAGATGCCTTTTCAATATGGGGAGGGGTGATTTTTCCTCACAATACCCGGCTTCCGCCGGTGACGGAGGAGGAGCGGAAGGCGCGGGACGATCTGGCGGAGGTTATTAAAAAGCAGGAGCAACTGAAGAAACAGTTGAAAAAACTCGATTCGGACGAGCAGTTTTTGCAGAAGAAGGTCGCGGACTTCGAAAAAAAGCGGGAAGAGATGTTTCAGCGGGAACTGAAGCGGGTGGCGGAGTACAAGCAGAAATTGTACGAGAGGAAGCGGCACCAGGACCGCAAGGCCCGGGGGACGCTGGCGGTGTTCGACCGCGTGAACGAAATGGAGGACGTGAACACGAAATTTTTCCGTCAGGACTGCACGCACGTCGCCATGCAGAACACGGGGGCGGTCTTCGTGTACGAAAACGGGTCAAAATTGAACTTCACGAGCGGTTTGTCAGAAATGCTGAAGAAGAAACTCGCGCCCTACGCGTCCAATGCGACCACTCCCGCGGCCAAGGGACAGAAGGTCGCGGTGGTCTTGTATGAGAGTGCACAACTATTCCCCCTCCCCCTCATTTGTACTATGGCATGAACTGCAATACAAACACCAGCGCGCGTGGAGTCTATGCGTGACGAATCTATGTGCCTAAAAATATAGTGCTGTTTGGGCTTCCGGATGAATTTGTCATGCCAACAGTGCCACAAGGCAGCGACTGGAATTGTGGATTTCGCATGAGAAATGAGAACGACGGGGAGTTTTGCAATGTCATATTTTGTCCGAGAATAACAAAAATTCTTTAGTGAAGCCATCCAAGCCCGGCGGCGTGCAATTACTGAACAAAAAGGAATCGGCGATGAACCAGCTCTCGAATAACGCAAAGCCGGTCCAGTTAAAGAAGCCGGACCAAGTTGCTGGGCATCCTCAGAACAAGATCGTGACCACGCGCAGTAGAACCAATAACAATGCCGAGGGTGCAGTTGAAAGTGGTGGCGTCGCGGTGGATCTAGTGGAAAATAACAACAACAGCAAGAAGCAGGAGGAGCAACAAAAGCATTTGATCTACATTTCCACGGGGTCGCACGACCGGTGCTACCTGGAGTTTTCCGACGGGGAGCTGTTTTGCCACGGCCCCGATCAGCTGCAGAAATTAGTCAAGGAAGCGGCGGCGGGGCACTACAAGACCAACCTGAAGTGCGTCGCCTTCGGGGCCAGCTGGGAGACCTTTGTGGCGGTGTTCGAGGACGGGACCTGGGAGGTCGGGGGGTCGGACCTCCCGAAGCAGTTCAAGGAAAAAATGTTTGCGCAGGGTCCCGCCGGGCCCGCGTCCCTCGTCCGGGGGCAGCGGACCGTGAAGCACGTTTCGCTCGGACCCAGAAACGAGTGGTTCATCGAGTTTGTGGACGCCGAGTGCTGGTGGGGCGGCGTCCGCGAGCACCTGCTGGAGCAGTTTCAGGACTACAAAGCCTCGAAGGTGAAGCGGATCCTGTTCGGGGACAAGGGGAGTTACTGCGTCCGATATGAACCCTTTCACGAGAGCGGCAGTGGGTGAGGAAAATAGTACACTGCTTTTCGGTGGTGAGTAAGAAGTTGCTAGTATGAGCAAAGCACCAGGAATTATCGAGTTGAAGTTCTTGGGGAAACAGCACAAGTTGTCGCCTCCTTTCAAAGCATGGACTTGCTGAATCAATGGAAAAAGTAAAAGGTGTAGTAGGGAGGAGGATCCAGCAGATACGGCCCTCGCATGATGATCGAGGGAAATAAAGAACCGCAAAAGCCCGCGACTTCAACATGTAGTTGTAAAAGTTTTCAACGTGACTGAGAAGATTCCACCCTGATAGTTTTGCTCTCTGCTGGTAGGATCACTTCATTGTCAAAATGAAAATTCTTCCATAAGTGTTGTGCTCACTTTTTGCCATCGTGTGAAGAATCGTTCTTGTCTGTGGTTCGCTGATACTTTGTCTGTAGTCTTGTACTTGTGTGAACGGTCATTTGTGATCATCCTTCTTCTGGGTTTTTCGCGCATTTCCTTTGTTACTGCTCCTGCCAGGTGTCTTTCTTGATGCATGCCTCAGCACGCAGCTTGCTTGGGATGGATTACGCCTGTAGCTGTAAATTCACATTCTAAAGAAGAAGTTTGATTTGGACAATTTTTTATTCCACTTGCATAGTAGGATGAGCTGCCAAGAACGACCATGGGGCACGGCTCAATTTTTGCAGGACTGTGACGAGAAATATTGATATTTAAGTATTGGTATTCTATTCGACCGTCAAAGTTTTGCAACTACAGCCCTCTCATCGGCCGGTCGTGTTCGTAAGATATGTGTTTGACTTTGATGTTCTTGTGAAATATTGAGTTCATCAATCTTTACAGAAAAAAAGATGACCCGCCCGACTGTAGCGGTAGCGAGTCTTCGTAGGCCGTGTCGTCCCTCAGGGTTCTTTCTTGGTTTGCTCGGTTTTCTTCACCCAACGTTGCTCGTGCGTGCTTTTGTCTACGAATTCCAGAAGGACCCCGTGCCCCTCGCGTCCAGCTACTGGATCCTCGGCCAGGTCTATCATGAGAAAAAAGTGTTACAGTTACACATTTGTTGGAGTTTCTGCATCACAAATTTTCTCTGTATAGCAGAGAAAACTTGTAATGCGAAGATCATAAGGGAAAACAGGAAGGAAACGAGGCCCCCAAGCATTTCCTGCATGAGAGAGGTTGTCTGTGTTGCCGGTCTTGCAACACAATGTGTAACTGTAACACTTTTTTCTTGCGATAAGGTCTCGATCTCGAACCTGCATGTGACGGACAAGGAGCGCCCGCAAATCGTTTTCAACGCCAAGACCTCGGTCGACAATGCGGCCGCACTGGACACGATCACCGCGAAATTGCCAAACGTGCAAATTGGATTCGCGCCGGACTACGTCTTTACCAAAATGGATGACAAAAACAAATTTTGCTGTGCGGATTCGGACGGCTGCGAAAAGGGAGCGGGCACTTTTTCCCTGTCCAGCGCCAAGCGTAATAAACTTTGGTGATTTACAACCGAGAAAACACATCCATATTCAACATCTTGCTACTTGCTTTACGTTTTTACCTCGTATCTAGGCCACCACTGGCTTCTAATCTACACATTGCTATAAAAAAAACGGGTAAGAATGCTGGTTGGAAGATGAAAATCGACGAATCTTTTTACCCTAAATCATCAAGCGATCACAAGTCGAATCAAATCGCGCAGATGCTGGCACGAGCACCATCTATTCTGCCTCGTTGAAGGAGCCCGCGCCGATCACTTTCAATCCAGTGGGCGGCAACTACTTTCTATGGATTGCGAACTGCGGAGATTCTCCTCTCGCTGGGCTCAAGGTGTCCGGGGAGGTAAAGGTGCGTCAGAGCTACGGCTTCGTCCGACCAGAGGAGCTAATTTGCAAGAATATCGCATTTTACTGGGGTACTTATGTTTTTTTTTCATTTTCAATTTTTGTGCATGGAGTTGTAGGTACCGTACCCGCGACGGCCGCCCGCGCTCTTTGTTGACGCAGCTGCCGTAAAAGTAATCAATGCATTATCAACAAGGTCTCCTCGCGCTCGCTTTCGCCGCTCTGTACGGGTGCCAGGTTTGCTTCCTGTCCAGTAGTATCAAATGCAAAAATGTCTGGGTCTGGAAGATTGCCAGGTTTGTCATGCGTGTTTTGAATGATCCATGATGTCTGTGATGCATGCCATAGCATCACATATTTTTAGAGGACTTTATGTTGCCTCTACCGCATGAGAAATGCCCATGCCCTCTCCGCGTAGCACAAACTGGAGTCCCCCTGCTGGTCATGCAATACAAATTTTTTTAGAATCCAGCGACAGCATTACAAGCTTAGAATCTTCCAGACCCAGACACTTTTACATTTGATAAGTAGCGTGAAGGAAGGGAAGGGAGTGAAATATTGTCTCCTCACTGCGGTGGCTTTGTCCGCGCTGCGGCTGTATGCATTGCAAATATGTCGTCTGGAAACTTGTGTTGCTGATACTCGCATCGCAGAGTAGCCGCTTCTACGGCTTAAGAGCATCAGAAGTTTTTCAGGTCTGTAGCGGATTCATGATCCGTATTAGACGCATGACAAACTACTGAGTTTCAGCTGCGTGCATCACAGATCTTGGTGTCCTTCACATCTTCCATTACAAATTTAGACCCAGATAACATATTTGCAATGCATATGCTACTCGGAGGCTCCTCGTTGTATTATTCCTCCTGGAACGCCACGGGCATCGAGGGCAGCGGGGGCACCCCCTACAGCATCTTTATCAAGTGCAAATATGTCTGGGTCTGGAAGAATGCAAGGCTTGTCATGCTTGTCTGGCATGACCCATGATGCTTGTAATGCATGGCCCAGCATCACAGATTTTTGGAAGGCTTCCTGATGCCATTTTTGCATGACAAATGCCCTCCTCGCGTAGCACAAATGTGGCTTCTCTTGCTGGTCATGCAATACAGATTTTTTTAGACTCCAAAGTTAGCATCACAAGTTCCAACTTTCCAGACCCCGACATTTTTGCATTTGATAATCTTGGCGGCGCTGCAAATTTGCGCCAGCATGACCCTGTACGAGTTCCTCGCGTCGCAGCACCACCTATGCATTGCAAATACGTCTGGGTCTGGAAGAGTCCGGGTTTGTCATGCTAAGTCTGATCGACGCATGAATCTGTATTGCGTGACCAACAAAAGTCTCTACTTTTGGTTACCAGGAGGCGGCATTTCTCATGCGGATTTAGCATTGAGGAGCCTTCTCAAAACTTGTGATGCTAGAGCCCACATTCCAGACCTTCAGGGTCATGCGAAGGCTGCATGACAAACGTTGCACCTTCCAGACCCAGACATATTTGCAATGCATACCACCTGACGGCGTACAACAGCATTACGGAGTCCTCTGCCAATATCAAAAGAAAAAAGTTCGTCACGATCACTCATGGGCATTTTTACAATACAAAATTGTCTGTCATGCGTAAAAATGCATGATCACAGCCACACTTCATAAGGGATTTCCCTAGTGTTTCTGCAATACAAGGAGAAGTTGTGATGCTAACAAAATTTGTAATGCAAAACGTGTAACTTAGTGACTGTGACAAACTTTTTTCTCTCCATAGCCAAAGGAGACGCAATCATGGTGGCCGGCGGGAGGGCAACAACCACGCTGCAAGAGTATAATCGGAATTGGAATAAAGTTTTTTAAGAAGGCTACGAACCTCGAAAATTTACATATTAAACCGAGTAGCGTATCATGATCCGCGAGGGCCAGGAGCTGCTGCAGCACACCGCACACCTAATTGTTGCCCCGAGCACTCGTGCAATGCAAATTTACTGCCGGAAATGACATGTTGAAATACTTAGTAAAAATGTGAGCAACCCTGCGCCATAGCCATACGGGGATTTTTACACTGGTCAGGAACATCAGCAATTTAAGTACGCGCTATAATTTCTTGATCTGTACGTCGGCTACAAGCTATACCCACACGACGAGCGGGTTGTCACTGTCAGTGAGCTTGTTGGAAAAACCAGGTGGCTGCTCCTTACGATTGCGAACGTGGGACTGTTCGTGAGTATGATGTTCATGTTTCTGGGGATCATGAAGGTCGAGAACAGACTATCCAAGAAAAAAACTGTGTTAGTGTAACTTTCTTTGGCTGACAGCATCACAAATATGCTCTACATGACAGAGAAAACCTGTCATGCGTGGCTCGTAAGGGAAAACACACACGAATAGAGGACTTCATGGCTGTCTGGCATGACAGGTGTGCCTCTGTTGCATTTTCTGCATCACAGAGTTACACTTACACAGTTTTTTTCTTGCATACCGCCCGCCGGCGTCTTTTTTCGTGGCCGCAACCGATCCGGCGCAGATTGCGGGCGGCGGCACAGTATCCATTGCAAAAGTATCGTACAACTAGTAGAAGTCGCATGACAAATTTCCGTAGCATCAGCAATGGAATTTGTCATGGGGATCCACCTCAGCAAAGAGATTTGTGTTGCATGCCTGCAATTAGTACGAGTAGGATAGTTTTGCAATTCATACACAGCGGACGGGACGCTGTTCTTGGGACTCGAGAAAACGGACTGGGTCGTGCTGGCGATACTACTGATCGTGATTTACCCGGTAAGTACAAGAAAGTAGATTAGGCGGACTGTTCGTAATATGCACCTAAACAGGGTAAAAGTGCTGGGATCATGGGATGATGTCTTTGTGGTGCTGAACCCTTGAAAATTTTTGTGATGCCGAAATTCTCCTGATACAACTTCTAGGTAATGGTTTTTGTCGAGCGCAAGGAGGGGGTGATAGTAAACGACTTTACGACCAAAATCTTTTGGCCCGTGCGCAGGCTGCTGCTGACGCTGTTTAGTTGCGTCGTATTGCTGCAGATGATTCTGCAGTACGTGGCCGCGACGCTGGTGATATGGACTGCAAGTCTTTATTTATGTTGCCTGGGTCTGGAGGATTGCAAGATTTGATACGTTGCCGTTGGGTGGTTGTTTGGTTGGGTAGTTGTGTTTGCGAGGTTTATCTTTCTTGTCTGACACTGACACATGACTCCGAGTTCTGTCTCTGTGATGCATGAGCGGCACGAGTAGATCATCTTGCCTGTTATGCAAAAACGCCGTGTGCCGCTGCCGTGGCACGCGAAATACGCGATCCATTCCAGGTCAAGAAAATTGTCATGTTTGGCGGGGGCGTACTTTAGCTCGCCAATCATCTTACTTACTTTCATTGACTAGCATTACAACAATCGTTTCCCGAGGACCCAGGTCGACGATAAAAATATTTGCACGTTCGATATGTGACCGAGGCCTCGGGTGGCATCGTTGCAGCGGAATTGGAGGCGTCCGTGCGGTGTGCGTCACTCGAGTTGGCGGTCCTGTGCAGCTACTTCTGCATTGCACACTACCTCTCTGCATGGGACTCTATGACGCAGGGCTCCAACTACAGTATTGTCAGCGAAAAGGACCTCGAGATGGCACAGGTGGACAATGCGGATGAGGATATTGACGCAGAAGTAGAAATATCAAGTGCAAAAATGTCTTGGGCTGGAAGGTTGGAGCTTGTAGTGCTAGCTTTGCATACCTAAGAAATCTGTATTGCATAACCAACAAAAGTTGCAGCCTCTTTTGTACATGCAAGCACGCAGTTTCTCATGCGGGTTGCCTATGAGAAAGCCTTCTGGAAAGTTGTCATGCTAAGTTGCATTCGAAACTGTCTCCATCATCCACGTTTTAGCATCACAAGCTTCCAGGCCCAGACATATCTGCATTTCATAAGAAAATTACGACCCCGACGAACTTGCGGAGAAGAGACAGCTAGAATTATGCCGCGCAAAAGTATCGTACTCGTACAAATGCAAGTCTTGCATTAGTATTACAAATTTTATTTCTCATGCTGAGGAAATCGAAATTTGTAATGCATTTATACGAGTGCGTTAGTTTTGCAATGCATAAGAATAAAAAAGAAACAAAATAAATAGAACGAGAGCAGATTCTTGGCACGGGAATAAGAAAGTAAAGTTGGTTACTTATACATCATCAACCTCCCGCATTCAAACCCACTCTACTCCGAAAGAACGGATGTTGTGACGAAAAAACAGGCGACAAAGAGCATTTTCCAGCTGCGTAGGTTGAGATAGACTAAGCAGGACTTCTCGACGCCACGGATCTGGCTACTTGATACACCCCAGTACATGTTCTGACGGGGGAACGACAGAAAGTAGGATGCACCTTTCAGGATGGACTGCAATTTGATCTTGATGTGAAGATCCGCCAAGTAGAACATGGTTTCTAATTTCACCATAGTTCATCTTGAGTTGCTGGTGTAGTGACGGTTCTCTTTCAGTCAGCTGCAGCTATTCACCTAAATATTCTGCTGAGTAGGGGCCGTGGGCGGCTCAACTAGAAGTACTGCACGACGAGATCTACTGACTTAGTTCTGGGTTATTTTCGTTGCAGAACCAGAAGATCACTGACGCTGGATCCATTCGATTTTCCACCGAAAGTATATTATGATCTTGGTTCTCAATATTTTTCAGAAAGAAAAAGATCAAGATCTGAAGACCGGCTCGACCCGCTCCCCTGTAGAGAAAATATTAGGAGCACAACATGCAGAAGGCATATGGTTTGTGGTGTGCTGGTGTTTATTTTTCAAAAGCTGTCTTCCACCGCTTGGCCTTGGACGGTTGAGGGCGTAGATCTGTGGCTTGATCGTGTTGAGGCAGCTCAAGTTGTTGCTCACAAGTACTTTGCTGAAGATAGAATGGTGTGTCGCTTTTGAATGTTTGTTCTGTGGACACCCAACTTGCTGTGAAGGACGATGACTTTACTGTGACGAAGACATTTGCTGCTGTGATTGATGTCAAGAGGACTGCTAGCTGCTTTTGAATCCTTTACCGACGACGATCTATTTGTGCTAAAAGGGTTGCACCACATCAAGGATCTTCGTTTGAATGTTTTTCTTGTTGTTGTTTCTTCTACAAACTAAAACTATTGCATAAGTAATTTTCGATACAACTATTGAAAAAGTGGTGTATGTAACACAAACAAAACGGTGACCTCCCATAGGATCGTAGTGTTGTTTGTGGCCTCGACACGCATCTCCGTGCTTCTTCAGAGGAACCTGAGCCCTGGAAGTTGACTGAAATCTGTGGTATCACTACGCAACTGCGCGTTGCTCTTTCCGAACAAACTTCGTACACATGATTAAGCACTAGATTGATGAAGTTGTGCTTGTGCATCGCAGGCAGGGTCCTGCTCAGAATGACGGCTAGTATCTTCTATCGAGTCGGCAGAAAGAACAGAAGTAGGAAAGCGCCGCTGGTCGACAAATCGGTTGTACGACCGGACGCAGGAGATTCAAACTAATAGTGTGTTGCAACGCTGTAATTCCAGTTCAGTTCTCTCAGCCGCGCGTCATCAAATTTGTGCGGCTGTGGTAGTAGGTACTATACTACTTTCGGGAAACACAACCAGCGATCGCGTTATCCGGAGCCGCGACAGGTTTCTTGTTTAAGAATACCGCTAGGTGAAAATCGTGCCTGGGAAATTTTTCGCTTGCATACCGCTTAGAAGGTAGTGGCACGAGCGTGTTGTCGGGTAAGTATCGATTCTATGCAGAACCATAATAAATTCTAATGCAGTTTAGTTTATACTTTTACTTTTCCATAATTTTCATTTCCATCCGGATTTTCCCATCACTCACAGCATGGTGATAGAAGCTCCGCACTGGCCATGTGGGAAGAGGAACCAGACCACACGGTTAAAGATCGGCTCGATCATCCGAGGGCGGAGGCCGGGACAATGTCGTAGCTGGTGTCCTTCTTTCCCGAACGCTAGGAAAAATAGCAAGGACCTCAGGCGAATCAATCGCACACGTGCAATAAAGGGCGACCCCCGCATGGCAAGACGGGTTTCCGATCTCCTTCAGAATTTCCTTCTCTCTAGATTTCCGACGTTTTTTGTCATGCACTTTGTTTTGACGCTTCTCGCGAGTCGCGACCAAAAAGAAAGCTGAATTTGTAAGAGTGCATATCAAAAAGAACAGATTAAGCAGTTCCACATCTAGGTGACCGTGATCCTGATCCACAGACCGGCTATGATTCGTTTCCGAGTTGTGGTAGCCGGCGACACGACGTAAAAACCGCGCAGGGCATCCTTCTCGTCGGATTACCATCCTCGAAGAACGGATACTAGAAATGGCACGCAGGAGCGGCGGAGAGGGAGACAGGATGATCATATTGGCATCATCCATATTCATATTGGCAGCACCTGATCGGCATCATACATGCTGCTGCAACCGGTGGACCTCGTCCACGACGACGTGCTGTAGTTCCCCAGCGCCCTTGGAGATGATCTAAAATTAAATCTGGCACGCAAAGAAACATCGATCTTCGCGCTCAACCTGCTCTCCTCGGCGCTCGACTCGGTGGTCTTGCTCCTCGTACCCCCCGCCATCGGGATGTTGTCCGGACGAATCGGCTACGCTCTCGGTGGGGGAGATAGTACCAAAAAAGTTTGTCATGCTAGCATGCAGCTAGACCCAAGAAGACCTTACTCAGAACTACAACGCAAACTTCATTTTTTCTGGTATGGGTCTACTTTTCCTTTTTGTTTATTTTGTGTTGGATGCGGGCTGGATCGCACAACTTCCGAAGCAGGGACGGATACTTATCTAGCATCAAGTTCAAACTGTTGTTCAAAACGGGTTGTTGACCGGGCGCAGAAGATCCTGGTGACGTTCCTGACCACCTACTGACGAGAACATCGGCACTGTAAACCGTCGGGCGATCCTCGAGAAAAAAAAGGGAATCGAGGAAAGCTCCAGACAAACTGTGGCGAAGAACGTGGGGGAGCGCCGGAAGTAGATCTTCTTTAACTACTAGATCATCCAGCTGGGGGCAGCAGCTCAACAAGTTCATCTACAGATATCAGAATCTATGGGCCGCTGGTGAACAAACACGCGAACGCGGCGCCTTCGTTTTGGGTGTTTTTTTTTGGCGGCACGCAAGCGGGATGGGAGCAAAGTACTTGCTTTTCATCGGGGCCGCGGCGCGAACGGAATCAAGCCTTTGCCGGCGATGTTGGGACGAAAGCAAGGGTGCCTATAGACGAATTTCCGCACTCTGTGGGATTGCCGGACGAGGTCAGCACCGCCGGACGAGGTCAGCACCGCCGGACGAGGTCAGCCTCCCTCTCTCGCGAGAAGTGTCGGGCGACTAAGAAATAAAGACTTTTTGCGTCTGAAAACAAAAATATGAGCAATCAACGTCTTGTTGCTTGCTCATGTTTTGTCGACAATAGCGAGAACGAAATCATTCTTATAAAGTAGAGGTGAAAATCTTCGGTCCTCGTCCTTAGGGTTGCCTCTTGGTTCTTTCTAGCAGAAGGAGCCCGTTCATTGCATTACTCGTGCTCGGAAACTCAAAATGTCGGTTTTTCGGCTCGAAAATAAATAGCGCTCGGTTTTTGTATGCCATGATGTGGACGAGCTATGTATGAGATAGACATCGATGTTGTTACAACCCTTTGATGTGTACCGTACTGAAAATATGAAGCAGCAGACAGAGCGACAGCAACTTGAAGTCGGTTTTCCAAGATGAACCACTACTGTGGTATAATCGGTAGCTTTCGTGCAGGAATTTTCACACTTTCGCTGGTCTACTCAACTCTACTCGTCGGTACTACCGTAAATATCTACTAACTCCAATCCCAAAAATTTGCAAAACTTTTTTGGATATGGAACAAACAGGACCCCTGCATTCCCCTTGCTGATCCTATGCCGCCTCGTTTTTTTTATTTAGCCGGCTAATCATGCGGACTCCATCCCACGAGAAGCACTCATGAACTACCCAGGGAAGCCGTACTAGTAGAAGCCCGAATTTCAATATGGCTTGACGGCTGCTCCACATCTCTCTGCGCGATCCATGTCGCGTCTCTCTCTCTCTCTCTCTGTATCCTCGTAATCTTTAAACATTGCACACACTCCACCTCTATTTTTGTTTTTCCTCACTACGACTTGGTTTTTCATTTTTTACCGAGTTGAGCTCTGGCGTATTCGTGCACGACTTACGACACTGATATTCATTATAAACAAGGATCGTTTATTGCTTCTTGTTTGCCTTGGATTTGATGGCCATGTGTGCCACAGTGGCTTTTCCTTTCGTCATCCTTCTCGATGATGGGTTTAAGCATCCAAAGAACTCGAGCATGACTACTTCCCTAATTAATACATAGTTTCTATTCATGGCAAAAAATCAGCACGAAAGTATTCCAGTCGGATCATCGTTTCAACATCATGAGGATCTTGATCTTCTGTAATGTAAGGTTCTGTGCGAACAGCTCAAAGATAAAAAAACGCAAGTATGAAAAATATGCCTGGGTCGGGAAGATAAATTTGAATGCGCCTGTTTGTCATGATTCTGGTTTGATTTTCTTTGCTTTCGCCCTTCGCGATTTCGTGGCTTATTTTGGCCGTGTTTTTGCAACGCAGAAGCAGAAAGAATACAAATTTGGTGTTGCCCCGACCCAGGCATATTTGCAATGCATAGAAGGACAATTTTCAAACATGTTGGAACATCTCTGTAAATCTCTAACAGCGAGCTGTGCAGGCGAGCTTTTGTAGTAGCTGGGTCGAGCTTCAGTCGAAACGAAGCAAGTTAATAGCAGTAGTCGTAACATTCCGCTGGCTCCTTCACACAGGAGACAAGTAGACAGTTACTCGCAAACGATAAACCTCAAAATGCACCGGACACTTTCAAGAATTGCTCAAGTCGTAATTTTGGTGTGGCACGGGTCCAGTGCGAGTGCGAGTTGCAATGTGGGTTTCAAGTTAGACGGCGGTGAGTGCAAGCTGCTGATCTGCGACGCTGGCAAACACTTGGATACTAGTAGTAGTCCCAACACGTGCGTCGATAATGTTTGCTCCTGCCTGAACGGGGTTGCGAAGGCGGGGACTGATTGCCCGATGCACGGCGCACACGACTGCGCGTCCTGCAGTAGCGGCTACGGCTTAGCGAGTGGCAAGTGCGAACTAGTGTGCCCAACTGGACAGCACTTGAATGACGCCGGCACCGCCTGCGAAGACAACAGCTGCAGCTGTGATTTCGGATCCGCAGCGACGGGAGCAGCGTGCACAAGCAACAGTGCCAACATTTGTAGTTCCTGCGATTCCGGGTACCACGCAAACGGGAACAGTTGCGCGCCGGACATCTGTACCTGCACCAACGGCGTGGGGGCGACGCTGACTGCGTGCGCTGGCCACGAGCAGGCGGACTGCGCAGCCTGCGTTTTTGGCTTTCACTTGGAGGTCGACGGCTCGGGTGTCGGGGAGTGTAAACAGAACGTATGCAATTGCGAAAATGGTGGCGGTGCTGGTGGTGGCACCACGGGAACACTCTGCGCAGTGCATGACACGAACAGCTGCTCGGGCACCTGTATCAAATGTAAAAATGTCTGGGTCTGGATCTGGAAGAATGCAACTTGTCATGCTTTCTGCATAGTGGAAAAGTCTGAGTCTGTGTTGCGTGATTACTGATTAGCAAAAGCTGTCCACTTTTGACCAAGCTGGGAAGGAGTTTCTCATGCAGACGAGGCATGATAGAGGTCGGAGAGAATCTGTCATGCTGGGTCATGTATGACAGACCTCACGCGTCATGGAAAACCCGCATGACAAGTCATCCAATCTTCCAGACCCAGACATTTTTGCATTTGATAACCTGCGACGACGGTTACCACCTGGGCGGTTCGAAGGGAGACACCTGTTTGCTGAACGTCTGCACCTGTGAAAGCGGTGTGGGCAAGACGGGCAGCGACTGCGCTTCCCACGGCGACGCAAAATGCGAAAGCTGCAGCGCGGGCTATGACTTGAGTGGCGACGTGTGCGCTTTGAAAACGTGCAATTGCCCGACGGGGACTCCCGCAACGGGGACCACTTGTCCGAACGACGGAGACGACCACTGCATCGCACCGTGCAATTTCGGACATCACTTGGATGGCACCGAGTGCAAAGAAAATGTGTGCACGTGCCACAACGGCGTTTCGCACGGTACTATCAATGGCAAACATGGCGGGTCTGGGCCTGGATCTTTGCTCGTGCATTTGATTACTTATACAGGGCTAGGCTCCTGCTCATGGTCATGCCTGACCGCTATCTGTAGCTTCCAAGATAATTTGTCTTGCATGGCACCACGGCGCCCCATGAGCCTCAATATACAAGTGTTTGTCATGCGAAAATAACAACGCGATGATTCCTGAGCGATACGCAACAATCTTCAGTGTACGGCGGTTCATCGTCGGGACGTCGTGTTGCTTAAGTATCTTGTATGATCCAGATTCACAAACTTGGATAGGTCGCACAACAGATGAACTTTATTCCAGACCTCCTAGGTCACAATGTTTGCAGGTGATACGTGCCACCGGAACGAGTTGCGCGGTCCACGACACGAACGGCTGCTCCGCCTGCGACGCTGGTTACCATTTAAACGGAGATACGTGCGTGGCGAACATTTGCACGTGCACGAACGGCGTCGGGGCAACGCTGACCGAGTGCACGACCCACGACACCGCAAAGTGCAAGACGTGCGACAGCAGGTACGAGTTGGATTCGAATGGTGCCTGTCAAGCAGCTACCCCTGTGTGCGTTTGCGACCACGGGACTGTAGGGAGCACCTGCACGGTGCACGGGTCCACTTTGTGTGCGAGTTGCAATGTGGGTTTCAAGTTAGACGGCGGTGAGTGCAAGCTGCTGATCTGCGACGCTGGCAAACACTTGGATACTAGTAGTAGTCCCAACACGTGCGTCGATAATGTTTGCTCCTGCCTGAACGGGGTTGCGAAGGCGGGGACTGATTGCCCGATGCACGGCGCACACGACTGCGCGTCCTGCAGTAGCGGCTACGGCTTAGCGAGTGGCAAGTGCGAACTAGTGTGCCCAACTGGACAGCACTTGAATGACGCCGGCACCGCCTGCGAAGACAACAGCTGCAGCTGTGATTTCGGATCCGCAGCGACGGGAGCAGCGTGCACAAGCAACAGTGCCAACATTTGTAGTTCCTGCGATTCCGGGTACCACGCAAACGGGAACAGTTGCGCGCCGGACATCTGTACCTGCACCAACGGCGTGGGGGCGACGCTGACTGCGTGCGCTGGCCACGAGCAGGCGGACTGCGCAGCCTGCGTTTTTGGCTTTCACTTGGAGGTCGACGGCTCGGGTGTCGGGGAGTGTAAACAGAACGTATGCAATTGCGAAAATGGTGGCGGTGCTGGTGGTGGCACCACGGGAACACTCTGCGCAGTGCATGACACGAACAGCTGCTCGGGCACCTGTATCAAATGTAAAAATGTCTGGGTCTGGATCTGGAAGAATGCAACTTGTCATGCTTTCTGCATAGTGGAAAAGTCTGAGTCTGTGTTGCGTGATTACTGATTAGCAAAAGCTGTCCACTTTTGACCAAGCTGGGAAGGAGTTTCTCATGCAGACGAGGCATGATAGAGGTCGGAGAGAATCTGTCATGCTGGGTCATGTATGACAGACCTCACGCGTCATGGAAAACCCGCATGACAAGTCATCCAATCTTCCAGACCCAGACATTTTTGCATTTGATAACCTGCGACGACGGTTACCACCTGGGCGGTTCGAAGGGAGACACCTGTTTGCTGAACGTCTGCACCTGTGAAAGCGGTGTGGGCAAGACGGGCAGCGACTGCGCTTCCCACGGCGACGCAAAATGCGAAAGCTGCAGCGCGGGCTATGACTTGAGTGGCGACGTGTGCTCTTTGAAAACGTGCAATTGCCCGACGGGGACTCCCGCAACGGGGACCACTTGTCCGAACGACGGAGACGACCACTGCATCGCACCGTGCAATTTCGGATATCACTTGGATGGCACCGAGTGCAAAGAAAATGTGTGCACGTGCCACAACGGCGTTTCGCACGGTACTATCAATGGCAAACATGGCGGGTCTGGGCCTGGATCATCTCTCGTGCATTTGATTACTTACTTATACAGGGCTAGGCTCCTCCTGCTCATGGTCATGCCTGACCGCTATCTGTAGCTTCCAAGATAATTTGTCTTGCATGGCACCACGGCGACCCACGAGCCTCAAATACATGCGAAAATAACAACGCGATGATTTTTCATGAGCGCTACGCAACAATCTTCAGTGTACGGCGGTTCATCGTCGGGACGTCGTGTTGCTTAAGTATCTTGTATGATCCAGATTCACAAACTTGGATAGGTCGCACAACAGATGAACTTGATTCCAGACCTCCTAGGTCATAATGTTTGCAGGTGATACGTGCCACCGGAACGAGTTGCGCGGTCCACGACACGAACGGCTGCTCCGCCTGCGACGCTGGTTACCATTTTAACGGAGATACGTGCGTGGCGAACATTTGCACCTGCGCGAACGGGGTGGGCGCGACGTTGGCCGACTGCCCGACCCACGACACCGCGGTCTGCGCGGGCTGCGTTCTGGGCTACACCCTGCAGCCCGACGCCTCCTGCGCCGCAAACCAGTGCACGTGCCCGGGCGGGGGCGTTGGCAAGACGGGGACGGCTTGCGTCGTTGACGGGGCTGTTGACTGCGACAGTTGTACGGATAGCCAGCGCGCAGTCGACCCGGCGACGAGGGATTGCGTTTGTAGCGACGCCCTGGGCTACTACCTCGATAGCGCCTCCGGATCCTGCGCGGACAAGGTGTGCTCGTGCGAACACGGGATGGCGTCGCAGGGCGTCGCGTGTCTGGCCCACGGCGCACCGGGCTGCGCGTCCTGCGAAACTGGTTACCACGCAAACGGCGATATCTGCACGCCCAACGTCTGCACCTGCGTAAATGGGGCGGGGACAACCCTGACCGAGTGCTCGGATCACGACACGGCAGATTGTGACGCCTGCGTCGCTGGCTACCACCTGGAGTACGACTCGGTCAATGACCGGAACGACTGCGTCGAGAACCAGTGCACTTGTGCCGACGGTTATGGAAGAAAAAAGACTATGCAAGTGTAGGTCTGTACTAAATGCAAAGCATGCAACGTCGGAGAGTTACACTTGTGATGCTGGCCAGCCAGAATAGCGTCCTGCTCTTATACGGATTAATATCACGTACTCACCGTGTCCGTGCATGAAAAAATTTCTCTGTCACGCAAAAGAAATTTGTATTTGTGATGCTCTTACAAGAACTCCAGGACACCTACACTCACAGTTTTTCTGTTGGATAACGGGACCGGCGCGACCGGCACAGCATGTGCCACCCATAATGAGCCGCTTTGCGCGGCCTGCACAACTACCGGCTTCGAGTTGGTTTCCGGTGCCTGCGTGAAGAATTGTGTTTGCCCCCATGGTACTGCGGCGACTGGGGCCGACTGCCCGGGCAACGGCCAGACCAAGTGCGCTACTGGCACCTGCAACGACGGCTACTATCTGAATGGGGACGCCTGCGAGCTGAAGACTTGCTTGTGCAGTGAGGGAGTTGCATCCACCGGGAAAGACTGCCCAAACAACGGCGACACCCACTGCATGGCAGGGACCTGCAACATCGGTTTTTATGTGGATGGTAGCAGCGACTGCGTCGAGAAAGAGTGTACTTGCGAAAATGGGGTGGGCAAGACGGGGACGCAGTGCCCGTCGCACGGAGCTCACGCTTGCGGATCCTGCACAAACAACTTCAAGCTCATGAACAGCAAATGCAGCACATGCCTTCCCGGATTCAATAACGCCGTGAACAGTGCCCTGTGTGCGGCAAACGTATGCACTTGCGCCCACGGTGACGCCGCTACGGGCTCTGGGTGCGTTGCAGACGGCGCTGAAATCTGTACCGCCTGTACCGATTCAAACTGGGTTTTGGATTTCACGAACACGTGCTTTTGCAGCGACGCCGCCGGCTTCCACGTGGATGCCAGTAGCGGTGCCTGCGAGGTGAAAACTTGCACTTGCAGCACCGGCGGAACGGCAGCTACCGGCAAAGACTGCGTCACACATGGCGCGGACCAGTGTCTAGCCGGCCACTGCGACATCGGTTACTACTTTGACAGTAACGACAACCTGTGCAAAGAGAAGCAGTGTGAGTGCACGAATGGTGTGGGCAAAACAGAAAAAGAGTGCCCGAATCATGGTGCTCACTATTGCGCGTCCTGCACCGGCAATTTCAAGTTGGCAAACAACAAGTGCGAGGCCTGCCTTTTTGGGTACCATTTGGACGCTGGTGTGTGCGTGGAGAACCAGTGCACTTGTGACGAAGGGACCGGCGCGACCGGAACAGCATGTGCCACCCACAATGAGGCCCTTTGCGCGGCCTGCACAACTACCGGCTTCGAGTTGGTTTCCGGTGCCTGCGTAAAGAATTGCGTCTGCCCCCATGGTACTGCAGCGACTGGGGTAGACTGCCCGGGCAACGGCCAGACCAAATGCGCTACTGGCACCTGCAACGACGGCTACTATCTGAATGGGGACGCCTGCGAGCTGAAGACTTGTTTGTGCAGCGAGGGAGTTGCATCCACCGGGAAAGACTGCCCAAACAACGGCGACACCCACTGCATGGCAGGGACCTGCAACATCGGTTTTTATGTGGATGGTAGCAGCGACTGCGTCGAGAAA